AGCTTCTGGACATGACACCTTTCTTCGGAGGCTCGACTTGGGACATTACCACGAAATCATCCTTTGAGAAGAATTTTGAATTCCTCAGCCTTGTCCGAGTCGTTGTGAACGTTGAAGGAAGCGAATGTTTCCAGCCAGGCATGCGAGAAGCCATCTTTGCAAGTTTCCATACCTTTTACGATGATTGGACGAAGAAGCTGGAGGCAGACAGGAAAGCCGAAGAGACGAAGAGCAGTCTCTACCAATTCCGTGGATCATTCGAGGATGAAGAGGAAATCGATGAACAAGAGTTTAACGAGCTGTTCCCAACATTCGATGCGGAGCAAGAGCTTGATCGTCCAGCGAATAGTGATCGTTCAGGACTCAAAGGAGATTTCGTTCGCAACATGTCACTCAAGATTTCTGAGGCTCATAGAAGGATCTTCTTGGATAGAGAAGATGCTCAAATTTCGATCCAGAACTTGAGTAAGGACTTGGGCAATCGAGTTGCGAGTGAGACCAAGGATAAGTCATATGTTGACCGTGAGCTGAACGGCAGAATGCTCGCTAGCACGATGCTTATGCTTGACGAGAAACTCAACAGGCTGCAAACAGTTGAAAAAGACAAGTCATACAGCTTCTATACCAGCCCTAACATGCCTGAAGCTCGACAACTTGTGATTCTCGTTGGCAAGATAAAGGCCCGCTTCCGTGAGCTGCAGCTTGTGGATGAAATTGGCCACATGCAGCCCCTGGCAGACGTCATCAAATACTGCAATAGCGTCCTCGAGCTTGTTCACGAAGATCCTCTAGCTAAAATTCTACCCAAAGTTGAGCAACTTCATGCTCACGTCTACGAATGGCAGTTTGGTGGGTGGGCGAGCAAGGTCTATGCTGTTCTATCGCTCTACAACGCGCTTACGGATACTATTATCCGATGGCGACGACTAGAACTGTCGACATGGGCTAATTTGTTCGAAACGGAACAAGAGAAATGCCAAGAAGACGCTTATTCCTGGTGGTTCATCGCCTATCAAGTAGTCATTGCTGTTCCCCTTTCAATGGTGGAGTCTCCTACAGAGCTGAAGGAGTATGCTACGTCACTTATCCAAACTTTGGAAACATACTTCTTGACCTCGATTATTGGCCAATTTGCAACTCGACTTTCACTTTTGAAACAACTTCAAACCCATCTTCAGTTCCTTGTGAAGGATTATCCCAGCTTGACGGTCATCTGCCATGCCCTCACGAATTTCATCTTCTACTATTCTCGTTATGAGAAGTCTGCTGAAATCGCCATCCAAAAGGGCCGGGCTACGCTTGACAAGAAGATGAAGGACGTCCTACTGATGGCCAGTTGGAAAGATACCAACATCAATGCTCTCCGAGAAAGCGCCAAGAAATCTCACCAGAAGCTGTTTAGAATTGTCAGAAAGTTTCGCCGAATTTTGGGCACAGAAATGAAGTCTGTTATCGATCAGGGCCTTCCTGACGAGACAATTACACAGCAGGCCATTCTGGAGAACCAGGCTGTGGTAGCTGAGGTGCCCAGTGTCGCCACTGAATCTTTAAATGCAGCCCTTCCTGGATGGTTGGAAAAGCGCAAACGCCTTGGTAACGTGGTGAAAACAGTATCTGTGATGCACAAGGTGGCTGCCAGCCCCGAAATGACCAGTTCTGTTCCCCAGTCTCTGGACGCATATTTTTCTAGCTTGGAAGAATCGATGGCAGAATTGAAGAAGGAAACGCCTTCGACTTTGACTGACGAGAACAAAGAGGAAGTCAAGCACATGAAGACGAGAAAGCGCAAGTTGTTCGCAGACACATTACGAGATTTGCGTGGAATGGGTTTACGGTACAACCTTGGCCAGGACAATTTGGCTGAGCAAGAATCACTCTCTATTGTACTTGCTTCAACTGCGCCATTGGAGTTCTCTAGTTCCAGCATCCTCAGCCAAGCAGAGCATTACTTCCACAAGACCCTAGATCTTGCACCGAAAGTCAGGAATGCTGCTCGAGAACATTCTGAAGATTTGACTGGCGCCGAGGTCACGCGAAGTATCGGCTTTGTAGAAGGATTTATCCACTTTGCTCTGTCTCAGCGCAGTAGCCTTGCAAGCATCATGACTGCCTTTGGATCGCTGCAAAACACCTTGCTCGAATTCCAAAATCTGGGCAAATTCGAACAACTCAATGGCTTGTCTCGACGCCAAAGTAGCACAGATCTGTCACGCCTTCTCCCATGGAGCGTTCAGGGATTGCGCTTTGCCATTCACTTGCTGAGCGTACATGGAAAATTGAGCAAGCTCGATCATAGTGCTTTGATTCAAAAGCTTCAAGCATGGACAACCACGATGGAGCAGCACTCACAGAGACTGGGTGAATTGGTCAAACTTCCCGCACTTCTAACGTCTAGTGCACATGCTCAGCTAGAGGAAGACGTCACTCGGGATTTGGCTGGGCTACAATTGGCCGTCACTGAGGCTATCCAGGGCAATCCTGATGTTGCCTTCATCCTCCAGCAGCTTCGTGTCTGGAGCCAGACTACCAATGTTCCTCTAGAAGCTCAAGGGCATACAATGGATCTTTTGGGCTTTGTGGAATCAATTGCCACTCTATGCGACACGGTTCTTGTAGCTGTTGAGAATGCAAAGAAAGCTGGGGCTGAGATTCCTAGAAAAGAGGATGAGGCGGCCTGGCTGAAGAGACATAGCGAAGCCTTCTTCTCTATGATCAATCAGCTGTACATGAGAAACGTCGAGAAAACTCTCCAGCAAAGTATTCGCACATTGCAGAAAATCGATCTTGCACAGCCGTTGGCAAGCATGGCCGCAATGAGCGCTATTACTGTTGCGTCACCAATCTTGGCCCAATTCTCAGCACTATGCCAACAATCCATCATGACCGGTCTTGATATCCATCGCGCCACAGTCAAGGTGGGATACGGCATGACAAAGGCTTTCACGCAGATCGCATCCCAGGGATTCTGCACGCCACAAGAGAAATCAGACGAAAAGTCAGGTGCCGACAGTAAAGTAGAATCTGGCACTGGCCTTGGCGATGGCGAAGGCGCTGAAGATATCAGCAAGGATATCCAGGCTGACGAAGACCTTTCTGAGCTTGCACAAGAAGCGAATAAAGAGAAGAACGAGGAGATGGAAGATGAGAAGGACGCAGTCGACATGGCAGACGAGGAGATGGAGGGAGACATGAATAGCGTGGATGGTGCTGAAGAAGAGGAAGACAAGTCTCAGAAGGGAGATGAAGAGGAAGAAGAAGAAGAGAATGACATGGATGAAGAGGCTGGTGACGTGGATGACCTTGATCCCACTGCCGTTGATGAAAAGATGTGGGATGGCGATGATGAGAAGGCGGAGAAGGATCAAGAAGGCGATAAAGCCAAGGGTCAGAAGCAAGATGACGAGCAAATGGCTACTGAAGGAGAAACGAAGCCAGATGACGCAGAGCAGGATCAGAACAAGGAGGAAGATCAAGAGCCCGAGGCCAACGAGGCTGATGAGCCCGAGAACGAAGAAGTGGAGGATGAGGAAGAAGGAGTAGATGCAAAAGAAGAGCTGAACCGCCAAGACCAGACAGTGGAGGAGAATGATGCGCTGGAGCTGCCTGAAGATATCGACATGAATCTTGACGAGAACGATGCGGCAGGCTCAGAGGATGAGGATGATTTGGATCTCATGTCAGATATTGAGGAAGACGACGAGGAGCAGGAAGAGCAGCCTAATGATGCGCAAGCGGTTGATGACGAAGAAATGGAAGAGGATGCCAAGCAGCAGGTAGAGGAGGAGACTGCTGCTGACGACGAAGTCAGCGAAGCGGAAGAGGTTGAAGAAAACGTTGGAGAAGAAATCAAGGAAGAACCGGAGGCTGATCAAGAAGAGGAGGAGAAGAAGGAGGAACAACAAGACGAGAGCCACCCTGAACCTCAACCTAAGCAAGAGGAAAACAAGGCAGACAACGACAATGCGGCCCCTAGCGATGTCAAGAGCTCCGGAATAGACCAAAACGCAGATTCCATGGACGTGGATGATGAATTCCAAGCCAAGGCGGCCCAGCAAGATGAAGGAGATATGGGAGACGGCGCCGCTGACCAGGACACGAGTGCCGGTAACAAGGGGGCTACATCACGATCAAAGGAGACTTCAGATAAGCCTCAAGATGATAATGCAGAGGAAGAGGCTCGCAATGATCCCTTCAAGAAGCTAGGTGATGCGTTGGAGAGATGGCACCGCCAACAGCTAGACATTAAGGATGCAAATCCAGAAGAAGATGAAAAGCAGCACGGTCAAGACTCTGAAGAACAAGAAAGACGCGAATTCCAGCACCTCCAGGATGACAATGCAGCGGAGGATACTCAAGCTCTGGGCACAGCAAACAAGGAAGAGGCACAGCCCTTGGACGAGTCTATGGCGATTGATGAAGAGAAGCAAGATCCAACCAGTCGTCTGATGGAGGAAGACGAGGCCGAAAAGGAGGCCGAAGAAGAGGCTGACAAAATGGATCTTGGCGAGACAGCAGACGAAGACAAGGATGCGGCTGCCAACGATGCTGATGACAACCGGACTGGCGTCAAGACAAGACAAGGTGCCTACAACAAGGAGTCTACGCCCGAAGATGAGGATGAAGATGACCAGAGGGCCAAGACGGATGAAGAGGAGGAGGAAGTCCAGGACGCGTCAACCCAGCTATCAACAACTCACCTTTGGGATGACCAGCGTCCTCTCCGCGACTTTTCTCACTGTCTTGAGCAGTGGACCGAGCTTCAAACCAAGTCTCACAGCCTGTCGCTATCTCTGACATCTCAGCTGCGACTGATCCTGACCCCATCCCAGTCTACCAAGCTGTCGGGCTCGTTCCGCACCGGAAAGCGGCTGAACATTAAGCGCATTATCCCTTACATCGCTTCCAGCTACAAGCGAGACAAGATCTGGATGCGACGCAGCATCCCGACCAAGCGAACCTACCAAATCATGCTTTGCGTGGACGACAGCAAGAGCATGGGAGAGTCGTCATCCGGCGCATTGGCAATGGAGTCGCTGGTCATGGTCTCACGCTCCCTGACGATGCTCGAGGCCGGCCAAGTGGGCGTGCTGGGCTTTGGCGCCGATGTGTTTACGGCGCACGAGCTGACAGACCCCTTTGCTTCGGATGCCGGTGCCAAGGTCCTGCAGCGATTCTCATTTGGCCAGGACAGGACGGATATCGCACTGCTGATCCGACAGACGATTGACACGTTCCGCACGGCACGACAGCGGTCCGGCGGGGGATCAGACCTCTGGCAACTTGCGCTGATACTCTCGGATGGACTGACGCCCTCTTCGGCCCACGACTCCATCCGACGCCTGCTCCGCGAGGCCATGGAGGAGCGCATCATGATTGTCTTCATCATCATGGACGACACGGGCAAGAAGAAGGGAGACAGCGTGCTGGAGCTCAAGGAGGCCAAGTTTGTGAGCGAGGGGGGCGAGAGCAGAGTGGTGATTGAGCGGTACCTGGACACGTTCCCGTTCCAGTATTATCTGATTGTGCATAATTTGGAGGAGCTGCCAAGTGCGCTGGCGGGATTGCTGCGCACATGGTTTGCCGAGGTGGCATCGTAATAGGGTATGGTATATAAAAGCACGGTATATGGAGTTTGGGCTGGGATGGATAGATGGACATGGATTGTGTATAGAATTTTGTATATGCGATGCATTTTGGAGTTTTTATAAATAAAGAGTTTACAGATTCACTATTACATGCCTTAAAAGTTTATAGTAAATACGTGCTAAGAATGCAGCTTCAAGATGCTGCGTGACGCCATCTAAAGAGGCTGCATCCCTGCATGAGTCAATATGCACATGCTGGCCATCATGCAGTAGTGCACGCACACCAATGCAGCAGCAAATTATTCCATCTCGATACTGCAGAAAAAAAGCTCAATTGTAAATCCACGGCAGTATTTGAAATTCTTTCTTCTCCTTTTGTTTCTTTTCAGTACATGTCTCACTTGGACGGAGACAACTAGAGACAACTAACATGCATTCTGCATACAAACTGAGACCCTCTGTCTCCATATGGCTGCTTTAGTGCCGAGCAATTTGAAATACTTTTAACGCGATGACTCAAGATTTCAATGAATGGATTTGGCGGTGAAACATTCATTGAGATATTATATGGAGAAGTGTAGTATGTGGTATTTGTGTTTTTGGTTGAGTTTGGACATGGCATGTCGGCTGTTAAGCTGTCATCCAATAGGTAATCCAAGCTCGGTAACACAACAACCCTTATTCATGGCTGAAATACAGGTGACACCTCGATATAATTAGTATTATAATGATAACATGCATCCCTCTCCCTTGCTATCCATCATATACATGACAGTTTCATAATGCAAATCAACACTCGCATCGTCATAATCCAGCCAACCAGATTTACAGTTCCCGCATCGGCCCTCATTTTCCTACCCGCACTCCATGGGGGCGCGGAATTCCCGAAAAAGATCCGCAGGATGAATCTCAAATCATTGTCCATCAAATTTTAAAGTCCAACGAATGAGCGGCAAGTCAGCCAAGCCGGAGCGGGAAGGTGGAAGCGGAGCAAAAGAGAGAAATTCCATTTTCATTGATACTTTAAAAAGATAGGCATTTATTTATATATACCGCTGCGTCCATCCTTGTCCCAGAGCTTCTTTAGTTCTCTTTAGCCACATGCCGCTATAAATCGCCAGACCCCGCCATCAGATCCCCAAACCCGGTCATCGGCATTTCAATCAAGAGATTCCATCCTTCTCACAAGCTCTTCTTTTCTTCTTCTTCCTCTTCTTAAATTTGACTTGATTCAACTCTTTATGCAACGGCCGTTTCTTCTCTTCCGGTGTCGGCCCTTTATCCCGCCTCTCTCATCCCAGCCAAGCTCCAGATTCTCTCGTCCTCTCTACCGCTCTCTTTCACATTCCACTCCTCCCATCACATCCAAAATGGCTGCTGCTACAGAAATGCGGTTCAGTAAGTTTAATAGCTACAGCTCATTCCCTTGCCATTTATGCCCAATTCCTACAATTGAGAGACTGACCTCTTTGTGATAGAGAATCCCGCCATCTTGTAAGTTGATCCGCTCTCATCTCGCCCTCACAAATGCGACAGCAGCCGGACGACGGGAAGCGAAACCCGCGAAATCAATAACAACGGGCTGACAACCAATTGAAAAAAACAGCGTCTGCGATATGCAGGAAAAGTTCCGCAACGCCATCTACGAATTTGATAGCATGTGAGTAGTAGTGGGCTTGGAGCCACAACCCGTTGGCTGAGCCGAGGTACCCTCCAACGTTCCTTGTGCCAAATCCTCAACACCAAAATTCAACATCACCACCACCCAACGCAGCCTCACTTCTCCATTCTTGCTGACAAAACAAAATACAGCGTCACCACCACCGTCAAGCTCCTCACCTACGCCCAGAACCTCTCCATCCCTGTCTACGCAACTACCCAAACATCCGCTAAGCTGGGCGCCACCGTCCCCGCCATCGCCGACATGCTGGGCGTCTCCGAAGTCCACGACAAGACAAAGTTCTCCATGGTCGTCCCCTCCATCGCCGCCAGCCTCGCGCCCGGCTCGCGCATCGCCCTCGTCGGCATCGAGACGCACATTTGCATCACGCAGACGGCGCTGGACCTGCGCGACGCCGGCCACTTCCCATATGTCATCGCCGACGGCGTGAGCTCGTGCAACAAGGGCGAGGTGGGCATTGCGCTGGACCGGCTGCGGAGCGAGCCCGGCATTGCCGTCACGTCGAGCGAGAGCTGGATGTACGAGTGCTTGGGCGATGCGTCACATCCCCTGTTCAAGGGGCTGTTTACCGTGGTCAAGGGCAAGCTGAGCGAGACAAGCAAGGTGTTGAGTGTGCTGCCGCCGTCCAAGATTTGAATTGGGGACATGATTGCTTTAATGGGCGGGGGAGAGTCAACTTGTATCACATGTTCTACTTTATTCACTCGGGTGGCTTCATTGTTTTGGGAGCATTTAATAAAAAGTATTTTACAGACCTAACAAATGATGTTGGGGCATTCTACTTTTTCAATTCCTACCTAGCTATGACAGTAGACAAGACAGACGGCTACAGACCTGAGTCAGAGCAGCCATTGTATAGCTTGCACCTGTCATGGCTGTATCGCCTAAAGATCCATCCCATGCTGCTGCTGCTGCTGCTGTTGAGAATCAATTACCCCTTGTTTATTCCTTAAAAACTTGGCGCAACTCCAGGCGCTTTACTCTGCCGCAGTCGTCGTCTTGGTAGACTTTGCTGTTCCCGGTGGTGTCATCCACGAAAAGGCTGACGCTACTCCGACAGGATTATTCGCCGACCTTGGCAACGACACCGAACCCGAAGCCGCCCGACCACCAGAAGCCGAGTTGGGCTTTGCCGCCTCGTGGCCCTTGCCTTCGCTCGTCGTCGCTGGCTTTTTGGTCTCCCATTTAATGCCACCGTTGGCTGCTACTGTGGTGGTGCTTTCGCCGCTCATGCTAACCTGGCTCTTGCGCCGACCAAGCTCAGACTTGGATGGGATGGGAGGCTCGTACGACGCTCCTGTGCGCGCAGAAGACGAGCTGGACTTTGGGGCTTTGAGGATCTTCATGGCACGCCCTCGAGGCGCGGGCTGGTATCCGCTCAATGGTCCAGTCTCGCGCTGATCTGTTCCGTTGCCATTGGGATTGCGCCAGGAGCCCCAGATGCCTCCTGACGGTTCTCGCCGCGAAGCTTCAGACGCACTTGATCCATCTCTTGTCCGACGCTCAGAGCCACTGGCATCTCTTGTAGATTTTTCCGTTTCCTCTTCATAATCGGGGACACTATTCGCTCGAACACGGCCCGAGGGCTCGGAATGTGACGTCGCGGGTGACGCCTGGCTTCTTGTCTCGCTGCTTCCCAGCTCTTTAGTCGCTGCTGTGGTGGATGTAGGGGTAGCTGTGGCCGTAGCTGTGGTTGTCGTTGGCGTTGGTGCTATTTTTTCCTCACTGTCGGTCCTATTGCTCTCCCCAAAGACGAACGGTGCAGCATTGGCATTCAGCTTTGGTCGTTCCGGCGCAGCAATGCTGGTAGTTATGTGACGGAATACTTCCTCGTCTTCAGGGCGAATGAAGGGAACCCGCAGTCGATCTCGCTCGTTACTGTAGAGTACCATCGTATTCTGAGAGAAGAGGACGTCGGCTGCATGCGCTCTCAGGGCATCGCTGCCAATGAATATGCGAACCGCTTTTGATTTGGCTGCATCGCCACCACTGCCACCACAGATTTCAAAACAAACCGACATCGAGGGCACTGATCCCGCGGCCGAATCTGACCGGCTGCTGTGGCGCGTAATGACAGCTTCTGCAAGGTACACATCCAATCTAGCTTTATAAGCTCCACTGGCGTCGCGGTGGAATTCGCTCAGCAAGTCTAGCTCTTTGACAAGCGAATATTCAATTGTAGACTTTTGCGACCCGGTACAAATATCCGCGTAGAGCAGCGTCCCGTGGGCATAGTCTGTAGTCAACCAGCAGCGGACAATGGATGGAACAGTCCCTAGGACATAGACAGAGGCTGGAAGCCCAGGCATATCAAAGGAAGAGTCGTCATCATCTTCATCGCCAGTGGCAAAGTTGGTGTCGAGGCCGATGCTGCTAGCTCGGCCTGACGCTACAGAATGGTGAGAATGCACCGAGTGCCCTGCCGAGCTATGCCTGCCGTCTGACTTGTGTGACAGTGACCGTTCCATCATGAAACCGGTGCCCGGACGGACTTGGCCAAAGTCTCCTGAGTGACGATTGTTTTGGGCGGCCCAGCTTGATCCATGCAAAGCGCTTTCATCAAATCGGACGCTGTTTGCTCGCGAAGCTGCGCCGCCGCGGCGAACCGGCTCCTCTTCCGCAGGGCCTAAATGCAGAGAGCCAAGCAACTGCTCGCCCTGTTCATCCAAGTCGTCAAAGACATCATTTTGGGGAATTTGGACTGGGCCTGAAGAACATTTAGTATTGGAAGCATCAGGTTTTCGACTCGATGCGGAACGAGGGCAATGCAGCTCACCATGCTGTGGCGTTCCAGCCAGGACTCCCGGAAATGGTGAATTCCATACCGACTTTATGGCGGAATCGTCTGCTTGACGCTTCTCTAGCCTCAGAATCCGTTCTGAGTAGTTGGCCTGGGCATACTGGACCTGCTTCAGCTCCATTTGCAGGTTATACAGCTCTTCCCGAGAAACGCCGAAGCGGGATTCCATGTCTGAAGATATCTCAAAGGCGGGATGCCGGAACATGTGAAGCCAGGGATAAAGAAGGGTTGATTAGTTCGATGCGTTGGGAGAAATGACAGTGCGATATTAAATAAGTTGCAGAAAAAGAGAAATATTAAGCATAGGTATTAACGCAGAGAAACAGCAGTCAGGTTTCAGCCAGGGCTGCACAACGTTGGAGCCACAGAGAAAATGACGATTAAAAAAAGGAGATGCCAAAGTGTTGCGGATCCGGGCGTTCACTTGGGGGAGTATGATGCGGCGTAACGCTCGTCCAGGTTTTCGATCACTCAGAGTATTAATGGCAGTTCACAATCCCATCCCCAACCACATCTCCTTGCCCTGGACCCGCAGGTCACTCAGCCGATAACGCAGAGCTTGCGTTATGGCTTGCAGAAACCCAATATTCAGATTTTTCAGATTTGTGATACGTCGAGAGAGATGGGGGGTCTTCAAGTAGCGGCGAAGTCGCGTGGTAGATACTGTGTCGGCACGGACTCAAAGCGGCACCAAGATTGTGGGTTAGCCACGCAGATGAAGACTCGTATGTGAGAGTGTTTGTCTATAGGGCAGGCGGTTTACACGCTGTTTATATGCTGTGATTCCGTGGCTTGGATAGACCAGTGGCCAGACGTAGGCGTGCAAAAAGAGGTACGTAGGTTATCGGTGTGTTGTTGGTGTGAAGCAGTTCGGAAGTGCCTTATTTGTAAGACGCAAGTGCTTCTTTCGGAGGAAGAGTCGCGGTGACTGCGTGTCTTGTAATAGGAAGCTGACAGCTCGATTCCGTATACGGTAGAAGTAACAGCACTGTTGGGAGTGTGTCGAGAACGCGAGCTGGAGAACGAGTCGGCGGCCGGTTTGCAGAGAGTGCTGGGGAGAGAGATGGCGTTGAAAAGGCCGACTTTGGGTGGAGGAGTCGAACGATGAAGGACGAAGAGAAAACGGAGGCTGAAGAAGCGGGAAGCGGCCGCCAGTTATTGATCGGTGGGCCCGTGCAAGTGCGACGTCGACGCGCAAACAAGGCGAGGCGAGGCGAGGCAAGGCAAGGCAGAGAGAGACGTGCGAGTAGAATCAACAAGCAGTTTCAGGTCTAAGGGCTGTGTGATGATGCGAGGTTGGCCGATCGCCACAATCCAGGATTCCAGCCCGCCTCGAGCTGAGTGGTTGCGCTGGGCGCGTTCCCCACCAGTGCCAATCACAGGCCGTGGACGCCTCTGAAGACCGCTGGGGTCAGCGCTACAGGCAGGCAATACAGCAGGGCGTCATCGCGGCAGGCATTGAGGGCTAGCAGAGAGCAGGGCAGCGCGCTGTAATACAGCGCCTAGGCCTGTTATCCCAGCTGGAAGGATGGACTGATGGATTGCAGCTTTCATCCCTTCCCCGCAGACAGGGCTGTATGTTCCAGTTTGCATCCATGTTACCAGGGCGATGATGCTGCTTTCAAATCTTGCATCCATCAGCTGATTACAGGGACTATCGGATGCCTCTCCTGACTAGATCTTCGCTGCCATAAGCCGATACTGCCTGATACCTGTATCCATTACGTTTAACTAGGCTGATCTATCCGCCGTAACATGTCGGGGCGCTTTCTATCTGGTCTATATGTATATGCGCATGCGCCTCACGAAGCAGCCCGTCTTACTCAAGGGGAATGGGCGTTACTTTTGGCAGATCAACCTTGGGGGGAGTAACAACCCTCCAATCCGGAATGATATAGTCCGTCCTGTCATCAGGCTTGATATCTTGCCCAATATGCGCCTTGATCTCGTCGAAAAACACCCTGTATCCCTGTCCGCCCATGTGAAGTCCATCCGGAAGAAGCTTGTCCAGCCCTCCTTGCTTCCCATTCTCGGGCGATCCTAGCCAAGGCCCTCCAGGTTGATAGTCCTCTGGAGTCATGGAAATAGCTTCGCCCATGATTGCTTGCCAGAGATCAATTAGAACTACTCCCGGATTCTCGCGAGCCACCTCCCGAGCCTTCTCCGAATATGAGGCAGATATGGCCGAGGACCGAATCGCTGCTGGGTGGCCGTAAGCCACATCGACCTCCTGGAGCTTAATCTCATCGACTGGGGGAGGAGTCACCAGCAGGATCTTGGGGTTGTGAGCCCGTATGTGAGGATGGTTAATAATCTTGCTGAGGTTATCCTTATATGTCTCAATAGGAACATGCTGCGATGTGGCGGCCCCAGGGATAACGGCGTCATTTGCTCCCAAGAGAATCAGCTGGAAACAATTCCGCCGAGTCAGTATACACAAATTACCATGCAAACGCCAAAGGTACTCTGTACTAACCAAATACTCAATCTTTGGCGATGAGGCGGACGGTTCCGCGAAAATCTCAGGCAAGTACTTGAGAACATTTGTCGTGTTCCACCCCGCAAAGCCGCGATTAACCACGTCAAATCGCCTTATAAGCCCTGCAAAACGTCTTTTTAGAATTTCTGTCAAGACGTTTTATTTTGATCAAAGTAGATCATTTTGGCGACTTACGAGTTTGAAGGGCCGACTGGAATGAGAAGCCGCTCAAAGTATGAGCTGCAAACTCAAACAGGGAATCCCCCAGAAGAACAACCTGAGGATACGGCTTCTATACTGAGTGAGCCTTTTTGCAGAGTAAGCCTCTAATTGTATTCCAACTTACAGCCATTTTGTGCTCTTTCAGACGTCTCTTTTGGAAAGTTGTATTTCGTGAATGTGGTAGCAGTGGTGTGGAAATGGGGGACTTGAACGACACTACATGTAGAGCACCGGATGCTGGTCTTCCGAGTTCGGTATTGCAAAGATGTCGCTGCCCACGATCTTCTCCCCACTTCCGGTCGGAATTTACGCCGAATGGTTCGCCGTGCTTTTGAGCTAGTCTGGGGAACTTCCTAGGCTTATTGGCTGAGGTCTCGTGCAGTGAAACGTTTTTTCATCTGAAGTTCCTCAGTTGTTCGGACGAAAAGGGACCTGTTCTAGAAATTGCGAGTTCGACTAAAGACAAGAATCGCTGTTTATATTAGACGCCGCAACATACGTCATATTATCTTACGCCCCATACAAGTATCAGTTGATAGGCTAATTGTATGAAACATGTCAAACATATACTAAATGATTATTTAAGGAACGTATTAGAGAAACACAAGGTGCTGATAGATATAGCAACATGCTATGAGAGCGAATACCAGAGCACCAAGATAGAGAGATGTCTCGAGTTAGCACAGGTACTAAGCCTCTGAGACCAAAGTGACAGCGATCACGTGACTGGCCAAAATAGATTGTCTCGCCGCCCCACAGACTAGCGCCACATTATCGATAAGAAACAACTAGCAAATCTCAACCGATCTGGAAAAAAAAAGTTCACAGTAGGCTTCAAGGCGCCATAGTGAACATAGCCGCGTTCCTGAATTCTTCTACATCAAACCCATTTTTTCGACCTGGAGCCTCACCTCTCGACATAATGGCGACCTCGCTTGCTGCGCAGCTGGCGCAGGTTGCCGCAAACTCGAAATCGAGTTTGGATATCAAAGCGCAAAGGGCTTCCCACTCGAAATCTCTGATCTGGGAACCCCGAGTCGCAGCGGCTCAGAGCTATCAGACTCTGTATGCGACATGCCACCAGGGCTTTGAAGAGCTTTGCCAGCTCGATGGCCGATTCGCCGTCTTTGAAGCAACCATTTTCAGCGAACAGAGCCAGAATCAGGACCGAAATCAGCTCACAATTGCGGAAAATGAGGAGCTCAACCGACACATCGAGGCGTTCCTGAGACTTGTGGGAAGCCGTTTGAGGTTGATGCCTGCGATCAAGGCTGTGGAGTGGCTGATCAGACGATTCTCGTGCGTAAAATCTTCAAACCAGAGCCCAATGCAGTCTAAAGAGTCGAACGTGGAATAACTAACTTGTCTACCCATGCAGCATTCATGTAGAAAATACGTCAATTCTGCTCATGACCTTTATACCATATCACTCCATTACCGCATTCGCGACACTCTTGTCAATCCTACCATCCAAGATTCCAAGCGAATTCCGATTCCTCGATCCGTATATCCGATCTCTCACCTCTCCTCCTCGATCAGTCTTCGTCCACCAGGCCGTCCATCACGTCGATTTCCTTACTGCCGTTTCCGAATACACCCTCGAGTCATGCCGCAAAGGATACCAGTACCCGGCTCTCATCACATTCTGGGGCGGACTTATAACCGAAGCCGTAAGCGGAATTTTAGACCGCACCAAGTCTGGTCGAGCTACGATACAGAGCGACAACAGCCAAGCGCTATTACATAGACTGGGCCCCGTCTTCGCCGAAGCGCTCGTCATGAAGAAGGTTCCCAGCCTTCAAATCGCCTCCTACATGGCCACAACTGTCTTCGTTTCCAAGGGCGATCTACATGACAATGCCGTCACAGCGTTAATGCAGCAGCTGGTTCATGGCTGGACTAGCGAGACTGTTCGGCCAGGTCTTGTATGCTTGACGATATTGGCCCAGTTCCGATCCGCGAAGCAAATGAGCAGCAAGGTCACCAAGGCTTTGATGAAGGTTCAGGATATTGGCACCCTTCTTGTCGAAATTGGCCGGGAGCGTCGCGTGGACAAGCTGGCAAACGGACTGTGCTTGGCTCTGGTTGAGAGACTAGTAAAGAAGGGCGACTCGCGCGGCCTTTCGACAATTACCACGATTTTGGGTAACCAGATACTAAAGGATAAGCAGATTTCTGTCATCTTCAAGTCTTTGCTCCTGACGGCTCACGAACTCAACGATGAAAACGACAAAGATGGCTCTCTTCGCCGTGAAGTGGGATCTACCCTGATTGCTCTATCACACACTACCGGATCAGCTGGCGATATCATTCAATCCGTCATTGAAGAGGTCAAATTCGACATTGAAGAGCTGGAAATGAAGCTGGACCTGGTATTCCGTACACGGAAGCTTCCCGAATACGCAAAAGACGGCAACGAGGCTGAGGATGCTGCTCAAGCTCAACAGGCACAGAACCCTGAAGCAGGCCTTGAAGAGTTGGCTGGCAGCTCCTCATCTCTCTCCTCATCTCTTCTACCAGAAGACGGCGAAATCTTTGGCAGCCTCAGCGACGTCTTCGTCTCCATTGTTTCCGACCAAACTGGGCGAAAGCAGGAGCTTCTTCAGCAGCTTGACCAATTCTCCAAGCTCAAGCGAGAGTCTGCGTTTAAAGACTGTACATATTTCAGCTTCTTCATTCGGATTTGGTGCGGTCTGTATCCAGCACTGGCCCGAGCTGCAGCACTGGATATGGCCAAGGACAGACTCAAGGCCGCAAGCGTGTCCGAGGTGGATATTCAGGCTCTTATTCCCTACTGCGTTGTTGCTCTCGGCGATCCTTCCAAGCGGGTGCGTCAGGCAGCGGCAGATCTAATCACAGTAGCCGCTGGACTTTACGCGCCTCCCTTTGCCAAGTCAGCAAAGGCATGGGGAGCTGATTCTCTGTATGGAAAGTCAAAGTCCAAGGACGTTGCTGCTCTAAGCATAGATGTTGCTTGCAAATTCCTCCACCTTCAGCTTTTGCCGGCGGTCGAGGAGTGTGTCATGGATGCGGATCACATTTCTGCCATTCTCAAGTCAGCCATCGAGAGCGGAAAATACCAAATCGCCCCCGACCCGTCTTTGGACAAGAAGGACCATCTATCTCAGTCTGGTAGATCAGCGCTGTTGACGTTCTTTGCTTCTCACATTGTCTCAACTCCCTTGACGCTTGTGAAGAGTAGACTGCTCAAGTCACTAAACGAAATCCGCGGCGTGTCTACCGTGACGCGAACACCACTTCTCTTGCCAGCTCTGCAGTCTTGGGCTGATTTGACGGAAGCCGAGGCCACAGAGATCTGCACCTCACAGCAGCTGGATAAGACTGTTTTGGACTCTCAGTTCATTGACATCATTGTTCCCAACGATGCCACTGGACTTGAGTTTGTGTTCAAGCTACTAAAGGATGCGGATTCTACCAATGGTGAAAGACCAGGCCTCATTCGGGCAGCTTTCTCTCGGGTCAAGAAGATGTGGACCTTGATGAAGGCCGAAATGAAGTTCATGGTGGCAGAGCAATTCCTAGAACTCTCACAAGATCCAGAGGCTACCGCCGGTAACTCTGAATCCATCATCCCGGCCGAGGCTGCAGATCTTCTAAGGTCTGTGCCCTTGACGACGGATATCCTATCTTTCTTCCTGGACTCGATTCAAACTGGCACCAAGATGATTACTGAGCCTCCTCCTAATAAGCGAAGGAGAACCAGCGCTGCTGACGCCAATCGGGGTCTGAACACTCAAATTACCCCCGAGCTGAGTCGTGCGCTGCGCAAGGTTACCTTTGTTCTGCAAATCGTCGATAGCTCGGATCCTGTGTCTCACCCCGAACTTTTGGACGGCCTGTTCACGGCATTGTCCGAGCTTCAGCACTTCAGAACCGTTGTTGGCTCAGAACTGGGCTACCTACAGAATTTGATTTTGCGCAGTCTTCTGGCCATGATGCCAGCATACAAGGCAAACAAGAACCTCAAGGTAGACAGCTCTGGAGGCTATGGAGACCTGCTTGTTAGCTGCATCCAGAAGTCATCGAGCCCCGTCGTCCAGAATGCGGCTTTGCTGTTAGTCGCAAACCTGGCAACAATTGCGCCGCACCTGGTTCTACACAGCGTTATGCCCATCTTCACGTTTATGGGCACATCTGTGCTTCGTCAGAGCGACGACTATTCCGCCCACGTGGTGGCGCAGACAATCAAGGAAGTCGTGCCTCCGTTGATCGAGTCACTACGGCAAGGCCAGAAGAGCCCCGTTGCCGGCGCTTCGGATATCCTCGTCAGCTTTACGACGGCGTACGAGCATATCCCAGTCCACCGACGACACGGCCTGTTCGTGGCGCTGGTTGAGACTATGGGACCCAAGGAGTTCCTGTTTACGCTTGTAAGCATGCTGGTCGATCGATATGAGCTGAATGACGATTTGCTCCAATTTGTTCTGGATCTCCTCAACGATTTCAGTGTCGAAATTCAGCTGGAGACCTTGGTCAAGTTGCTTGACCTCACTTCAGATCTTTTCAAGCCCAAGCCTACTCTGTCTCTTGTGCTACTTGGTAGCAGTGATGAGGAGGAGGACAAGGATGTTGAGAAGATTGCTCTTCGCCAGCTTTCTGTGCTGCCAAGTCTTTTGGCAAACAGAAAGCTCAAGGCGCAGATCAGCAAGCTTGTCGATAGAGATGACATGGAGACATCAGAAGTCCGCCAACTTTACGCAACTCTGCTTGAAGATGTGCTTGTCCTGGCAGACACTGTCAAGTCGAACAAGAGCCTGCATAGCCGATGCGGAAACGCACTGGCCAACCTGCTCAATCTACTTTCAATTGGCGAGTTCATCAAAGCCGTGGAAAGCCTGCTTGATAGACCCAGCCTCGATCTGCGGCAAAAGGTCCTTCGCGCTCTGGAGCTCCGTGTGGGTTCAGAGAGCAACACAGACGCAGCGTCAAGAACAGCCCTGCTTACTTTCCTGCCACAACTCACTGCCGCAATCCGGGAGTCCAGCGATATCCGCTACAAGCACACAGCGGTTACTTGCGTCGACAAGATTGCGGAGAAATATGGCAAGAAGGATATCGAGGCCGTGGTCGCGGCCGCATCAACAATTGCAGGTGAGCACTGCCTTGGCCAAGACGAGAAGCAGCTTCGTATCATGGCTCTGTTGTGCCTCACGTCTCTCGTCGACGTGTTGCAAGACGCAATTGTGCCGGTACTTCCCATTGCTATTCCTCAGGCCATTGTCTATCTCAACCTGAGCCTACAAGAGGATTCACAAGACTTGGAACTTCATTCGGCTGGTTACGGGTTCATTAGTGCTTTGGCTGAGCATCTGCCCTTTATGCTTTCCACTTATGTCGGCCAAATCCTGGAGGTTTCCAACAAGTCGGCAAATGCTAACCTTGATGCTGACTCCAACGAAGCTCGTGAGAGCTGTCTCGAATTCCTTGCCAAGAAGCTTGAGGCCAAGGACATGTTTACTAGCTTGGATCTTAACTGGGAGAGTGCAAGATCCAACGGTTTTTCGGTAAGAAAATTGTTCATTAGATTTTTAAAGAAAGGAGAGACTAACATGAATAATTATAGGCCATGTCCGAATACGTCAAGACGCTGGGAATGGCCATCGACAAGCATTCCAAGTCTGCCATTACTAAGAACGTCGGAGTCTTATCCAGTATCCTGCTAAAGGCCTTTGACCTGCGACGACTGATTATTGCTGATGGCGAGACTGGCGACGCGACTTTGGCTCGTCTCACTCAGCTAGAGAATTCGGTGAATGAAAAGGTTCTGAAGATGATTTACAAGCTCAACGACGCCACCTTCCGGCCTGTGTTTGTGCAACTCATTGAGTGGTCAAGCACAGGCCTCAAAGGGGACAGCGTTGGGCTGTCGAGCAGACGCTACAGTGTGTACGGATTCCTGCAGTCATTCTTTGATAATCTCAAGTCGATCGTGACCAACTACGCCACGTACGTCTTGGAGGATGCCGTTAAGATTCTCAGCGCCGTCGACCCCAAGGCCAGCAGTGAGCGGCAGCTTTGGAACCGTGTGCTCAACACACTGGCCAAGTGCTTTGAGCATGACCAGGATGACTTTTGGCAGGCGCCAGCACACTTTGGAGCAATTGCTCCTGTGCTGATGGAGCAGTATACCCACGCAGCGATTGTCGACGTCAACGAAGCCCTGATCCCTACCACAGTCGAGCTTGCGGCAGCGGCAGACTCTCAGGCGCACCAGAAGGAGCTGAACTCTGCGCTGCTCAAGCACCTCCGATCAGAAAAGGCGGCGGTGCGACTGGCGGCTGTCAAATGCGAGCAGGCGCTGACGGATCGGTTGGGCGAGGAGTGGCTCGCGATGCTTCACGAGATGCTGCCTCGGATTAGCGAGCTGCAGGAGGATGATGACGAGGTGGTTGAGAGAGAGACGCACAGATGGATTGTCAAGATTGAGGGCGTGCTTGGCGAAAGCTTGGATTCCATGTTGCAGTAAACATGGAAATTTTGAGAGATGTAATAATGTCTTGATTGGCTGAGGAAAAGAGAGAGGAGGAAGGAAAAGGTCATTATGAGTTTATACGGTGTTGTGGCTTAATTGTATAAAATGGTAGATTTAAAAGTCGGTATTTGACGCAATATACAGGACATATTTGTATAAAATGAGATGTGCTAGAAATGAGATTACCTTGTTGAAGAGTTGAGAGACTTTTTATGAGACGGCAGACATGTATTCGGTGCACTGTGATTAGCAATGAGTAGAGGTTTGACTCACAAGTAGAGATGCTCTGAAAGATGTATTTTTATCATATAAAAAATGATTAGCCTTGTGCGGTTTGGAATTTCTATTTCACAATTGATTGACTTATTTGATGGTTAGTGAGATGCCCTGATATGACGCCATGAGAATTCATGGAGCTGATATGGGTCCGATCATAGCCGCGTCCCGGGTATCAAACTTGCGCCTTTGCGCCTCACCAAACCTCTACAATTTTTACATGAGCACCATCGTCTCACACAAATAAAATCGCACCCTTTCATTCTTGTCAATTTCCACATCTCACAACATCAAACGAGATGGAAACACCCAAAATGGACAAGACGAAAGTAAACTACGGCGTATACCTCGTCACAGACTCGACGCCCGCCATCCTGGGCAACAAAGACCTCACCAGCGTCGTCGAGGCGGCCGTGCGAGGCGGCGCGACGATTGTGCAGTATCGCGACAAGCACAGCGACCGGGAGGCGGCGGTGAGGACGGCGAGGGCGCTGCTGGCGGTGACGAGGCGGCATGGCGTGCCGTTGCTGGTGAATGACCGCGTGGATGTGGCGGTTGAGGTTGGCTGCGAGGGGGTGCATATTGGGCAGGACGACATGGGTGAGTTTTAGGGGTAGTATATTGAGTTTGTTGTTGTTGTTGAGTTGTTGAGACTCGAATCTGTTCTGTGTTGTTGTGTCTTGTTTGGTTGATATAAAGACGGAGTTGTGACGCAACAGAACAGTACAACAGCTGACAAGACGAGACACAGCATACGAAGAAGCCCGCAAGCTGCTCGGCCCCGACAAAATCATTGGCGTCACGGCCAGCTCCATCCAAGAAGCCCTCAAGGCATGCGAGGCCGGCGCCGACTATCTCGGCCTGGGCACTGTCTACGCCACGCAAACGTGAGTCTCACACACACCGACACAAACACACACACACACATATATATATTCAAAGCATTGACATGGCATATCCGCAGCAAAAAAGACACAAAGTCCATCATTGGTACCGCCGGCATCCGCTCCATCCTGCAGGCCCTCTCCGCCGCCGGCCACGCCGCCATCCCCACCGTCTGCATCGGCGGCATCAACAGCTCCAACGCCACGGCCGTGCTGGTCGAGTCCAGCGCCGCGCCGGCAAAGAGCCTCGACGGCATCGCCGTGGTCAGCGCGCTGGTCGCGGCCGAGGATCCCGCGGCGGCGGCGAGGGTGCTGCTGACGAATGTGGCCATGGGGAGGGTTCCGGACGTTGTCAAGGCGGTGGCGGCTGCGACGCCGCTGTCGCATAACATGACGAATTTGGTGCGGTTTTTTTTTTTTTCAGAGTGGTTGACTCTTTGAATGATGGCTGATGTTTGATGTTTCAAGGTCGTGCAAAACTTTGCTGCCAATGTTGCGCTTGCTGTTGGGGCCAGTCCCATCATGGCAAACTACGCCGAAGAGGCTGCTGATCTGGCCAAGCTGGGAGGCGCTCTGGTCATCAACATGGGAACTGTGACGCCGGAAGGGCTGAAGAACCATGTTCAAGCGTTGCAGGCGTATAATGCTGCTGGAGGGCCTGTTGTGTATGATCCCGTTGGGTAAGGCCATCCTCCCCCCCTTTTCGTCTCCTCTCAGCCCCCTTTTTTTTCTTCACATTTACACAGACATTTCAGTTTTACATATGATCATGCCCCGTTTATAAAAAAGTTGTATCCTGATACTAATAATACCTTCCAGCGCCGGCGCAACCGCCATCCGCCGCAACGCCGTCAAGACGCTCCTCTCCTCCGGCCACTTCACCGTCATCAAAGGCAACGAGCGCGAAATCCAGACCGTCTACGGCTCCTCCGTCTCCCAGCGCGGCGTCGACTCCTCTTCCTCCTTGACTATCCCGCAGCGTGCCACTCTCGCCCGGGCCCTCGCCCGCCGCACCGGCGCCGTCGTCATCCTCACCGGCAAGACGGACATTGTCAGCGACGCATCTCGCACGTTGCGCGTAGACAACGGGCACGAGTTCCTCAGCCAGGTCACGGGCACGGGGTGCACGCTGGGGACGACGGTGAGCGCCATGGTTGCCGCGTTTCGGAGCGACGTGCTGGTTGCGGCGCTGGCAGGGCTGGTGCTGTTTGAGATTGCGGCCGAGAGGGCGGCGGTGAGGGACGATGTTCGCGGGCCGGGCACGTTTGTGCCGGCGTTTATAGATGAGTTGAGTGCGGTGAGGAAGGAGACTGCTGGGGGGAACGTTGCGTGGTTGGCAAAGGCCAGGATTGAGGCTCTGGAGGTAGTTGAGGAGGAGAGTGCGTGATCTCTATGAAAGCGTTTGAAAAAACAAAACAAAAGGAAGCATAATGATCTAGAAGTTTTCACAAAAAGGTGAATTGGGAGAAGAGAATGATATCATGTTGCTTATCCTTCATACCGTTCTAAACACGTACAAGAGTGCTAAACTCGACTGTTAGCTTTGACGCGCGCCATTCCCAAATATCCAGTTACCCTGTCTGAGGTTTTCCATCGATCCTTGTGAAACAAAGAAGAAGAAGAAGAAGCAAAAAAAGAAACACCATGAACCTGGTTGCTTGTACACAACCTAACCAAACTCCACGCCATATTACACTGCTCCAGCCTTGCATTTCAAAAAGAATCCATCACCATCGGCTCCCCGTTCAAGTTCCACGCCGTGTCATTCATAAAGTTCTGCCACAAATCGTCGTCCAGATCTTCCATGCCTGCCATCGCCCACCCCTGGCCACCCTCTCCTTTGTTCGCCGTTGCCAGTGTAGAAGACGGTAGAAGAGAATGACGACGGTTGACTTCACTTCCCTCCATCTCCGCCGCCACCTGTTGTATCTGCATGTTGACCAGATCTCTCCCATACATTAATAATTTATGCATCCGATCCATGGGGTCTTCCTCAGGCCAGCGGTCACTCTTTCTCCGCGCCACAATCTCGCCGACATGCTCAATTTCCTCATCGAGCATTTCCCGGATTCCTAGCTCGGAAATAATATACCGAGGATCCCAGTCGGGGATCCGGACGAGGAGGAGCTTGATGCCTGTGATGATTGCGTAGGCAAGATCCGACGCGTTGATGCCCAGGAAGCTGCGCTCTACTTGATCAATCATGTCGCAGCTTTTGACCGAGGCAACGGCGTAGAAGCGGCGCAGAGCATGGAGACAGGACCAGAGGAGGTGGATCCGGTCACTGTGCGGGAGGGAGATGGCGGCGCAGTGGGAATCGGAGATTGCCATGTCGGCGAGGAGGACTTCCGATATGGCCAGATGGCATTGGAGAGTGCCTGTGGAATAGGTTAGCCGGGCCTGCATTTTAGGGAGTAGCTCAGGGGGGGTTGGGGGGTTGGGGGGGGGGGGGGGGACTTGCTGTTATCGAGAAGATGAGGCGGTAAAGACGCTCGATATGCCTCAATCTGCTCCTGAAACGTCTGAATCACCATTGTCAGGGGTAACTGCATCGGTTGCTGATCCAGCATGGCCATGGAGATGGACTGCGACAGCGTCTGTATCTTGACAAGTCTAGCTAGATATAAGTCGGAATGATACTCTCCCGGTGACGTGAGGAGGTTGCAATAGTTGTCGAGTTGTGAAGTATTCATAAAGGCATCCACCTTTTTATTCGTGTTGAAGACGCTATTTTTGAGTCAGTCAAAGTTGGAGAAAATAATTTGGCAGGTGAAGTAGACAATGGCGCTTCAACTTTTGACTTACATGGCGTTGAGATAATATGTCCCTAGGTATGCTCGTGCGTGTTCCAACTCGCCCCATTTGACCTCGTCTTTATTGCTGTTGCCACCGGCGCCGCATGAGATTCCAAAGCCGCCCGAGCTTAGACTCATGGACCTTGCGAGGAAGAGTAAGTTGGTAAGCTGTGCACTCTTTAGACAGAAATTTAGCCTGAAGATGGAATGATTAGCACATCATCGTCAAGCTCCCAACCAGGTGAGCATACAGCACCCGTCTACTTACCAGCTTATGGTCAGCAACAGTCCCTGCAACGTCTCAAGGTTCCTCGTGCTGTCCAGTACGGACATCCTCCCCAGTTCGGCCAGCACCTCCTTGCCCATGCGGTGTTGCCTCGGTCCGTCGATGAAGCAGCTAATCATCATCACCACCCTCCACAGGAACGGTCTGTGTCGACGCAGATCCGCCGCCATGAGATGCTTGGGCACAATCACAAAGGGGGCCAGGCGCGCATGGCTCGCATGGTACTGCAGCAGCAGGGTCTCGGCCTCGGCTTCTGTGGGCCATATCTCGGTCGCCGCCATAACGCAGTCGTTGCTGCCGACTTCCGAGGTCCATCCCGAGACTTCGGCGCTCTCTGACCGCGGTGACGGGAACAGGTACTCAAAGGTGACGATGCTATCGCACTTGTTTTTCTGTCGTCGTTGCTGCCGTTGCCGTTGCTGTTGCTGTTGCTGTTGCTGTTGTTGCTGCTGCTGTTGATGCTGTCCAGGGCGTTCGGTGGCTGATGGGTGGTTGCCTGATGAGACTGATATCGACGGTGAGTCCCCTGACTGCTGGCTTGATCTGGTATTTATGGCGGCAGCAGCGGCAGCCCCGTCGACAAACTGAGATGACAGCTCATCCAGCCTCTTCTCCAGCTCGGCAACGCGAGACCTCTTGGGCGGCTTCTTGGCCCGCGGCGGAGCAGGCCGCTGTGAGACACATTCTCTCTTTAACCTCTGGCATCTATAATAAACAAGCACATGAGTATAATGAGTTGAATCAAACAAACAAACAAAACAACCAATCTAGAACAAGAGGAGCAGGGCAGCTAGCCGGAAGGGGAGAAGAACATAAAAAGACATGACAAGACATGATGGATAGAACCAAAAAGTCACTGCAGCTCCGAGCCGAGGACCAGCGATATCGAACCCGCTGCCCCCACGCAACCTCCCGGGATTTCGGGCCGGAGCAACACACGCCCACGGCACGGAGCAAACCATAACAAGTAAGAAAGACATGCCAGATCCATACCTTTCACACTTGCTGTCCTTGTCCGGGCCGGGAATGCACCGGGCCTTGGCCTTTGCGCATGTCGTGCAGGCCTTGGGGCCTTTACTGGCGGGCTCCATGGCCGCGCCGGAGCGGGAGCGGGAGCTGGAGAGAGCCGTCGATGGTACAAATATGAGGCCGTCTGCAGCAGTTTTGCCCTGGTCGGATATGTATCGGAGTGGATGCTTTGTAAGGTGTGTATATATTGGTGGATTTGAATAATGGGTGTCTCTTTTTTTTTACAATTCTCCGAACGCGGACAGGCTATAAGTGAGATACGGCGAGACTGTACTCCGGTTTTGCTGGGTATCACGAGAAAGGGAAGAAAGACTGAGAGGAGAGGAGCAAGAGAAACGGAGTGAAAGGAATTAGTACACAGGATTGAGTAGGGATTCAAAATAGGCAACCAGTCACCCAATCAGCAACGCGTCACAAGAAGAAAAGGGAGAAGAATGGCAGATGGAAAGAAAAGAGAGATTCGCTCGCTGGACTCGGGATTCATTGCTGTGTAAAAGACAGTTCCGTCCCAACGAAGCCCGCGGTTTGCGAGGGTCGGAGTCAATATTGCGCCGGCTGTCCGTTTGGGAGTCTGGCGGAGAGGAGTGGAGCTGGATTGGGGACGTTGTGGCCTTCCGGAGTGTTTTTCCAGCTCCGATAGGCTCGCGTGGCGGGCTAGGCCGGATTGGGGACAGGGCCGAGATGTTTTTGGAAGACGAGCAAGGCGGCAGGATTCTGATCCCAAATCTGGAGTTGATGCATCAGGATGGCATGGAACGATGCCTGCAGAAATGGGGTGCTTGTGGGATCCATTGCAGTAGCATTTGAAGAGGATTATATGGAGGAGACTTGGCAGATGGGCACTAACAAAACTCAAATGTTAAGCTTATATGGATACAACTGCCGTGAAAGTCATGTCACACCTTGGTATTACCATATTACATCACAGTACTTTATGTCACAAAGAGAGACAGACACATTGATAAGTATAGGCGGCATCTTGTCAGACACCAAGAAAAGATTCGGTTTGTATTGATTCAAAACCCCGACTTTTTCTTTTGGCAGCTTTTAGCTGCAGTGGGTGGTTTTATACAAAAAAAAAAAAAGATTGCATCAAAAATAGGGCTATTTAGAAGTGAACTTGGTTTTTGCAGCTAGCTCAGACAAAAGCAAGCAAGCCGCGCGACCCAATCGCACACAGTGGTGCTTCAAGTCTCAGTCAGGCAATTTATGCCGACACGTCCATGGCGCGGCCGGCGTTGCTTGCCTCGCGGGCGAGCAGAGCCTCGGTGATGCCATTCGCGGCAACACCGGCGGCCTTGGCCTCTTGCGTGGCCTGCTCAATGTTCAGCAGCTTGTCGGTCCACAGGGGCTCGGGCTCGTTGCCCTCGACGCCGACGCCGATGAAGCCGCCCTCGGCAGCCCATTGCGATGTGCGCTTGATGTCCAGGCGGGTCCAGATCTCATCGAGGGCGCTGACAAGCTCCTCGCGGAGTTCCTTGGTGTGGCCGGGCGTGGGAGTGACGCGGAGACGCTCCTGGCCAACGGGCACGGTGGGGTAGTTGATGGCCTGGACGTAGATCTTGTAATCCTTGAGGAGCAGGTCCGACGCCTCCTTGGCCAGGGCAGCGTTGCCGACCAGGATGGGCACAATGTGGGAGGGGTTGGGGATGACGGGGATGTCGCGGGCGTTGAGCTCCTCCTTGACGGCGCGGGTGTGGAGCTGCTGCAGACGACGGTCGCCGTCATACGCCATCTGGTACTTGATGGAGGCGTTGGCTCCGGCCATGGTCGCCGGGGGCAGGGTGGAGGTGAAGATGAAGCCGGGAGCGAGCGAGCGGATCATGTCGACAAACTTGGCGCTGCCGGCAATGTAGCCGCCGACGGTGCCGTACGCCTTGGCGAGCGTGCCGGTGAAGATGTCGATGCGGTCCATGATGGTTCCGCGGGGTCTGCCGGCGGCGTGTGCCTCCCAGTCCAGATGCTCGGCAACACCAGCGCCGGATGGGCCGTACATGCCCACGGCGTGGACCTCGTCCAAAAAGGTGATGGCGCCGTACTTGTCGGCCAAGTCGCAAATCTCCTCAATGGGGCCGATGGAGCCGCACATGCTGTAGACAGACTCAAAGGCGATAATCTTGGGTACGTGCAGGGGCAGGGACGCCAGCTTGGCCTCCAGATCCGCCACGTCGTTGTGCTTGAACACAATCTTCTTTGTTCCCGAGTGGCGTATGCCCTGGATCATGGACGCGTGGTTCAAGCTGTCTGATAGGATGACGCACTCTGGCAGTTTGCTGCCGAGGGTAGCCAGCGTAGCATCGTTGGCGACGTAGCATGAGCTGAACATCAACGCAGACTCTGTGGCGTGGAGCTTGGCCAGCGTCGCCTCCAGCTCGACTGCGTGCTTGTTGTGTCCGGAAATGTTTCTCGTGCCTCCCGCGCCGGCGCCATACTCCTCCAGCGCCTTGTGCATGGTGTCGAGCACATGCTGGTTGCCGCCCATGCCGAGATAGTCGTTGGCGCACCACACGGTCACCTTGTCCTTCTTGTCGGCCATGTGCGCCACCGGGAATTCCTTGGCGAGGCGGTTGATGTTGTTGAAATAGCGGTACGACTTGTCCTTGCGCTTCTTGTCCAGCTCGGCCTGGTAAAAGTCCTCATAGGCAAACTTGCCGGCCGAGGTGAAGGCAGATGCGACAACGGGCGGCACATCCTTGCGAGGGGCCGTCGCGGTGGGCGGAGGAGGAGGAGCTGCAACCAAAGCATCAACGTTAGCAAAAGGACACACACAAGCACACGGCAATTGCAATTGCACGCACCATTCTTCCGTCCGTCCAGGATCGGGCTCTCCACGGCGCGGGCCTCCTGGTTGCGGCTCGTGTGAATCCGAGCCTTGTCCGAGCGGGACTGCGCCGAGAAGGCCCGGATGCCCGCCGCGGCGCCGTACTTGGACGACTGCACGGCCATGGCCTTGCCCATGACGGGGCAGCGGTGCGCGTACAGCTGCAGCTTGGACATGGTGCCGCCGCAGGGCGAGGCTCGCGCGCTGGGACGGGTGGCCGTCGACATGGCACGCAGCGTCGCGGGCGAGGCCGACTTGAGGAACGGGCACATGGCCTTGGACTGACGCAGGACGCTATCCATGGCGTGGGATGGGCAATCGAAGGAGGTGTTGCGCTGGAAGCAGAGATTCAATGCTGCTGACAACGAGTGGCAACAATTGAAGAGAGAGAGAGAGAGGTTGAAGAGTAAGAAGGAAAAAGAGGGTTCTTGTTCGTTGGTGGTTTATTAGTCAAGTTAGTGAGACGAGCTAAGCGGAGGAATAATAGTTCCAGCCACCAAAAAAAACTTCTGGCGAAGCCGCCCTGGTTAGCCTTGACAGGAAGGAGTTTGTTTCAACAAGAATTGTTCTCCAATTCTCAATGAACAGAAGCTGATGTTAAGCCAGAGAGTAGAAAAGGAAGAGAAGAAATAGAAAGAAAAAAAAAAGATTCGAGACAAGTGTTTCGGGGACCGCGGCTCCAGATATAGAAAACTCGGGCAAAGCTGAGACTCTCGACTCAGACGCCCGCCTTAGACGGAGTCTCCACAATTCAGTTCCCGAATCAATCCCGGCCGCGGCTTCGGAGCGGCCATGGTTCGTTTTTGCTGACTGAAGCGTATTGTCTATTCGCCCATTCGCCGGGCGCGCTACTAGGCAATTACCCGGGACCCATGCGCGGCATATCGTGTACGGCTGTCGTATGTCCAGGGAAAGCGAAAGAGAGAAAAAAAGCCATGTTCGTCGCCGATATCCGCACTGGTATAGCACGCGCAGAGTTGAGTCTCGAGAGTGGCATTTCTTGTCCAACTTTACCTGATCAGCCCTTTTGATATTATAATCACTACTACCCGCTCCCAGTAATGCTACCTGCAATACCACCCGCATACCACGTATAGAGCCTGCAGATGCGCGTACAGTCAGCCTGTCAGATCACAGTGCAGTCGTATCGATTACATGGTGCTCCTCAACTTGGGAGAGCCTGCAGATACCCGTGCAGTCAGCCCGTCAGATCACAATACAGTTGCAATTGCAACGCTCCATCTCGCTTCTGATTGGGCCGTGGTGGCTTCGATCTCAGGGCAAGGACTGGATGAGGAGACTGCTAAATTGTGCTGTGTCTGTCATCCAAACGGTAGCATGCCTGTAGTTTGCATGCGCTGCAACACAAAGTCATCAAATCAATTAAGTTGAGCATGATGCTCACAACCCCAAGAGGTTGAACGCTTACACGATCTACTACCTACTTTACCTCTTTAATTCAAAACAGGGCATCTACTGCTTCGTGCGAATTGATCTATTGATGAGAATTGCAATGCCGATTGATCCTTTAGGAAATAATCGTTGGCTTACTTCGAAGATACTTGCCCAATATATCATCAAGACTTATAATGCCGATTCATCTTCCAGCAAATAGTAGTTGGCTTACTTCGGAAATACGTGCCGAAACCCAAGTACACTCGAAGCTCCCTGTCATATGCAAATCACTCAAATGTCCTCCGCATGCAATGACAAATATCGCAGACTTCGTACTCTAGTTATGGCGTATAGCAATACGCCTTTGTATGGCAACTACCTTGATAGGGGTATATTATGCCCAGCAGCACATGTAATTCTCTTGATACAACGTAATGCAGTTACTTGCTTACATGCAGCACACCTGATAAATATTAGCCGTCTATATGAATGCAACTAGCATTAGTAGTAAGACTTTACTAAGTTGCCAAGCGTCGATGCTTCCTCAACAAGAGACTAAAATGACGGAATAGTCCTTCTACTACGACACTGACTCAGCGCCTTGGTCGATGAGCTGATTTTGCCGGTTCCAGGCGCTCTGGACCACTTACACAATTACTAGGCGTCTTGGCTGCTCATTAATTATTACCAAGGTAGGTAGGATTGCGGCTGAGGCACAGTGCGGGACATCAACTTATGGTGCTTATTAAACCCGCTTCGAGTAAAAGGATATACATACATAGTGTAGCAGAATTTCTTCTTCCTTGAAATAAAATCCCTAAAGCAAATCGCCGCTCACGCACTTCTGTGTAGTTGGGGGTATCTTCACACCGAAACACAAGACTAATCAAAAAAAGAAAAGAAAAGAAAAAAATTCCCAGGAAAAGAGAGTGGCCATTTCCTTTCCGGTTGAAAAGGCCGCTCCAAACGCCGCAACCGCGCCGCACCATGCCGCAACTACGAAAATTAAAATAAAACCCACAATGCGCCTTATATCCATCTTCTTTTATGGGGTCTGGGTGTTGCTTTTTGAAAGCGCGTCATTTGCCCAGGGCGGTAGTCGGAAACTGCGCTCTGTCCTATTATGAGCGGTTTGCCGCATGGCTTCGGCATCTTCACTGGCTCGGGGAGACTGCGAGATTGGCCTATTAATATTGTCGTGCAAGTTCTGCTAAAAGTTAGCTTGAGCTTTCTTCTTCTTCTCTGAAATAAAGTACATTTCAAAGAAAGGCTACATGAAAGAGAAGTGGGAGTAATGTGAGTTGGACATACGCTTGGATCAGGCGCACTGGCACTGCGTTGCAATTGAGTGTTAAAGTCACCTTGCGTCTGGCTATTCATGAGTAAGATCCTATCTTGTAATTCCTTTTCAGGCGCTGTTGCCAAGTATTCAGGCGTGTAGTTTCCCCAAATTATCGCCGGCACGAGCCGGTCATGTTCTCGTATGAGACTGACCAGCAGGCGCCAGCGGTGATTGTCAGGAAGAAATCCCCACGCCTGCTTCTTCAGAGCTTCGGAAATGCCCACTGTGACTCTTTCTGCTAGCTCTGCTGCGTTGACTGTTTGTACGCGCTGCTCGTTCACCAACGTAGCCAGCACATTCTCGAAGTCTGTCTTAGAATGATTTCGAGACTGGCTGAACAATGATGTCGTTGTATTTGGCACATTCGTGGTATCCGGGTTTCCAGATGTCAGTGCCAACATCGGTGCAGAACTTGGCCCTGGAGGACTTGGCAGAGATTCTGCTCCTTGTTGCGGTGTGGGTGAAGGCCTGAAGGGCATTATAACATTTTTGTTTCCGGAAGGGTTAGTATACGCAGCAGAATTCATGATATATGTGTTCGCCCCTGGTATAGGTAAAGGAGCCGACGATGGAAAGTGCACCTTTGATTTCAGTCAAGATTAGCTGTGAGCTAGCTGGCAATGCAACATGATACATAGTAACTCACACGAGAGGCAGCTGGCGCCATGGGGGCTGGTTGTGCTTGCGAAAACGACGGAGTGTTGGCATTTGGCACTGGCTGGAAGGAAAGTCCCGGAATGACAAACGCTTGCTGATTATGTTGTGGTTGCTGATTGTACTGTGGTTGCTGAGCTTGCTGAGCTTGCTGATTGTACTGTGGATGAGCTGGATATGGGGATGAATGCATTTGTATGCCTTGAGGCGGTCGAGCGGCGTCGGCCATAGCTCGAATCTGTGCTGCTCTTTGTTTTTCTTCGTACATTTTCCTATACTTTTCCGGATCGGTTTGCTTCAGCCGTTCCATGTCGTGCAATTCTTGAGCATCCTTCTTCTCCTCGGCCGTTAGCTCATTTGCAGGGTCTTCTTCTTCGTACGTGTCTGTCGAAAGAATCTTCCGAATGGCCCCGTTATCTTTTGACAGTTCTATCAGCTTATCCAATATGGTGTCTTGGCCTAGAAAAGGACTGAGGTCGCTGGCTGGCTTTGTCGCCATGGGCTTGAACAAATCTCCGTTCCGCTTGCCCCAGGCAATGGGGTTCGCTTTGTCTACAACACGCGATGCGAGCTGCGTCTTGAAAATCGACCTGTTTTGTAGCCCTTCTTCAAAGCTGCCCGCAATGACAAAGCGGTATACATATACCGTTTTCTGTTGTCCAAACCGGTAGGATCGGCCAACAGCCTGTTGCTCGTTAACCGGGTTCCATTTGAAGTCGAAGATGACGACTCGGTTTGCTCCTTGTATATTGAGGCCTACTCCGCCTGCTTTTGTGGAGATTAGGTAGATCTCCGACTCTCCAGCCTTGCCGGTGTTGAAAGCCTTGACCATACCTTGCCGTTTGCTCACGGGTGTGGAACCGTCTAGCCGCTGTACTGCTCGTCTCTGCTGTTTGAACAGCTCCTCGAGGTAGTCTAGCGTCAGAATAGACTCACTAAAGACGAGGACTTTGTCTCCCATAGCGCGCGCTTGGTCTAACACGACGAGAAGGAGTGCAACCTTTTGCGAAAGTTCAGGGTTGGCTATGTCTTTCCCGTTTGTCTCCTTAAGAACAGTCGAGATCATATTCGGGGGAAATTTTGTTGACCGACCATGGCTCTCGCTTTCGTCGTCGGTTCCCTCATCTCCTGGGCCTCTTACAGACTGCTGTGCCGCCTTTGGCGTCTTCGATGCTGCCTTTTCATTCAGCATCAGTTGCCTAAAGCAGCGAGGGTGGTTGCAGATAACCCCGAGTTGCGCCACAAATTTCACTACACTCGTTTTTGATGACGCAGCCACCATTTCATTCAAGTAAATGCCGTACAGCTTTTCTTGAAGAGGATTAGGCTTGACGAAGAGGACGAATTCGTACTTTGGAGGTAGCTCATGCTTGACAACCTGGACAGTGGCTCGCTGCACTTTGGGAGCAACAGTCATCTTCAATACCTCCAACATTTTCAGGGCTTTGCGCTTCTCGGACCAACTACTCTCCCTGTCTAGTCCCCTTTCAATAGGTTCTGCGTATATATCCGCAAACTCCTTTTGGGGTCCGAGATACCTTGGTGCCACCCAATTTATCATTGAATAGTACTCTTTGATGTTGTTAGATAACGGGGAGCCGGTCAAAGCAATCCGTCTTCTGGTGAGAAAGTCTTGGCAGACTTGGTGAAGCTGGCTGTCAGGATTCTTCATTGTGTGGGCCTCATCACAAATGACAATGTTGGCTTTGTCCGTCAATATCTGTTTCATGTTGTCGTTTTCGGCCCGTGTTCTTTTGAACATCTCATGTCCCATAACCAAAACACCGCCATATTCTGCCCAGTATTCAATCGTTGAGATTTGGTTTGACTTGCTTTGTGCTGATTCGACTTTGAAGACATTGCCAAGTATGCCTTCGGGTGACCACGCATTGATTTCTTCAAGCCAGTTGATGACCAATCCAGCAGGGCATATGATGAGTGACTGTGAAGTTCTCAGGTCCATAGGTATCTGCGCCTTTATGGCTTCATTATCCGAATGAGAAGCTTCAGCTATCGCCACTAGAAGAGTAATAACCTGCATCGTCTTTCCCAGACCCATGGTATGCGCCAGAAGGCAGCCTTGTCGGAGGTCTGCATTGAGAATAATCTGATTCCATAGAAACCGGACTCCTTTGATCTGATGGTCTTTGATGCGCTCACCAATTTTTCTGCTTATATAGATGAATGGCTGGCCATCTTGTTTACTTTCGTTGATAATCAGTCGAGCCTCGCCTTCTGTCATGGTGCTGGATAGCGTGGCGAGTTTCAAATTCTTGGCTGCGCGAGCCTCATATTCCTCGGCGCGTTTCTTCCCTTGTTCTCGGAGCTCAACACCCTCTTTGTTCTGCACAATCTCTCTGGTCGCGCGTTTGCGTGGCTTTGATGAACTTTGTGTAACATTGGCTGAGTGATCACTAAGCTCATCTGGTCCAATTTCATCGTCCAGGGCATCGTCAAAGGCATCGGTTCTAAAAATCTGACTGCTCTGTGGATACTTGGGAGCCCACTCCCTGATAAAAGCATGGAAAGCCGAGAAAAATGCTTTTGCACGGTTGAGACGGTTTTGGTCCTTCTCCTTCAAAGCCAGGATCCGATCATCTGCGTAGTGGCGACACTGACAGAAGCTTAAGAACAGCTTTGTGAGGTCAAAAGCTGTAGTATTTGCTTGATCTTTTCCGATATCTGACTCCTTCGTAAAGGGATTTGCTATGTAGGAGGCTACAAACGCCTGCCAGGCCTCTTCTGCGGTGAATTTCTGCATTGCCTGGAGAATCGGCTCACGGCGGGCTTGCATAAGCTTCCACAGCAGACAGAGAACCAATCGCCAACGGTCTTTTGCTTTTGCCCAGTGCTTTGCAGACGTCTCGCCAATCTTCTCCAAGCTTCCCAGTTGAGCCATAGGCGGGACTTCTTCTGTCAAATAGATTGGCTCTTCTTTAATGAGAAGAGGGGCGTCGTCCACCTGTTTCTTGACCGGAGAAATTGTCAAATCGATGCATTCTATTGTCGCCTCGCGATCCTGACGATCTGGTAGAGATTCTACCTGTGTGAGATCGATAACCATGGAGGCGTCAACTTCAGACAAGGGGTGGCTTGTTTCGCGGATACGCCGTTCTCGTGGCGACGCGGGAGTGCTCTTAAAAAAGTCTCCGTCGGTCATGGCCACATCGCGGTCGTTGTCAGGTACAATGAAACCTTCTTCATCTGAACTGGTCAATAGTTCATCGTCCGAATTTTCTAGGCGCACCTTTGGTGCTGAAGACTTCGGCATCGGAAGCCCCAGAGGCTTTGGAGGGGGATGGCGCCTCTCAAGAAGCGAAATGAACCATAATGTATCAAGTTTGTCGATCAAGCTCGTCTCCATAGTGGCAGCTTGATCACGGAGATCGCTCTCTTTGTCCCATCTGCTGCTGAGTATCCCCGTATAGAATTTTTTTATCCGCCCATCGAGGTGCTCCGCGCGTTTTCGACTCTCGAGAATCTCCTTCTTGGCCTGCCCTGTTCTTTTGACACCCATCCAGTCTTTATATGCTCGGCGTTCGCGCTTGGGCAGCTTCTTTTCTTTCCAATTTGCTTCCATAGCAGCCAATTCCTCTTTGAGGATAACCTCCGCGCGCTCTCTCGATATGTTAGTGTCAGGCTGATGTTGTTTTGCTGCAATTTCTGCTTTCTCATCATCAATCTCTCGCTGTGTCAGTTCATCCCACGAGTCAGGCAGGGCATCCAAGTCTATGACCGCCTCACTTCCGTCAGAAGGAGTTGGCGACTGCAGAGGAATGAATCCGCGCTTCATCGAAGCTTGTTTCTGAGAATTTTTGAGAAAGCGCATCCGTAGCATGCGATTGACAACAAGCCTCCGCCCAGGAGGTTTTGCATGGCTTGGAGTCACAATCGCAAATCCGCCTCCACCAAGATCATTCCAAGGGTAGTCTGGAGTTCCATTAGAAGACAGGATATCTTGACGATAGATTCTCTCGCTCCCTAGATAGGAATGTTCTGAAATGGGTTCCAAAATTGAGCGTTGGCCACTATTACTTGGTATCTTGGCTGCTTCAATCAGATTGAAGGACTCGGATTGAAATAGAGAAAGGGAATTTGGGTCGGCCAACGGCTTTGCGCTCAAATTCATCGGCTCCAAGCGTCTCCGCTTGCAAGATTTTTCTTCGCTGGCTCGATCATCCGCTGAAGTATGGGAAGGAGCTTGAGAAGCAATTGATGAGAGTCCATTGGCAGAATCGACCCTGGTGATAGAATCTGCATCGCCATCCAATTGCATTGAAAGGTCCCCATCAGGTTCAAGTAGAGCGCCATCAAAGACTTTAATGATTTGAGCATTTACCGACGGCGCTTCGACTGTTCCGTGTGGCTCATACTGAGTTGAGATGCTTCGAGCGTTTGGAGTGGGTGTCGGATCCAAGGGTCGCTTCACAGGCGGTATGGGCGAGAGCTCTGTCTTCACATCATCTTGCTCATCGTCGGATAGGAGCGCGGACTGAGTCTTCAAGAAGGTCTTTTTCCACGATCGAAAACTTTTGCTTCTTGCCCGAAAGTTGATAATCGTCTCTGCCAAGTCTGCTTTGCTTCGGGCCGCTTTCAGATTGAGGCATTCCATCAACTCCGCCTTTGACAGTAAGAATTCATAAGTGAGTAAGGTGCGCCCGTCAATATCATTATCAATCAGCTTTGCAGCTAGCGCAGCTGGGTCTTTTATCCATGGGGTATTTTGGAAACAAATCTCCCCTGAGAGGGTTTCTGCATCCCACAAGAACGGGTCATCTTGACGGATGCTTCCCATCTGGGCCACACTCGCGCTCAGAGACGGCACGGTTGGATCCACTGCGAAGCGTTAGCAACTCGAGTATCGCAAACTTGTTCCTTGAAGTGAACAGGTTCTCTGTGGTTATTTGAAGCATTCCATCAGAGATGAAATAATTCTCCAAAAGCCACATGATGCCTTGAAAAAGAGCGATGACATAGAAGAGCTAGAGTAGACTTACTATGGTCTCACCAGCTTGAAGCGGCATGTGCATTAGTAACGAGAGAGAAACGACACAAGGAAGATATATAAAAAAAAAGGGATATTATAATGAAGAGTCTGAAGAAGGAAAAAGAATGCAGCTGATTTCTGGTAAGCAGAAGGTTGCGTGAACTAGGTGCGTTTCGGCTGAAGAGAAAAGAAGGTGGTGAGATAATGCCTGCAAGAAGCCGAGAAGTGAAGAAAATCGAGAGAAGGATATGCTGACATCAAGGTATTATCCACAAACTCTCTGAATCGGCAAAACACAAGCACGGCTCCTCAGCGCATCTCGCTCCTCAATTATGTTCCCTCCTAAGAAAAGAGTATGCTCAAATACGCGTTTTGTTGGCGACTGTTGGTTGCCAGACGAAATAGAGAACACCACTTCACGTGACCTCTGAGCGTACAGGAGGAGGAAAGAACAAAAGAAAAAAAAGAGTTGCGATGAAATGCGCGGATCAACTCTTCGCCCGGCTCTCGCCTGATTGCTGCGAGCGCAGCCACGGCGCTGTTCTTATATTTCCAGATTTTCCTCCTTCTTTTCCGTCGAAATCTCGCGGCCTCGAGCGTCGAGAAAATTCCATCATACCGTAGTAGCAGTGCTAAAGGGTCTCAGCTGCGGCTAATTGGCCCGGGGGTGTCTCAGAGACGCATCCACAGGGCATTTGGCGCCTAGCTAGAGCGGCTGATAGGCGAGCTGTGGCGATGGCGGGGGCTGAGGCTGAGCGCACATGTTGCGTGCGGCTTAGATGCGTTGAAACGAGTGCCCAACGACGACATCTTTGGTTGATGCAAGATGGAAAATCGGCGTGTAATCTTGTCAAATTATGTCAAGCCTTGATAGAAAAGAACGTGGAATATTGCGCCCAGTGAATAGAGCAATGTGAATAGACTCTTTAAGAATTCAGAATTCACAACGACGCAAACAGTCAGTGTATTTACGGAGCACGTCGGAAAGCCATTAATAATCCGCCTCTGTGGGATCTCGCACTAATCGTCCTCTCTTACAGAACCACCACTCACGAAATCTTCACAGCCGCAGTTCGCCGCACTTACACAACCCAACCAACGCCCTATAACCGCTGGCCAGTTGTCACCACCTGGACGAGGCCTCCCACGTCATTTTTCTCTTCATTCTTGTCTTTCAATAAAGTCTCACTCTCTCGTCCTCACCAATGGCATCTCTCGCGAGCGGGGCTTATCCCCCGCCATTGCAACAAGCTGAAAAAGAAGCCCTCGTCGAAACGGTCAAGGACTGGGCCATTGCCAACGGCCTCGCTGTGCGGTCGCCCCCTGCAGTGGTCCCGGCCGAAACTGATCCTGCGGGCATCACGGCCATCAACGTCCCAGTCACGCTCTTCCCCACGCCGTTCCTGCGAGAGTGCTTCGAGCAGGGCCAGGCGGTGCAAAAGACTTACAACGAGCTGTATGCGGCTGTGAGCCGTGACGAGGCATTTCTGGAGCAAACTGTCAAGGAGTGAGTAGCAGCCACATGAGTAGCCGGCCATCAACTGACATGATTGTAAAGGGTCGTAAATGGCGACGACTTCATCCGCAACCTCTGGGATGTCCATCTAAAGGTCAAGGCTGAGGGCTACACTCAGGTATATATACATTCATGACAGCACTCACTCAAAAGGGCCCCCATGAGCTTTTATTCACTTTTTGCCTGTGATTCTAGCCTTTATCATTGGGTCTCTTCAGATCAGACTACATGGTCCATCAGGACAATGCAGCCTCTCCCCCAACTGTTCAAGTAAAACAAGTCGAGTTCAACACCATCGCCGCATCCTTCGGTGGCCTCTCAACTTACACATCAAAATTACACAAGTCAGTACTCTTACAAACCATTCCCTGCCGAAAAGCTAACAAACAACCGCCCAGATTCCTTGCAGCCACCGAGTATCCCCTGCTCCAACACGCATTGGCACCGGACTCACTCAACCTCCCCGATAACCAGAGCATTCAGGGCCTAGCAGGCGGTATTCAGGCTGCTTTTCATGCTTACCCCAAGTCCGACCTAGGTCATGCCAAATGCGTCATCTTCCTTGTCCAGGGCGGCGAGCGCAACATCTTTGACCAGCGCCATCTAGAGTACCAGGTCACCCAGTCCTCGCCAACGATACCAGTTTTCAGACTTGCCATCTCAGACATTTTCAAACACACCACCCTTGCCGACGCACCGAAGCGCCAGCTCCTCTACCGCCTCCCTCGCGACCCGTCCAAGGTCTTTGAAGTAGCCGTCATTTACATGCGCTCTGGCTATCACACCAACGACTATCCCGACCAGACAGCCTGGGATGCCAGATACCACCTGGAGCGGTCTGGCGCGATCAAGTGCCCCAGCATTCTCACCCAGCTGGCCGGCACCAAAAAGGTTCAACAGGTGCTAGCCACTCCCCGGCCTTCATCGGCGCCGTCTGTTCTCGGAAAATTCATCAACGACAGTACCCCCGCTGCCGCTGAGCTCTGGAAGACATTTACCAACATTTACCCCATGGACACGTCTGAAGCCGGCCTGGAAGCACGGAAGAAGGCTCTGGATCCCGCGCTATGCAAGGCGTACGTTCTCAAGCCCCAGCGAGAGGGAGGAGGCAACAACATCTACCGAAGCGCCATTCCGGAATTCCTAAAGACTTTGCCCGAGGAGCACTGGGGCGCATACATTCTCATGGAGCTCATCGTGCCGCCACCCGTATCAAATATCATTCTTAGGAATGGCCATTTAGAGGAAGGCGGCATTATCTGCGAACTGGGCGTATATGGTACTTGCCTGTGGAATCAGGGCACCGGAGACGTGCTCCACAACGAGGGCGCAGGATACCTGCTCCGTACAAAGGGAGATCAGAGCGAGGAGGGAGGTGTAGCTGCAGGGTACGGGTGCATGGACAGCGTCACCTTGGTATGATGAAGCAAAAATAAAAAGCTGGATAGGTACATTGTATAATCATTGCGAGCACGTAGAGTTTACAGGAGCCTTGGGAGAATCGCATCGCAAGTGGCCAAAAGCAGGAGAGCCGAGAGTTCATCTATCACATCAAATCATACATCAAAGTCATCAGGCAATACTACAGTTACATGGCAAGCAAGCAACCCGCCGCCTGCTTTTAATTCGCCAAAAACACCCAGCGAGAATCCATTGAATCCCATTGCTTATCCCTTGGCAGCCAAGCCCTCAATCTGTTCCGCTATTGCCTGCTTTACTCGCCCTGCTCTGGGGGTGAAGGGCGCTTTAGAACCTCGATATGGCCTGTGAGTTTACCACGTGGTTAGTCAAACTAGAATGTAGAAACGTCGGGGCGAGTTTGGAGTAGATTTTTGGCAACTTACGCTGGATGACGCTGAGGCCTTGTCTGGTCTGTCCATTGGAGTCCGTGTAAGAGCTGATGCTCGCATCACCCTCAACATAAACCAGAGTGCTAAAACACGGCAAATCAAAACGTCAGCTTCTCCTTCTTCTCTCCTCGTCACCCCCGTCCGTCATTGGCATCATAACATACCCCTTGGCCAGACCCAGCAAAAAGTCCCTGCGAGGCCCCTCCACAAAGCCCGTCACGCGGAACCAGCTGGTGGTGCGGTTGTCCTTGCTCCCGCTGTTGCTCGCGACGGCGTACCGCACGTACTCCTTGGGGTTCTGCTCGTTGCCGCTGACCTGGGCCTCGGGCGCATCGGCCAGGTTGCCAACAATGGTGATGCGGGCGATGGAGCGAGGCGAGGTGGTGCTGAATGCGCGAGCAGCTCCAGCGGTGGCGGCGGCGCGGCGGAAAAGGAACGACGACATGGTTTGGGGATTTTTGAGCTGCTGTTGGGCTATTTATCAGCGATTGGGAAAGAAGAAAGAAACAAGTGAAGATAAGGAGAAGTAGCTGTCGAGGACTTACAAGTTTTTTTGTCGAGACGGTTTTGGTTTTGTTTGGGGGCCCCTCCCTTGCTCTCAAAGCTGCAGAGAAATGGGGTCACGTCAGGACGCGATAAGATTAAGCCCGCGCCTGGAGCTCTTTGAGCAATGATTGGCTGGATGGCGGGGCATGCTCCCCTGTCCCCGATTGAAAGATGGATACTCGATAGATCGTGGTATATGCTCCTAAAGAAATATGCTACTATGAAAGGAATGCTTACTCATCAGAGACAAGTTGATTTCGGCTTCACAACGGCGCGCCCCGCCATTCTAGCTCCCGGCTCGGTCCAAGTCACTGAAGCCCGTTGCTGGACTTCATTCATCAAGACCATACACAAGACAGGACAAATAGACGACTAAATAACCACCTCCAAGTCTATTACCATCTATAAACTCCCGCCAGTCGTATCCAGAAACAGTCTCCCCTGTTTATTGCTCTCTTATCAGAATTCTCCCCGCTGTGCCGCTGTACGCACCCGTCCCGTGCTCCGTACAACCTCACGTCTCTCTCACAATAAGCCCCTATCAAAACACCAAACTGGCCGCCCACAATGAGCCCCAGCTGCCCAAATCCGCCTCGGCACTGCAAGCCACAGCCGTGACATAATTCCATATCCAGCCCTAATCATTTCCTCTTCACCTTTCACCCCTTTTTGTGGAATGCAGACCCAGAAATCCGGGTAGCCGCGCTGCCACTGCCGCTGAAGGCTGCGGGATCAGCCACCCGCGCACGGGGCATTGCCTATTCCGGCCATCAATAGAAGCCCAATCCGTCTCTCAATAAACGCCTCCAATAACAACAAACATTGTCCAAAACACCAATCAGGAGAAACGCTTTTTCGGTGAATGCCTGCATTATCACGATGCAACCATGAAACTACCTTTTCTTCTTCTTTCTTTTATTTGCTTGCGCTTTGTAATGTATGGAGAGACCAGGGGATTCATTGGAAAAAGCTGGACGTGAGAGGCTGGATATCTCGAACTGATCCGCTTTTTTTTTTACAAATGTGATGCTGCAGTTTGCTCGTCTTCTTCAGCTGGCAATAGTTTCATCCAAATTTACCAGGGCTGGTACGCAATGGAAATGTTTTCTGCGTGTGTGTGAAGCAAAATGCACTGATATGCATGCGTGTGTATGACTAGGAGGTTTATTCCATTATATTTTATTTTAATCTATTTTCTTATACAGGAGTTTCTATCAATAAAAGTATCCTCGACTACCGGTTTTTTTTTTTTTTTTTTGTGTTTGTTCCTTTATTGACTGCCTTATTGTTTCTATAGAAGACCAATTCCCTGACATCTTCTGCTATTGCTGCTCGTTCTATACATCAGCAATAGCTATTGACCATGAAACCATCCTTTCCCAGTTTATTTTGAAAAGAATATGCTTCTTGCTGCTCATCATCAGCCATCCTCTTCCTGATTCCTTTATATCATCATCATCACCGCTCTCTTCATACCCACGCCTTGTCACGATATCAAAATCCTCATCCTACCATTGGCAACACTGATACAAACCAATCCACCATCATGGACTCGCCCTTCAATCTCGCCCCTCGCGGCACTTCCAGCATCTTCATGCCCGGTCTGGCCCCAACCACCTTCACCAACCCATCCCCCACGGCCAACCTCATCTGCCGCGTCGTCCTCGCCCTCCTCGGCAACCTCGTCTGCCTCGTGCCCCTGCGGCTCCTCTACCGCAACGGCGAGCTGGCCGCCGCCATGCTCATCCTCGTGGTGGAGCTGCAAAACGTTGACAGCGTACTCAACGCCCTCATCTGGCACAACGACGACGTGGCATCCTGGTGGCCGGGCTACGGCTTCTGCGACGTCGACACCCACATACACAATCTCGCCATCGGCCTCTTCAACACCTGCCTCCTGGCCAGCATGCGCAACCTGGCCATGCAGATCCAGAACATGAGAGCCAACCCCCTCACCAAGACGGAGAAGACGCGGCGCAACATTGTCCAGGCGCTCATCATCTTCCCGCTGCCGCTTCTGCAGGCCGCGTGGACATATCCTCTCTCCCAGCAGCGATATTATATCGGCACGTTGAGCGGATGCTCCTGGGCCCCTGCCCATTCGTGGCCGTATGCAGCCTTTGACATCTTGCTGCCGGCACTCATGCCGCTCCTCACTGCCGGCTATGCTAGTAAGTCTCAAAGTGCCGGGTCCACGACCAACACCCAACACGATCCAGCTATGCAGTTCCATTCTTTATTCAGCCCAAAAAGATTCAACTAACTTCCTTGCCCCCCTTAGTTTTCGTATACATACGATACCGCCAAATCTCCAAATCCACCGCGTCCGCCCTCTCCAACAGCCCCCTCGCCCAGGCCCGCAGCCAACGAGCCCGCCGCCGCCTCTATCTCATGGTCGTCACCATCCTCGTGCCGTACCTCCCCATCGTGCTGGCGCTCGCCATTGTCAACATGCAGGTGGCTGGAGGTTTCAAGCCCTACGACTTCGACGCCATCCACAACCATGGCGAGATACCCTGGGACGCAATTGTATACTTGACAAGCAGCCAGGTGCACTGGGCATACATAAACATGTGCTACCTGCCCATCGCAGCGACCGTGCCGATATTCATCTTCTTCGGCATGACCAAGGATGCCATGAACTGCTACCGCGTGGTTCTGCTCTTCTTTGGGCTTGGAAAAGTGTTCCCGCGACTACACGACGAGTACGACCCAGATGCTCGGGTGCTGGCCTCCATGTCTCACGGTAGCCACTCAACGTCTACAAGGTAAAAAACTCCATCTTGATTGGAATCTTCTTTATGCAATCCATAGTAGCTAACCCCTTACCAGTTCATCCAAAAAGAATGCAGCTCACTCAGGCTTGAGTTTCATGACAAGCATACCCTCCAACCAAAATACATCAACGCTCCAGCAGCCTGCCCCAGCAGCAACATCAACAGCCCTACCCATCCACAACCAAGACGTTCATGTTCAACCTATTCGTCGCAACCCATTCCTCTTTAGCACCCGTCTCGATTTCTCTCTTCCCTTCAAGCTATCGCTGTTCAGGCGCTCCGAGGACAACACTTCTTCTGCGCCCTTGGAGCTACTCAGCCATCAACCTACCAACAGGTCTGTCTGGTCTGATGAAGATTCTCTGCCAATTCCTTGTGCAGCAACCGCTACGGCTTCAGCGTCACAGCATACGTCTTCTTTCAACAATCAAGCTGGTAAAGCCAAAGACCATTCTGTTATCACGCCAGCACCTCCAGCACTGCTCCCATCCTCCACCTCAAATCCGGCCAATGGCTATGGAGAGCTTTAGCGTTGCTCTGCTAGCTGCGAGTGGAAGGAAAAGATGACATTCTTCTATTTTGAGAACGAAGAGTCTTGTTAATCCAGTTTTTATTCTTGAAAGCATACACCAGCAAATATTTCGATTCATTGCTAGCCAGTCCTTCTTTTTTTTTTTTTTTCTATATATACCTATATAGTGTTATAACCGGACCATCGTGCGCTTTCATATAGGTTTGCTTCTCTATGTTTTAATAGGTGCCACTGGGTCAACCATATCTGCCACGGCGCCGCGTGGTGCTCTTTATAAGGTCTCTTTTCATTTCCAAATGCTAAAAAAAAGAATGAGAAACAAAACGAACGGACTTTTGGTATCTCCTGCAGGGTATTTTCCGTCCATTAAGTTAAATAAAAAGAATAGAAATGTAAGCAGAGTTTCAAGTGCTGCCATGTTGTTATGCATCATTCGGCCAATCATGCATCTTTCGCTGAACTTTGCATCTTCCGTATGACTTCCCGATGTGCGTCTAATAGATCGCCGCTCCGCATGCGAGCATCAAACATCCTATCATTCCACTCCTTTTCTCGCCTTTGCATCTCCTTCCGCTGTATTTCCGCTTCCCTCTTTTCCATCATGACAATACGTTGCGTATCCATATCATCAACAAGAGTAGACGATGGCGCAAAAGGAGTCTCACGGCCAAGATTGGGAGGAACGCCAGGAGTCATTGATGTGAGATCTCTAGCTATTGAATGTCGGAAGTTGGCGAGTCTTGAATTTTGGGCTATCACAGAGACGGAGGATATTCTCTTGGGCTGGTGAGAATTGAACTGCGTATTCCCGGAAACTTCAATTCCACTGCTAGAGCGATTCAGCCTATAATTTGATAGCGGTAAGTAATTTGAAGCTGGTAGATTTGTCCTGCTGCTTTGGCGTATAATCTCCCTTCGTTGACTCAGTGGAATGTCATCGGGATCAGGGCTAGCCACCCGATGGTTTACAGGATAGTTGTAAAGGGAGTCTGCGTCACCAACCGATCCCTGTGCATCAATATTGTAATCGGCTAGGTGGGCAACGAGATTGCCTTGTGATCGACTCCGTAGAACAGACTCTCTCTGACCGAGTAGGGTATGAGGATTCGAAAAAGACACAACACGAGGCACTATCGGCCGGAATGGTGCTGGATTCAGCTGGGTGGCGTCTTGCTGAGAATGGTCTTCGGGGGACAGCTCAGTGGCCTGGATACCATCTTGCTCTTCGACAATCGGAGCAAACCCTGAAGATATGCGCCGTAGGGCCACAGGAGCTGGCTGGAGACCGGCCATGTCCATGGGAGGCGATTTAGGGCTTCCGCTAGGGCTCATGGCATCCGCAGACATTGCCGGAGAAACAACAATTTCAGAGATGCGCGCTTGCTTCTTAACTGCTTTTGCGTTTGGCTGTATGGAAGACACTTGTGTTGATCCAGAATCTGATTGCTGAGGGGGCACATACGAAGTGCGATCAGCAATGTTCATCTGCAGATCCTCCAAATCGACATATCTAGGGACTTCTTCCATGTCCACCTCTGACCCATATGGCTCGATATGAATAGCGTCAGGTTCGGGAGTGTCCGCGTGGCCCAGATGTTTAGCCCACTCATTCGTCCTATAAGAAAGGGCAGCTCTTGACATGGACGTAGGTAATCGGTCTTTTGTCAAGTTCGCCGGGACTGAAGTCGCTGAAGAACCAGACTTTGTTTTATCAGTAGATTCGGGCAATTTGCCTTCCGTTGTACTGCCTGCGGTTGCAGTGTGCTCCTGTTCGTGAGTTACCGAGGTCTCTTCCTCTCCAGCCGCATTCTCAGCCTTAGCACCTGAGTCTTGTTTATCTAGTAGCTCATCCCCATCGCGTTTCTCGTTTGGCTCAGATTCCATCTCAAGTGTTTCGCCACCTGGGATTTCCTTTGACATTGCTTGAGGTTCAATGCCCTCTGATTTCTCAGCATCATCCGCAGCTGCAGTCTCGAGTTCCACCTCCTCTGGGCTCTGGGTTGCTTTAGCTTTAGCTTCGCCCAGCTCTGCAGTAATCTCAATGCTCTTTCGGTCATCATCATCAACGATTGAATCATGCTCGTTCTGATAATCACTCAAGCTTTCATAGTCGACGGTTGCTGCCAAGGATGATCTGCTATCGTCATGGATAGATTCTGCGGGCTCAACCAAATCTTCAGTGCTTTCGCCAGTCTCCAACTGGCGTTCGGGAGAAGTGCTCTTCTTCCTCTGCTGAGATAAGCTTCTCAGAAGCGTTGCTGAGCTCTGGGAGACCCTTTTGACGAGGGAATTTCGAATAGGAGTCGCAGACGCAAAAGGTTCGTCGTCAGCAAATGTCGCAACAGATGACCGATCGCCAATTGACTTCAAGTCATCTTCTGTCGGAGTCTTGAACGGTAAGGGGACTACCTCAGGGGCGGGTGTCATGTTTCTTTGCGGAGAATTTCGTCTGCCCTCTGAGCTTGTTTGAGAGATTTCCTTCTCTTTGGCGGCCCCGGTTCTTCTGTCATTGTCGACAATCTCTGCGCCTGACTCTGACATGGCGCCAAATTGTTCTTCAGTAATCTCGCCTTCCCTATGCTTTCGCGTCTCCAATATTTCGTCCGCAGCTACCCGTACCATGATCTTGCCTTCCTTGGCCGGCCCCATGGACATGAGCCCATCTGTTCCAGCTTGCACTACACTTGAATCTGACAATTCGGTCATCTCAATACCATCAGTCTTGGATTCTGTGTAAACAGACTCAGAATGAACTCTTTGCTGTCTTTTGCTATTGCTGCCGCTGTCGGTGCCAGATGAGTAGTGCGAGGCAGTGCTCATACCATTGCTGTCTGGCATAAATCTGCCTCCATAGACTTTTTCCCAGGCCACTCGCTCCCGTGCCGTTTGCTGCCCAATGTGGCGACCGACATTCTCTTCTTCTTGCTGAAGGCATCTCTGATCCTCCGCGAGCTTCAAGGCCTTTGTATTGCGCCTATCTCGAACAATTCTCCAGAGCCTCATCTGGCAGACAATCCCAACGAAGCAGATGACGACGATTACTGCAAGCTCGACTCGGATGCCTCTAGTAATAGGATAGGTATCTGCGCCAAGGGGGAATAAATCCCCATTTAGGTTCCAGATATAAGCCCAGAACTCTTTAAGCCCGGCTCTACTGAAACAGTCAATACCCAATACAATTACTGTTGCGCCTCCGAAAGACATGAGGATAATCATGGCCCAGTCTCGGGTGTAGGAGCTGAAAGAGAGGGCGAAGCCGCCAACAGAAAGGCACGAGATGAAAATTGCTCGGCCTAGCGTATCATGCAGCAAGCCTCCTGGTGCCAAGCAAAGAAGCCACATGCTAAAACTGAAGCCTCCTAGAGCGCATCCCAGGCCTTCGGTTAGCTCTTTGAAGATGAGGGATGCTGCTCCTAGCACACAGCCAGACAAGACGACAGCAACGACATATGCTCCCTGAACAGCCAAGCTAACAGGGACATTCATGAGATAGACAACAAGAACGGTGATTCCGAGAGAGGTGAGATAGGCAGTCGAGAAGAAACAGTTGATCCATTGGTTTCTGAGCCCAATAATAGTATAGAGAGCCCCGGTAAGTAACAAAACGGCTCCGGCAACGCCCCATCCTGGAGTCAGAACGGGCTTAATAGGCAGCTGGCCGGTGGGAATCGTTGCTATCAGTCCATATGTCAGCAAGCTAGCTTGAGATGATTAGCGGGAGAATCCGTTTCTTACCGTTAAACAATGTTGAATTACTCAAAGGAGTTTGCGATGGAACTGTGGCCGTAGTCTGAAGTGTTGGTGTTGAGGAAGTTGTAGTGCTGTGAGGCGCTTTTGTGGTCGTCGATTCTTTCGAGACGTCTGTCTGCTTGCTGTCTTGGTGCTGGTCTCTGGCAATAGAGGGCTGTGGAGTTGGCTGTGAACGTGGCTCTGAACTAGAAATCGAAGCGGCGCCATCTCGTCTCAGTGGATGAAGGTCGTGTGTGGCGGCCACTTGCAGGGCCAGCAAAAGGCATACGAGTGCCTGGAGCCTCATGGCCTTGAACATTCTCGCTGCGATTGCTCGGACGTGAATACCGCCAGCGGTGGGTTTTGAAGCCGCTAGTGTGAGGAAATGCTCCCAGCTATATCCGCAGGTCGTGAAGCTTCATCCGAGCGTGGTTGGGGAGGAAGAGGCAAGCAAAAAGTATTCAAAAGGGATGAAACGACTTGAAAAGAACAGCAGAATCCTTAAAGAAGCCCCGGGACGCCAATTACATGAAAACAGCGCCTAGGTAGATATAATGCCGACCCAGTATGCTTGCGATGACCCCGGTATACAACCAAGTACAGTTGGTGCCAGCTGAGACAGGTTATGAGGATGGCCGCAGGAGATTGGCAGAGGAGCTCCAAAAGACTGCCAAAGCCGAACAACGATGTCTCAGACGCATAGGGGACGGGCCACGCACAATGGGGGGAGCTGGCCAGATAACCAGGACCGTCGACAAGATGGAGTGAGACATGCGGGCTTCGATGTCACCAGGCGAGAAGAGAGGAGGCGGGAGCCGGGCGAGGCCGAGAGCAGCGCTTTTGTTGTTTTCCTGCTTCTGCCTTTGCCCATCCCGGCCCCATAGCCTTCGTCCACTGCATGCGGACACGTCCAGCTCGATCAGCACGGCATTCGGCCACGTCTGTTAGTGCTTGCGGTTCTGGGCCTGGCCGCCGGACCGTGGCACGCAGCGAGCGGTCGCAAAGTCAAATCAAGCCCGGCATGGCGGGCCACGGCCAGGGATGCTGGGATCCAGTCCAGGCCACTCCAATCCAGTCCAATCCAGTGCCATGGCGTGGCGGTTGGGCCAATTTCCCGGCTGCAGCGGCGGATGCAGGGCTGGAGGCGCAGAAGAAGCAGCTCTTGGCTCGCTCTAGGCGGTGCCACCACGAGCGCTGCGTAGCGCTGGCGCATGCATATGCAGGGCGTACAGGAGCCCGGAGAGCATCTGGAGAGCATCGATGTGCAGCTATGACGCCTGGGGCCAGTTTTCGCGGGTCTTTTGGAGCGCAGCGAGCAGCAGCTGATGTCCATCACAAGCCGATCTGATGCCGCTGGATGAAATCGAGAGCAGGCCCAGCGGGCGCAGGGGCCACCGAAAATGGCGGCTTCGGCAGCGATGCATGCAGGAACAGGTCGGATCTGATTGCCCGCGCCAGCAACCAGGTCTCCGCAGGTACCGCGCAGGCCCACGCTACCGCCAGCTGCACCGCCAGAGCTGGGCGCTAGCGGTAGTAGCGCTGCCCGGCGGTACCTGTGCGGCGACTTAGCGACCTGTCCCAGCTGCTGTCCAGGGGCAGGCACGAGCTTTGGCCGCCGAGCGGGGGCGTTGGCAGGAACCAGCCGCGCGCGGTGCCATCCGCTTTCAGCCAGCCAAGGCTTGGATGGGGCAGAGCCTAAAACCCGCGCCATGGGCTTGATGCGGCAAAGACAGCCGGTTGGATGCGCTGCTCGATCCAAATTACCAGACTTTGATAACAGCAAGAAACAAAATTTTCTCTTGCTGCCATCTCCACCCGTCCCCATCTGTCTTGCTCAGGAAAGATCATCTCTCTGATCTACTGCAATAAGTGGCCGCTAAAATAATAGCTGCGCCGTCTCGTCATGGCAGCAGAACATCAAGTGTTGGTACTGGTACTTGTACCGGTACTGTACAGTCTCTCTTTTTCACCAACCAAGGTAGGGTAGCATTCGGCACATGGTGCTGCAGTAGTACGACATCCATGGCTCCTAAAGTGTCTCATTAACCTCCTAATGGTAATTGATGGCATTTAGCCAGCTATCCTCCGATTACCCAGTGCAAGCTGCACGTATGTTTACCACTGGAGCATGTACCGGAGATTTACTGTCTATTTCTGGATAGACTAACAATCGACTGGATGCCAAAAAGCAGCCGCAAGCAATCTTCACATCTCCCATCGTCTGCCACCAATTTGTTGAAATTTGGCTATTATAACCGCGCTGCAGCCCCATGGAGCAGAAATCCCCAGCTGCAAGCCTTCAGTCCTTGCATACTGCTGCTCCCTTGCTGCAAAGCGGCCATTGGCTCGTTTCCCGAATCCTGCACAGTATGCCGTGCTTTGCGGGCTAAAAACCAAAAGCAAAGAGAAGCTGAGCCTCCCTTGCAGCACATGCTAGGGAATAGAACGAGACGTCACCAGCCACCAATGCACTACCGTATCAGCACGGGGAGCTGTGCGAATAACAGTGCCTCTTGCGTGGTGACGATCCTGGTATTGTCGCCGTCGCTGACCATCCATGGCCCCGACCCTCGCCAAACCTGAAGCACTACGACGCAACGCATGAGAGTTGTTGAGTTGTCTAACCAGGCACCTCCTTGTCGGATGCATCCTTACCTAGGTAGAGTACAGTATCACTAGTAACAGTACAGTACCACTGCTACACTACCAAGTCGATGGCGTCCAAGTCTCGTCACCTCATCGGGGACGACGGAATGCCGATGAGACTACTGCAGAGTCGGGTCCTGGTTCATATACGGTTACATCATTGTCAGAGAGCGCCCCAGTCTATAAGTGTTTCTGCCATCGAGTCTCCTATCCTTCCGCCTCCGCGAAAACACAGTATACTGTATATCAATATGCGCGGTGACGAGTTGGGAAGAATTGCCGACCATGCCTATCGCGGTGCTGCTTTACACTTTTCCCTTGCATCAAATTCGCCTACACTCAAATTGATCTTCATGTGTCACCAAAAATACACTCGCCGGTAGCCAAGGATTTGCTTGCATGTGCCCAGACGTGCAGAGCGCATACATGGAGTACACAACTCATCCTCTCAGGCATCAACTCACCCCCAATCATCAGCCAATCCTTCGTCTTTGAAGCAATTGAACCTTCTTCTCCTTTAGGACGCAGCCTTTTCGATGCGCCACGCCACCTCGGGCTGCGAAATTAAGAGATCCACTCCGTTGGCGTGACCCAAAGTCGGCAGATGACTGGCCCGTCGTGGTGCACCAGCGCGGCGGCGCAACTCTCCAGGTCCTTCTGCCCACGTTGATTTCCGCATCCCCGTGGAACCTGCTCTTGTCCTCGCGATCGTGCAGTAAGCAATCGACTCTTCAGCGCCGCCCCCAGTTCTTCAGAATGATCAATTGGGCGCACATCTCCGTCAACAATGGTGAAACCTTCCATACGCGGGCAAAATCGGATTTGTGACACCAATTTGCAACTACAAGCAACATACTTGTAGGTAATGATGCACGCGCACAACGTACAATGCAATTATAAATGTTCAGCTTTAATATCACTGCAATACTCGGCCAACGCCAAAAAGTAATTTTAGCGATGCCAACAGATCCTGTTATGGCCCCGTGACGGACTTGGTAAATACGACCATTACACAGAATTTCAGCTCTAATGCTGATGCAACACGCAACAACCTATAGATAAATCACTGGTTACTGGAAGATACAGCAGAGCATGACTACAAGTACATGTACAGCCGAACCAAAGGAGGAGAATTAACCAGGTACTTCTCATACCGATTGACCAGGCTATTACAGTTCATCATAGCACGGTGGGAACTGCTGGAGAAGTCCCAAGTTGCAAATTGCCAAGGTACCACAAGATCTTGCGAGCCAAGCCGCTATTGCACACGTGCCTGTTCATCTGGCCATTCATCACACAAGAAGAATACAAATAACATTAAGATGGCACAAAGTATATTTTGTAGCACACAAGGCGGTTGAACTCAAAAGAGCACCCTCACCATCATCCCATGCAGGGTAATCCTTATGATTGCAAGGCAAAGGCATCTAGTAGCATTGCTTTCCTTGTGCTCCGTATTCTGGGCCAGATACCCAATTGGGACAGTCCGAGAACTCTCTTTTTCAGTTTTTTTCAGGCCCACGTGCCACGAGTGGGTGCAAGGTTGATGAAATCGATGATAGCGTGCTTTGTAGCGCATTGGAAATCAATAATTCGCTACCTATTGCTCTAATAACCCACATGTTTAGTCAAAGTCGAGAATCTGATCGGCGGGTCCAAACGCGGCAGATGTCAACACCACTTTACCCGTGCGCGCGACTGGGATAGCTTGCTGACGCGTTATTAGAGACGAAAAGAAATGCAGGTTTGCAAGGGGAAATAACGTCATATATCGGCAAGAGATGAAATCGCCGTGAACAGTGGATGAAGCTAATACTTGTAGGAGGCAATCAAATGGCGACTAAGCATGCAGGCGATAAAGTCTATCCTCTGTGCTAGAGATGCCACTTAATGAATCATGATGATTACAAAGGGCCAGTGTTTCATATACATGCAGAGAAAACTCTATTGTAACATTAGTTAATAGTAGTTAACAATATTACCGTCAGATTCGGCGTGTAATCTGGAGTGATAAAGATGCGCGGTACTAATGTTATCTCAGGGTGATTTGTTTGAATGCAGCCGTGACCACTTTTTTGCTTATAACTTGCCAATAACAAAGGTTGCCTGCTGAAAAAAAAAAGAAAAGAGGAAAGAAAAGAAAATCCAAAAAAAACCAGCAAAACAGAGATACGCCATATATAACTAGCATCTCATCATCTCTTGGTTAGCCTCGTCGGCACTCGGTCGCCGTTATATTTCAACGACGCAGGCGACTTCCCCGCCCTGCTCCTAGACGGCGGTAGACTCGCAGCAGACGGTGGCTTATTTCTGTTTGCAAATGCAACAATCGGCTTCAGCGGCAGAGCGAGTATCTCTAATAGGGCCTTGAACGGAAATGTTACAATCGTCACGATCCATTTCCAGGCCCAAGGGATCAAGTCCCACCGCCGGTTTGTATTCTTGACTGCAGCGGCGGCTAAAGAGATGGCATCGTCCAGTTTGGCGTGTACCTGCGAGAATCTGGATTCTGTCTGAAGCTGGAGGAGTGTTGCCTTCTTCTCATACCGTCTCACGGCTCGATTCAAAGCGTCCAGCTCTGGTTGAATGGTGTTTCGGACATCTCGACTAATTGTTGCCGCGGTCGAGTCCAGCGTCTGTCCGTGTCCAGCTATTTCGTGACCCTGGGATGTTGACCGACTTTCAAGCCTCTCCAGTCTCCTGAGCATCTCTTCCAATAGCGTCTCGGTCCCAACCTGCTGGCCAAAGGGGCTTTCGTGGACAACCTTTTGAAGATGTAGTGTTCGAGACTGGACCAGCGTGATCATGTGTGACAGCACACGCAGCTCAGCTGCCAATAGGAAGATTGTCAAGTTGAAGTTGGAAACAAGTCCTTCAGATGGCCTACTGAGCTGGCCTCTGATGTAATGTAAGAGATATGCGCTAAGCAGTGGCAGTACGAAGCATGATACCAGCGCAAGGCTTTCATGGCGGTAAAGCTCTTTCAGAGCAGCCTGCTGTTGCTCCGTCATCTGCTGCTTCTCCCTAGCATCTCTCTTTGTCGAGCTCGAGTCATCCATGCCATCTCCCTCTCGCTCTTCGGGCACATCGTCAAGTGGTGCACTAGTGCTTGAGGGTTTACCCCGGGAGTCGAGGTCACTGTCGTCTTCAAGGGATATGCTGACCGAATTTTCTTGGAATAGACGGACTTCTTGCGCCGCGTGATACCATTGCCTAAAAAAACTATGAGTTTCCTTGTGCCTTTTTTTTATTTTCCTTGCTGGGGAGGAAGTGGCGAAACCATGACCGCTACTTACCACGGTTGCGTCACCGACCAATGAAGGAGGATGGCTGCGAGGCCCAGGAGCATGATGTCGGTGACAACCGAAGTGCCATTCTGGAAAAAGACACCGGCAACGGCGGGCAGAAAGGCAAAGGCCAGCGATAGAAGAGCCAGCGGCGATGATTCGTGATGGGACAGCTCCTCACCGAGGACGTGTGGACGGGGGTTGAGGATGTCGCGTGCCTCGTTCAGGCTATACTCGGAAAAGTTGGAGCTCCTCCGGGGCAGCGCCTCGGACGACGAGTCTGAAAAGTGTCGCGACATGGATCCGGACCGCATCGAGGGCTCGTCAAAGGTTTTGGCACGGCGGATAAAGTGTCCAGGGGACGCGGCGCTGGCGTTGCTGTTGCTGGTGGCATTGGTGCCGTGGCCGAGGCTGACGCCGGAGCTGGCAGCGAGCCCAGGCTTCGCTGGAGATGCCGTCGAGGCCTGGCGGCCGTCATCTGGCATTGCTGCCGTCGGCATGGCTAGGGTTATGCACGTTTTGTGCGGGATGTCAGCAGAGAGGCATTAGGCGGTGGGCAGGGAGGGAAGAAGATTGGGCTGGGCCGATCGTGGGAAAACGTGGTGGGTGGTATGCGCTGGATCGCCGCAGCATCGTTACGTCAACAGGAATTCGAGGTGCCGCTGTGCGGTGGCAACCTTCAGTGACCGTCCGTCAGCGCTCCAGCGGCTTTCCCCTGCGACCGACTAGCGCTCCCGCGTGGCTGGGCTGGCTAGAATCCGGGGTACAGCGGGCTTGTGCTGGTTTTGGCAGGAGGGCATGGCGGACCGCAGCAGGTGAGATGTTGACAGCGCACTGGCAGCAAAGCTCGATGCTTGAATAATTCGAGTTTTATGTGTTTTATTGATGTTTATCTTGACTTTGAATGTTGATCCAAGCAGCCAATGTGCGGAAATAATGGCAATAGCCTCCAGTATTCTCTGCATTCCTTACGGAGAGCTCGGTCGGTTTTGGGTCGACAGTGACAGCTACCGCTGGTCTCCACCGTATAGCTCTGGACGGAATGCTCCGCCATGATGACAGGACGCTAAGCATCTTCTATGACGAAATTACCTTGTAATTGAAGTAGTAGTGAATGAAGTTATCGTGGCCGGCAAAGAGCGGCGTATATTTCTGGTATCCATGATTTAGAGCAGATCAGCGTCAATGATCCATCTTCATCTTCAACGTTTTGCTCTTTTACATATCATTTGCGCTCTTGGCTTGGCTTTTATAAAGACATGAGCTAGGTAGTCCCAATAACCCTCCCAATTAGCCAGTGCGAGGCATTCGCAGCTCTCTAGACATTCCGCTACCGTCTTCAAGTCGTTGAACTGCGTAGAATACGAGGCAGGCCTAGACAGTAGTGCTTCGCAAGTGCATTCGAAATTGCTTCCACGTTCTCGAAGCGCTGCTATCAGCGTTGTAGACTGACAAGTCAGTTCCAAGAGATCGCGCCCCGCTTTTCGGGCCGCATGGCACCAACAGCTTAATTTCGTCTTCCTGGGGACGTCACCGTCGAAATTCGCATGGAGCAATTTCCCAGCAGGGAGCAAATCCGCACCGCCGTCATGCGAACAGGCACGGCAATCTCCAGCAATACGATTCCCAATCTTGGAAAATATGCTTCTAAAAGGAGATTAAAATTTAATATGTAGCACCTGGTTCGACTATCTCTGCGATCTGCCCATCAATTGCTAGGAGGCCCGGCCTCTGCATGGGGGACGCAGCACGGACGGCGGGCCATGCAATATGGAAGTGCACGGCTCCTCCAGCCCCTATTCAAGATGATAAGATCGATGGCACGCTGGAGAGATTACAATCTTTCCTTCTTCCGCACGTGCTCGACCGGCGAGGCCCGGTTAAATTTCCCAGATCCAACAACTGGTGATGACCCCTGGCGCCAGTGGTGCTGCCAAAGATTACCGACATGGAGTCAATAACTCATGTTCTATTTTTGTTCTACACAGACAAGGCACCTTGTCTCTTCGCAGAACGCCCTCGATTTTCAGCCTTGCAATATAGACCAAAATTGATGGAGGCGATGTTGATCGGGATAGAACTATGCTCTGCAAGGAGGCTTACAGTCTGCTGCTGCCACGTCTATTACATGTGCGCAGCCAACGCATGCTTGACCAAGATGGAACGGCCGGTTGACTCTTGTGGTGGAATTCTTTGTTAGCATAACCCGTGCTGTGCGCAGTTCTGCGTCTTCGGAAATGAATGCCGTGAGCAGCGATGAAAATCATGTTTGTCGGCATCTCCACCATAGGGCAGATCTGATCGAGCTGCTGGTTTGTCATGGATGGTAATGCTGGTGATGGCGGGCAGTTGAAATTGGGGCATTACTGTCCGGTCTGGGCCAACAGCCCGGTTGGTGCATGTGCCCCATTCCGTGCCCTAGAAAGCACCAGACTCCAGACTCCAGTCGCTCAGCTGCGCGCTGGCTGGGCGCCACTGATGTCGGGTCCCGAAGCCATGCCGCATTCTCCCAGCTAACGCTCACTTGCAGTGGCCCAAACAAGGCACGTAAGCCCTGAGGCTCGAGATGCGGCATGGGGTCAAACGACAAAGGGCTAAACTTGGCAGACAAACAAGCACCCAAGCTTCGCACGCAGATAAAGCCACTCCGGTTCCCATGACATGACCACAGACCATCTCGTTGCTGCTCCCGAAGCACGGATTCCATCTCGTCTTTGCGATCCAGAGCTCTAATCTCTTTTTCTTCGCTTCTTTCCTCGCTTCTTTTCTTTTTCTCTTCTTTGTCCACTTCTCGCCTCCCTTTTTTTATTTTTTCTATTTTTTTCACAACTACTTACTTCTCATGACGCCAACAATGGGTTTTGATTGTTAAAAAGCCTGCCCTGCCCTGCCTGCCTTCAGCGTCCCACGCTCTTTGTCTTATCGCAGCAATCGATAAATATGCAATCGCGCAGTTGCGGCGCCAGCAATCTGTCCAGCCGCACTAACTGCTTTGAGCACCCGCCCCTGATTAGCCAATACGAAAACGGCGTCTGCGCCAAGCCCTTCCCAGCATCTGCTCTCCGGGCCTGCATTTCCAACGCAGCATTGCGCTCGACGGCCACGGCGGAAGAGTCGATCGCAGATTTTGCCGCAGCACCTCAGTTGCTGTTCTTGGGGCCACGGCTACGCTCAGCAGCTTCGCCCGGTAGCAGCTTTGCGCTGCAATCGCCATCCTCCAGCGCCGACGCGACCGCATCGCCGTTTCCCTGTAGCGCGGTCGTCCCAGCGGCCGTGCCCTTTCCACCATTCCCACGGCTTCATACGAGCTCCAGGCAATTTCAGCCACGGCCGACCCGCCCTCCCTAGGCGCGCAAACCGACTCTCGCAGCGACGCCATCTCCGCAGTTCCTGCCTCTTACCAGCCCGCGCGCTCCAGTCCTTCCAAGGCGCCTGCATCGCCGCATCAGACCGTCTTTCATAAGCAAGGCCAACGTTCGATATTCGGCAGCCTCGCAACACCAGGCGCAAATCCGACTCGGCTGCAGCGCCTATCGTCTGCTCGCTTGTGGAATCCTACCAACTCAACCCCCCGGCTTTCCACCCACAGGCGGCGCCCTTCAAGTCCGATTGGTCCCCCAGTACCGCTGCAGCATCCGGCTCTCGACGACTCTACCAACACCGCGGACCCAAACGTTACTGGCGCCGGCGACTATCCTCTGCTCACGCTCGCCGAGCACATACAGGCGAGGCACTCCACATCAACGCCCATCAGCTTCCAGTTCGATCTGAATACCACGGATAACAAGCGAATAAGCCTGCCTGGGTCTGTCCGTGCGTCGTACGACGAGAGACGCTCTCAAACGCTCTCTCCAACTCGGTTTGACTTCCAAAATAGAACCAGCGGCGACTTCAGTAGCGAATCTCCGCCGCCTGCAAACGTGCCTGGAGTCGATAAAGGAAAAGGCGTCATGCCTGAAAACGAAGAGTTGAGGAGGTCCTACTCCAGAGACCTGGAGCGAGGACCGGATGTCATGGACCCCCATCGATTTTCCAACGTCTCTTATGGGGACGGCATAGGATCTGCAATCTCCTCATCCAACTCGTCCATCATGGGCGAAGAGATTCAACCAGATCTGGGAGAGGCCTGGGGGCCGCAGCACCCGTGCTTCCCTCACTTGAATCCCCACGTACCGACAGACTCTGCCGAGTATGCCAAGACACGGATTATCCGAATCCGCCGCGACTGGCTTCTCCAAGGTGACCTGGCTCCTACCTTTTCAAATCTTTATCCTGAAATCCTGGATCCTGCGGGGATTCCTGAGCCTGAATTCCGGCAGATTATTGATAAGCTCAACAAAGAGCTGATACCTGCCTTTGATCCCTACAATATTCGAAACATGTTTGATGCATTTGTTGGGCTCGCAACTGGCTGGCTGTGGGATGACTTTGGCATGACCGGCATCAAGTCTCGACTGAACAGCCTAGAGACTTGGATCGAACAGTGGAATCGAGAAAAAGAAAAGACAATATCATCCGAGGACGGAGTTCTCCCACCAAAGCTGATTTCGCTCCGCCGCACGGGGTACATGACTGTAAGAAGGCCCTTTCCCATTGCTTAACTAAACTTGACCATGAATGCTAACAAGTGTCTCTCGCTAGCTGGACATACAGATTCCAGACCCAGAGATTGCGCCGGCACCAAGTAGTACCGGTGCTGGCGAGTCCATGACAGCTCTACCACTGGAAGAACCAGCACCACCAGCACCCGTTCTTGTCGCATAACCCGGCCTCTCTCGAGCCAATGCGATAACAGCATATCGCTTTCCTTGCTTCCTTTTCTTTTCCTTTCTTTTTCTCTTCAAAAAAAGTGCCTGCTTTGAATATTCTTTTACTCTACCATTCATTCTTCTACTTAATATTCTTACAACCGCTAGAGCCGTCACGAAAGAGCAGGGCCTCTTATTACGATTTTATCTCCCGAACCTTGTTTGGGAGAATGTTTATGTTGATACCACAGGCATCGCACGGCGTTGGGGTTAGCCTTGCTTGTCGCTGCTCCTTGAGGGGTTAGCCACAAACAGCTTTTGGATGATTAGATGTTTTATCACTGCTTGGGAGGAGGAAAAAGGATGAATCGGTGTATATTTTGTCTGTACGGAGGGTTTCGACATTGAGGAAATAGTGGCAGTATATATCAATGCTTCGAGTTTTATCTATTCCGGGTATTTCAGAAATAGACTCCGTCTCCTTAAGTTGCTTCCTGAGCACGGAGTATGCCGACGTGACGCCATCATGTGCCTGTCCCGTATCTCATGCCTCCCCCTTGAGTCTGGTGCTGAATCTGATGCTTTTTTGACCCCTCCAAGCTTGACCCCCTTTTCGTTATCGCTATGCTTACAGCAGATGTCTCAAGCATCATCCCACCACGCCGTAAAGGCCCCTCTCAAATTATCCGACAATGACTACGACTATTACCTACTATTTATCGCAATATGCGGTGTCGGCAGATATCTCTAGCGATCGGCCGACGAGACCCGCTCAGCATATCCGGTAATAAGACGGCGCTTTGCCCTCTTCTAAACCCAGCATTCCTGCGCGGTCTCAATTTCGCAAGCTTTTTTGGATTCCGCACGCTTGTGTGGCTGGAGAGATTGAGCAAGCTACTATTTCACCTGCGAAGTGCATATTCAGTTGTTCTCGTGATTTCCTTTTGCTTTGCTTTGCTTTCCTTTTTTTATCGCCCTTGCCCTTCTCCCGCCTCTTTCATTTGTTTGTTATAGAAATGTTCATTTTTGCTTTTGGCATGATTTTTTAACGATCTATGATTTCATCACGATAATTTCCATTTTCCCAAGTAATATTTGCTGAAAAGGGTGATTTTGGGGAGCACAATGGATACGACGACAACGAACACGATGACAGTGGACAAGAGGCCTTGGCGCGAAAATAAGCTGGTGGTTTGGTTTTGCAGAGGAGTGCAGTTTATAGCTGCGCAGTGGTTGCTGATTGGATTTGCGGTGGCGTGTGTGCTGGGGCGTTTCTTTCCATGTGAGTTTCTCTTTTTTCTTTTAGGTTGATTGTATTGCTGGATTGTGGGAATTGGGCTAATCGGCTTGTTTTGCGAGCAAATACAGCTGTTGCAGAGCATGGAGGCGTGATTCGATCAGAGTACAGCGTCTTGTATGGCGCCGTGGCCATTATTTTCTTAATCAACGGGCTGCAGCTTCCTCCCGAAAAGTTGAAGCAGAATCTGACAAACTGGAGGCTGCATGTGATAATTCAGGGGAGCAGCTTTGCGATTATCCCAGTGTTTATGTTGAGTGAGTTGGGTTCTTAATAAGATTCTAATCAAGACGCGCTTTTGCTCCTGGAATCGACTGACATGAAATTGCAATGCTAGTTTTTATACATATCTGTCTCGCTGCTGGTGCCCTAAAGCATGGCACGCCTTCTATTCCCATCATGCTCGGCATGCTCGCCACCTCTTGTCTCCCCACCACGATCGCTTCCAACGTCGTCATGACGCGCTCGGCCGGAGGCGATGAGGCCGCAGCTGTCATCTCCGTCGTCATAGGCAACACCGTTGGGGCGTTTCTGACACCAATTCTGATATACGGCTTCATACCGCGAGACTCTGTATTTGAAAACTGGCGGCCTGCAGACCCGAGCACGCTGGGAGATATGTACGCCAACGTGGCGAAGCAGCTGGGCTTGAGCGTCTTGTTGCCCCTGACTGTGGGCCAGGCGGTGAGGTGGTGGAAAGGAGATGTGGTGGCCAAGGTCTTGAGGGTTACGATGCTGGGGAAGTTGCCGAGCGTTTGCCTGATACTGCTCGTGTGGTGAGTTGGGAGATGCTGAACCTATGGCTGTTTTGATGTTTCTTCATGCTAATGCAAGGGAATAGGACGACGTTCTCAGGCGCATTTGGCACTGGTGCTCTCTACAAGCTTTCGAAAGCAGATGTTATTTTCAACGTCTTCATCAACATAGGCCTCTACATCATCTTTACTCTCATCTGCTTCTACCTCGCCCGTCCACCCTTGTTTCTTGCCAGATACATCAACCCGCGCGTCACCAACTCCCGTCTGCCGAAAAGCGCCCAGCGCATATTCGCTGTTAAAAAGATGTCCAAGGAGCAGACCATTGCAGTCTGCTTTTGCGGAGCGGCCAAGACGACGAGTCTGGGTATTCCGCTGGTGACGGCAATGTGGAGCCAGGCGGATGACCTGACAAGGGCGTTTATCACTATTCCGGTGTTGCTGTATACAATTGAGCAGGTGAGTGCCAATGATAGGCAGCTCTTATGCCCCTTGCCGTCTTGTTACTGACTAGAGAAAAGGTGTTTATGGCGCAAATTTTGGTCTACTTTTTTAAATGGTACTTGCGACGCGATGGGAAATCAAGCGACGATGATGTAGAGGCTGGCGATGAAGTTCGGTCCGTGTCGAGGCAAGAGGAGGGCCATGAAAGCGATGCTACGGCTCATGATGGTGAGGATGTGGAAAGAGTGCCGGTAGAAAGATTTGAAAAGAATGATGTAAAGAGTGGATAGATGGAGCGATGGTGGTGTCACTGCGGTCACGAAGATACAAACGTAAGATACTTTAATATATCAGTTTAAAGTCGAATTGACAACTTGGAAGAATCTTAATGTAAGAAAGTCATACACAACCGCCTATATATATATAATTTAAATGATAACGGTAGTGGTAATGGTTGAATGTTGTCTATCTTAAAAATCAATACTCGCATAGGGTAGGGATCGATAGTGTAAATCAGCTACTGCCGCAATTGTTAAGGCGAAAATAACAATTTCGCAAAGTGTACCAACTTTTACTCCCGACCAGCGGGGGATAGAATAAAGATGCGCCCGACGTGTACGAAATATCTATTTAGCATTGAATCATAATGCAGCAAATAATTTAACTCGTTAATTATTTACCTATTTATTTCCAGCTAAGAAATGCAAAAAAAGCCAAAAAAATTAACTGCCCACACACAGATTTGAACTATGGACCTTTGCATTACGAGTGCAACGCTCTACCCCTGAGCTACGCGGGCCGTCTTTCTTATTGGACAGTGGCTTAATGTTGAACCTTATAAGCCCTTGCTTTTCTTTTTCAATCTATTTCTTGCCCCAGACATATCTTTGCGCGCCGCTTTCCTGGTGTGATGTTCAGGTAGGTAGTAGTGATCCTGTTGCAAGGCCAGTGACTGTGGCCTAGGGCTTGATGTATTTTTTTATACTGCTGGTAACGCTGTTATACATAAGGTCATTTCGTAACTTTATATTGTAAAGCTCCTGTTTCATCTACAATAACCTCATGCGCCTGTTTTATATGTGGTTTTTAATTACGCTTCAGCATTTACCATAACTGTGATACTCTAGCTGATAGGAAGTAGAGTTGCCTTATAAATGGCGCCATCCGCCAAGGGGCTAAAGACTCGTGACTCTCTAGAGAGTCTTACAGAAGTACATGAAGCAGGCGTTTAATCTATCCATAGGAAATGTCCAAGCTCTGTCCCTTATACTTTTCAAATGATCCTCAAGGTGTATCTTTTAGCTACAGTGAGCCAAAGGCCACAGGCCCCAAGCACTGTATGTACACCAATATGACTACAAGCAGATAGCACTATGCTCAACATGCCTTGGTATTACATGGGTGCATCCTAACTGTGCTTGTATTCTCTAACTAACTGTCCATCGCATTAACTGTCCATCATTATGCGCTCTGGGACTGTGATTACAGCCACCTGGCACTTGCGCTATGGGTTTTGCAAGCATACTGAATGTAGTTCTTGTTATGCAAAGTAAATGTGAAAGCGACGGATATTTTTCCCTAGATAAAAGCATTGCGAAAACCAATGCCTGCCTAAACAAGAAGTTACTGGGATATCTCGCAACTTATAACTGACTTTAGTGCACTCAGCACTAGTTTACTGAAAAGAAGCTATTGATGCGGGCTAGACTTACGTTAAACAAAGAGTGTTTATCCTGCGCCACAGCACTCACGAGAATAGTCTGCATTCGGAAATTGCCAGGTATGAGGGCGCTCTCATAGGGCAGAGACTATGTGCACAGCTGAGCTGTATAAGCACTATGATTTACAAACTTGAATCATGGGATTCACACTTACACATAGATAGAAGGTACCAGGTGCTTACAAGGGATTATTATAAGCTTATTTAAATGAAATCATTCTTAATTTGGGGGGGGGGGGGGGGGGGGACATTGTTACTCACCGCTATACATCGTAATGGATTTGCGAGCTGGGAAATCTATAAAGACTGCGTTGAGGACTCCTTTGAATAGCACATCACTACTGCTTCTAGATTCTTTACTTACATTCAATTCCAAGGCCTCTCTACCTATCCACTATGAAGGCATACATTCTACTTGGCATTGCTGCCTTGTGCGGCTCGGCTTCCGCCTTTTGGGGACAATTGGCAGCTGGTGATATTTTGCAAAGTGAGGGCGGCGAATATCAATTCATCTACTTGACAGACTACAACACCGGATCGAAATATGAAACGGAACTTCACGACGGCTTCAGCGGATGCGTTTCGTCGAAATGCACGGCTGGGTAAGTGTCACTTGAAGCAAAATATATCAAAAGACTAATCGGTGAAAAGATTCTATGAAACAACTCCCGGAGGCTATAACTTCAATGCTTTGATTTGGAGGTCTTCTGATGGCTGCCATCACATCGATTTCGAAGGAGCTCTTGGTTCACACAGTGGATATTGCTGCGGATCTCTTCCTTGTGACATTGGGGCTTAAAAGAAGATTTTTGCTCCGTCTTGGAAAGTTTTATTTTAGCATTTGTACTCATAGTAGCGCAAAATGGTTAAAGTGACGTTGGAATTGTTTAGCGAGGTTACGAGTTGTCGTAGCTTGGGCGGAAGGCGCTGGTGCGGACCTTGTTTAATAGCAGTAAAGCAATACAGGCTAGTAATGGAAATTATGTTCGACGCAAGCCCTCACAAAGCAAGAGCAATTGGAATAAACTGTTTTAATAAGCCAAAAGAGAGCAGCAGGACATGGAAATTGACAATAACTTTCATTTCTATAATTCTTGTATAGGTTCTGGGGCCTGAGTTCTAGACATGGGCGGCATTTGCTAAAGTTGGAGCGATATGCCACATACCCCTGCTTTCCCTGTAACGTTGCGCTGAGAGAACCACATAGGCAGCTGCAATTTACTTGATTCATCTTTTTTTGTATTGTCTTGTGGCTCAGCTGCTCTTTTGTCTTTCATAAATAGACTCGTATCGCCCAATCTCGATTTCTCTGCTGTTGGTTGGTAGTCCTGCCGTTTTATCCGCCCTACTCCAGTTTAATAAGCTCACTGCCTCCCTCTAGGGTCTGACTGCGCCGAGAAACAGCGGCATCTCTCTTCATCTTTCATTGAACTGGTAGAATGAGGCTGAAAAAGCCAACTTGATAAAAATACTAGTGATTGGCTACCTGTGTTAATGAGATGGATAGGCGGTCTCTCGTGGGGTGTCTCGACAAATGAGATTTTATATAGACTGCAGTAAAGTTGGGCAGATTCTCAGGAGACCAAAGGCTTACTGGCAGTGAAGAATGTGCAGAGTATTTCATGTCTGTAGTCATAAGCACCGGCTGAAGTACCCTGGTAGAAATTTGGTATTTGTCGTGCCTTATGGGGAACTTTTCCCCGAGATTACTGGCGGAAATATGGTCTCCGGCCAATCCGCCTCAATTCTTTCAAAGCTATATAACAAAGCCGTGGCCTCAAGGCGCAAATTGATGTTGTGTTGTGGGCATCATCTTGTGTCACGCGACCACAATGATGTCCGTCGCTCGCATCAACGCCGCGTTTTGTATTCTCTGGCTTCTTCTGTTTGTCTTTTCCTCCTTCTTTTCATATGATGACCCTTCTTCAATCTTTTTCAATGCCGAGCGAGCCTATAGACAGCGCTTTTCTACAGTGAGAACTGAAGAGGCGGACGCCTATATCCATAATCCCCCTACTAGAGTTACACCAGCCCAGCCCGTCGAAAAACTACTATGCATCGGCGTCCCCAGTATCAATCGCACGACCGAGTCGTTCCTATCTTCGACCGTTGCTACGTTAACCGATACACTCACGTCGGATGAGCGCGCATCAATCCGCATTGTTGTGCTGCTAGCCGATAAAACGCCCGCGAAACATTTTGCATATGGCCAAGACTGGCTCGAGCCGCTGGTTGACGAAGTCCTTCTCTATGGCGAACCGCCTGAAGGAAGCTCCGTATACCGCCGCATCCCGTTCGACTTGAAACAAGGAAACATTCGTGGCGATGGCCGTGTGGAGAATATGAGGCTCGATCATTCGGCGCTCGTGGAAGCGTGCCGAGAGCAAGAGTACCCGTACTTTGCGCTGGTGGAGGATGACATTGTTACACTGCGAGACTGGTTTCCTCGATTCAAAAAGGGCCTAGCATTTGTGGAACAAAAGACTGAAGAGACCAAGAGAGAATGGATATATCTGCGATTGTTTTACTCGGAAATCTTGATGGGATGGAACAACGAAGAGTGGCTATCCTACTCAAAGGTCATCTTTTTGGTATACGCCGCCGTGTTAGTCGCATTCCTGGCTGGGAGGAAATATTATGTGCGCAAGGGTGCTTCAGCGGGCGTGTCGCTGCATACGCAACGCTTTCTTGGAGCCCTCATTTTTGGTCTCTGGCTGCCAGCTCTTATTGCTCTCTACTTTCTCTCCGGTCGTCTCTCTGCTAATAGATTGAATCCGTTTGGCCTAAGCGAGTTCCATGGAGCCCGGGAGATGCCGCATTACGGGTGCTGCGCCCAAGGACTTGTGCTTCCTCGGAGGCATTTAGAGGGCTTCCAAGCATTACTGAGAGACCCACCATACGACTTCCCGGGAGATATGATACTGGAAGGCTACGCAGAGGATCGTGGACTGGTAAAGTGGGCGCTGGAGCCGAGTGTGTTTCAACACGTCGGATTTAAAGAGTCATCCGAAGGACAGCGTCGAACTGAAGTTTGGAATTTTGGATTTGAGCGGCAATACAAGGCCTAGGAAAATAGTATATGCATGTAATTAGTAATGGTAGAGTGTTGTATGTTTTAGATGAAGACATGTTCTCACCTTACCATTTTTGAACATTGAAGCCTCAGCGTTGCCCTTACTGGTAGTTATCGGTGAGTGTTAGTAACAAATGCTGAAGGCATACCCCCACGTATGTTTTTGAGGAAGTCTTTTACCGAGATAGACATATAGATGATACCTAGAAGAAATTACCGAAGACATGAAAACATATTGATATTACACTTGTAGGTACCTCTCTGATAGTAACAAGAGTAGTTGGGCCCTATAGTAAAAATATATCATCAGCACCTTTGATCTCGCTCATGACTTCCTGAACATCCACACGACAACCCAAAAGATCTTGCCTATCTCGAACCCGCTTCATGAGCATTAATATTAGTTTGTGGTCGGTTAAACCACCCGCCTTGTCTTCTGTTGGGGCGCTTGTGTGTTCTCCATCACTGCAATCTCGGCCTTTCGCCGCGTTATTCGTTGATGAGTCCATCTCATCTATAAACTCCGATATCCAGTCCGCGTATATCTCATCAGTAGTCTCTATCCCCGCAATGAAGACAGGCAGGGGCCATAGCATCGCTCGAGGTATTTTGATTGAAGAAGCCAATATGCCCTTGCGATGAATCTCCCGTAGTCGTAGAGCAATCTTGAGTATGCCGCTCGTTGCCATTGCGGCGGTCGAATCGCTACGGATAGTGGGGTATAGAAACCGCGACCACAGCACTTTGGCTGCCAAAAATGCTGCATAGCAAGACAGCCATTGTAATGAGGCTCGATCGTTAGAAGTAGCATCATGGCCGGTAGTTGAAGATGATGCGGCGAGTGGAAGCGAATCGTAATTCGCGATACCTTTAGCCGTATGGCTGGTGGGATTGCTCTCAATGGTGTTATGCCCAACGCTTGTAACAACGCTGCATAAAGAATTTGCAGCAGGATTGGTTGCTCTGGCAAGGTCGAATTCTGTATCCATTCGTCGTATATCGAGATTTATGGCCGCTTCTTTAGCTTCTGCTAGCTCCCGATGTACAGAGAAATCGGCTTTTTGCTCTGCCAGGTATTTCCATGATCGGTATTGGAGCATATTGGAGATGAGGCAGAATGTTTCGTGAGTTCGTACTGAAATAGGTACCTTCTTCGCATCTTGTACTAGCTCTTCAGGAGGATATGTTTGACCAAAAGTTTCGGATGCGTAAGAGTGTGAATGTGACAAGATGTGGTTGTAACTGGGATGGTGAATAAGCGCGTCAAGCAGTGTGGTTATGGGAGTGTTTCTGCCATCATAGGTTGGCGGTGCCATGGTCGAGAATATTCTCAGACGAACATCGATGTAGCATAGCCACAAGAGAAACTTGCATGCCAAGGCAGAGAGAGGACCGTCGTTTAAGTGGCATGTCAAGTGCTCCTTGAAATGATCCAGGCGACGAAGTATTGCAGTAGCATTGCCATTCAAAACATCGCATCTGCAAAGAAACAATAAAGAAGCCATCGTGATTTCGGCTTTTGATGAAAGAGCCGATTGGCCACCGGATTGGGTTGACCTGGTCTCTGAAGCATTATATGCCTGGCCGCAGCATGATATGCGGCCGAGAGAATCGGTTGCTCGAACATAGTAGGACTTCCATGTTTTGTCGTGGGATATAGAGATTTTGGCCAAGTGCTTGGCTGTCCAGGCCAAGACTGCGTATCGGAAAGGAGATTCTTTGCTGCAGTGCTCGCTTTGAATGTAGTCGAGGACATATCTGAGATAGTTTCCTTTGCCATCCTCCTTGAGAGAATAGTTAGATCTGGTGATCCAGCGCTCAAAATGAGCCAAGTAAGCAGCCTCTTGGTTCGTGTTCGGCGGAGGGGTCTCAGCTGCATCTATTGGCGTACTGCTCCTTCTGAAGCGTTTGTTGCGGTATGATGTTGAATCATTCGCACTCTCACTTTCCTTAGTAATAGCTGGAGGGTCCAAGATACATGTATCCACAGTGAGTGCCGCATCTGACCAACTAGGAAACTCTATGTCCCTGTTAAAGATGGGATTAAAAGAGAAGTCAAAATCCGACATCTCTGAGATGTGAAAGCCATCAAGTCCAACGAGGTCACCGTCGGACGGCTGGCCACTGTCGAAGCCTAGCCCATAGTTGATGGAGTGAAGTATGGGCTGTGGAAGTGGATTTTCCGAGTTAGAATTAGATCCTGTTGGCCATTTACTGTCCATGTCCATATAATTCAACGTAGCCGAGGGAAGTGAATGGCCCATTTCGGATGGGTCGTACTGCTGCTGACTGTCACTGGCTTCTCCAGAGGCATCTGCTTTCACATTGGGCGGTGATGGCCCCTGGCGAGGCGTGCCTGGAAGATCGCGTTTCTGGCTGCTCCGAGGATCGCCCAATGACATTCGAAGGTTGCTATCAAACGAAGAGACGCATGTTGCCTTCAACTTGACGCAGTTTTGGCACGGATTGCCTCCTTTGCAGCGGACCTTGCGTTTCCGGCAGGTCATGCATCCTGCTCTTAGTGATTAGCCATCCAGCCTTATGCAGCCCGCCCTTCAGTCGCTCAATCCCAGCTAGTCACTGTTTGTCGCCCCCTATCCGACGTACCGTGAAAGCTTCTACGCTGAGTGTGCTCCATTGTCACAACCTATGACGCTCTCTTCAGGCCGATGGAATCGGAATGTCGGCTCACGCGAGTCCACGTATCTAGAGGGGGCAGCCGCTGTTTTAGAGAGAATAGCTGTTGGCCAAGATTACGTTAGCGCGTTTCCCCTCCCTTGTCGAATTTCCCGACTGAGAGCACTTTTAGGTGGCTCCAAAGGCCTATTCCGGATAGTCCGTTCACAGAGCTGAGATTTGTTGATGATTTCTTGACTTCAATACACGATTAAAAGATAATCACAGATAAGAGGGAGACTTTGATATGCTGAATTAGGAGTATGCGTAAGGTATCTGGCAATTCCCTAGTATCACAATGTAGCATCTGAGCCAATTTTTATTCAGCCATATTGCATCAACACAATTGCTAGTTACTATCGACATATACGTTATACGGTCGCTTTCATACGTTGGGGGCTCTTGCTGTCCGTATAAATATATTGAAAATACCACTGGTGCCTTAAATGAGTACTTTGAGACAAACACGGCGAGCTATGAACACATGTAGATTCTCAACAGTAAACAGGCACTAATTCCTCCAGTCCTAGCTCCAGCATGCTAGCTATGTATGTCCATCTGCAACATACTCTGACTTGCAGATCTCTCCAAGTGGCCACCGAGAGCTAGAGATACTCACCAGGCATACCGGAAATAGTGCAACTCCTTGTCCGTCAAATCCATGAAATCATCCTCTTGTACGGCATTTGGATCAACTTTGCCGTACACCTTGTCACGTCTCCTGTTCTGTACAATCAGATATCCCATGAGAGCAAAGGCTAGGACAATAATTGTTACAAAAGAAGCAATCATCCCTCTAAATCCCGTGGGATATAGGGGTGCCTCCGAGTCGATGAAGAGATGTGGAGCGACCAGATTCCCTGCAGAATATGAAAGAAATATTCCAGCAGAAACGGTGGTTTTGCGCGACATTCCAGCAAAGTTGGAAGCCACAAGACTCAGTACCATGATATAGCTGATCGTGTTTGTAAAGAGAATGTAGACGCCGGCCAAGCGCGTCAATTTATCGGATGCCGGCACATAATACACGATCAAGCTACCAACCAAGGGAGGGATGTTGGATAGCACAATAATGATGCACCTGAAGTTTTTCAGATAGGAACCGGCAATGCCCCTAGTATTGTTAGCCTAATGTTGCTATCGGATGAAAGCAGAGCAACATACGCAACTATGACACCGAATAGCTGGATGGCATGTTCCGGCATAGAGTATATCGTGGCTTCGAGATTGGTATACCCAAGACCTGTTAGGATAAGTTTGTTGAACTGCGTTGCCATTAGTTACTCACAGGGAAAGTATGTAGAATGAAGGATGCTCTAATATAGAGGGCACTTACAGCAGTCAGACCACCGCTTGGTAAGCATTGGATAAATGCAATACAAAAGAATATCCATGCTTGAGGATCCGCGAGAACGGAACATGCTTGGTTCCATTTCCAGTGCGAGGCGCTGATTCCAGTATGATTAGACATGACACGTAGCACTGCAATCTTCTTTTCTCGCTCATTCAAAAATCTCATCTTCCATGGTGAATCGGGCAGAAACAGCATCAGAACTGCAGACCAGAGGATTGTAACGCCTCCAAATGTAATGAACATGTACTTCCACGGCGAGAGCGGCCCGTGGCCATGCCCGATGCCATACGCGATTAGATCTCCAAAGAAAGATCCAACCGCGTTGCCTGCCCACCATATGCACGATCGAAGAGAGTGTTCCTTGCGCGTGTAATATTGGGCAGTGATGAGCACAAATGCTGGGTTATTGACAGATTCGAAAAGCCCGAGGAAAAAGCGAGTAGTGGCGAGACCTGCAAAGTTTTTGGCAGTGATGGCGAGTAGAATACACACTCCCCATCCGAATACGTTGCCAGCCAGCCATTTTCCCATGGGCACTTTGTGAAGCAAGTATGCGTTGACCGGCTGTCCTAACATGTAGCTGTTTACCCAAAGTCAGTCCCGCTTCCATCAATGTCCGTGTTATTGTCATATCATACCCAAAATAGAAAATGCTAGCAACCCAGCTGTATTGCTGGCCAACCAGATGCTGGAAGAATATAAGTATGAGAACTCAGTACATGTATATTGTAATCGCAAAACCCTCACCGTGTCCTGTTTAAGTCCAAACACTGATGCATTGGAAAGAATGCCCTTGTCGAGAAAATTCAGAGTATATGTTCCGAGTAGCTAGACAGATGGTCAGCGTTTCAACTTCATAGCCGTTGAGTTGTCTTGATGCTTACGAGTGGCATCATCATCAAGTCGATTTTCCACCGGACCATGGTTGCTTCTTTGTCCGTGTAGTCAAAAGCTTGATCTCCCGTGGACTGGAGAAAGTCTAGGGCATCATCACGATCCGTTTGTGCCTTCTTGATGAAAACATTGTCTGCCACATGGTGAACACCACTTGACTCTTCCACGCCAAGTTCATGATCGTGGTGTGCCGAGCCAACAGTAGTCTTTTCTGTATCCATGGTTCCACTGTTGTAAGACTCCTAAGCTTCACGAAGCCGAGAATTTCTACTCCTATTCATTCGTATCTTCATGTCAGTGATCAGGCCCTTCTTAAACAAATTGGCTATCATATTGAGAAGCAGTGAAAAGAACCGTTATCTCTAGCACCAACAAACTTGCCCCTTGGGTCTATTGCGGGGGTGGAGAATAGATAGACGCCTCTCGCCATGACTACCAAGAGAAGTAATCATGCCGACCCCGCGAAATACCAAAACTATCACGAACTAGCGGAAATCTAGTCCTCGAGATGGTAGCCAAGCCGAGATCGCGATATACCCTGTGATATCTTCGGAAGACGATCGTATTGCCGTTGTATATCGAATTATCCGCTTATACGGCCAAGCTCTGCATTGATACATTAAGGTCGCATTTCCCTGATTGAGAGTTGGTGACTTTTGGAGTATCTTTGACCAATAGCCAGCACTTAGACTAAAACTACAACGCCAGCAAGCCAAGACGCCAAGTCAAGACGCCAAGTCAGCACTAGCCCATCATGACCTCGACAGCGAACTACCAGCATATTGTTCTCAAGGGACTGCCGTATGATCGCGGCTTTACTCATGGAGAACAAGCCAAGCAAAAGATTCTCGACAGCCTTGCCCATTATCACAAACCAGGGAAACTGCTACCATGGTATGAGTTGATTCGTGCCCTCTTCAGTCTACTTTAGGCTATTTAGATGCATGCATTTGCTAACCCTCACTGCCGTAGGGACACATCGCTTCGCATTATCAAGGAAGTTTATCTTCCGGGAATAGAGAAATACTTTCCCGAGGCGTTGCCTGAGCTCCAGGGCATTGCCGATGGTGCTGGGGTTGACCTGGACCAGATCATGTTCCTCAATGCTCGCTATGATCTTGCCAGGGTTCGAGGGTCAACCATTCGTCCGTGTCCGACTACAAAACCCAGTCCAGCTGCAGGCACTTCTCAAGCTGTAAATGGACATGTCACTCAGAATGGCCTTCATAACAACGCTTCAAGCGATGAGCCGGCAGATATCCAAGAGCTTCAAGAATGCACTTCTGCAGGATTCCTTGCCGAGTCTCTGGACAGCGGTGATGTGATCTTGTCCCAAAACTGGGACATGTCGGCCAATGTTTTCCTGAAGGACACAGCTGTCTACCTGGAAATCTACCCAGACCCATCGGAAGACCTCCCCGTCATGTTTGTCACAACTGAGGCCGGCCAATTGGGCCGTTCTGGCTTCAACTCTGCCGGGCTTGGAGTCTGTGCAAGCTCACTCATGTCGACCGAAGATTACTTCCCGCTTGATCTGACTTTGCCTCCCAGCAGCGAACAACAGCCGCTCCTACCGATGTCTCTTGTGCGAAGGCAATTTCTACACAATATCAACTTTGCCAACGCGCTCATCAACGTGAGAAATGCACCGAGACATTTGTCGAATAAGCTCATTGTGGGCACAGCAGACAACTTTATCATGTCCATGGAAATTACACCCAGTACCGTCCATTTAGGATATCCGTCCAACGGAGACAACTTTGTTGTGGGATCAAATCACTTCGTCAGCGAGTCATTCCAAGCGAGCCAGTGGAATGATCGCTACCCTGGCGGCAGCAGCTGGTTCCGTGCCGTGAGAGTCGCGCAGCGAGTCCGGCCATTCAACAATAAGCAGTTGACGGCAGAGAGGATTACCGAGGCATTCTGTGACCACTTATCACTTCCCTCTTCTGTTTGCCAACACATGGAAGATTGCACAGTCAAGAACGTGCCGGATTACCCATACAAAGGTGCTCAGACAACATTGGCCCATATGCGATACAACTTGACCAAGCGAACCGCAACTGTTTGCAAAGGTCCACCCTGCGTGGGTACCTTCAACGAGTATTCTCTACCCGTTACGAGCAACGTGTGAGTTGATGCTACCCAAAACAGGTGTAATACTTGACGTACTCTAATTACTGACTTCTTGTTTATAGAAAAAAGAATGGCTATGAAACTGGCAAGCACGCAGTTACAAATGGCAAAGCCTAAAAGAGAGCACCCTGAGGCTACCTTGAAAAAGTGCCGCTATCCTTGCGGTCTTTAGCGGTACGGGAAGCTAAGAGCAGAGGCCAAGGGCTCAATGATCTTGGCTTTAAAGTACAGCCTACGTCAAAGTTGTATTGGAAAGACGACGATGTTGGCATCCTAGGTCGGCGTTTTGACTAGAGCGAATATTCGAACGCAGACTTACTCCAATTCACCCTAATCAATTGCCAAGGTCAGGCCTTTGTCTTTTTTGCTTACCAATAGTGTCGGAAAGTATACTTTGCATCCCATGCCTCCGTTGTAATGCAGGTAAGCAGGGGCAAAAGATAAGGAAGCAACGGTGGTATCACAGAGGAAATTGGGAACAGTTCTACTACAACAAGAATTTATAGATTTAGAAAATAAGTAGTTACAAATAAAGTTATAGAAAGTTCTGTTGTTTCAATAGTCATCCTTCACACTGGGACTCCACATCGACAAAACAAGCTGCTCGACTTAGCTCTGATTGCTCTTCTGAGCGATCAAGATTGTAGGAATGTTAGCAACGTCTAGCCACAGGCAATATCAATGTCGGCAATGAGGTGGAGAGTGGGATCAAATGCTTCTTTTATAAATTCTAGAGAATTGCCTTTGTATTGTTCAATACGCAGCCGGGGACAAAAGTATATTTGAATGCGTTATGGCGAGGCCTCCAGAGTCCTTCTCGCAACAACCCGCTAATTTCAGGAATTCCGTTTAAGCGAATCCCGTTAGGCGCAAGGGGTTTTATGCGGCCTTGGTTGGATCTTAAAGTTTAGCCTGCTACAATGTTGCAGTAGAATGCAGAATACTCGTATAAATAAAAGTAGATAGCGATACCGATAGCGATACCGAAACCGATACCGAAAGAGTTTTCTACGATGATTTTCGCTTTTATTGTTGTAATATACTTTGCTCGTTCTTTTCAGGGAAGAATATAGCGGATGTGCTTACTACACGAAACCGTTCTAATTATCACTAGCTACCTATGTTCTGATAATACACAATTTGAACATACCTACCATGTCATAAAAACTGCGAGTCAACACCATCGGGCTGATAAAAGAAAACGTACGATTTTACAATGCATAAGATGAGCTGGCAATAAGAGGATTTAAACGCTTGTTTCGTATCCCGTAACGCGCTTACTGTTTTTACTGTTTGTGGAGATGGGTCATTAGCTGCGCCTCTATCCTGCAATCAGCCATTTTTTCCGCTTTGAGGAAAGCCATGCGAGTAGTATTGATATACAGCTAGGTGTGGCTAGTCAATAATAGATATGTGATATCAAATAGGCGCCGGATCTTATTGTACTATATAGGAAAACCAATGCCGGGGCCCTTTTTGTCAAATGTGGCCAGAAACGTGGATTTATTTGGCCCCGAATCCCGGTTGTTCTCTCAAATCTGAGTATCATATCTGCAAGACGCGCGTATCGAGCTGAAAAATCAGATAGCATAGCCTCCAAGAAAAGGAGATGTCTTCCTCGCGCTGGTATTTAATAATCGAGAACATCATGACTGGCTTCACGCTTCAAGACAAGAAGTTTTCTTCAACATTCGTTGCTTTGCTTTTTGTACTCCATCTTTCTTCCGACTTTCGTTAAACTCTCTTCGCGTATTTACTTGGCAACATGAGTACCAACGATAATTGCATCCCGGACTGGCAGCATACATCTTTTACTTTTTATAAATATGTCCCGTCTCTTGCAGCCGCGGTGATCTTCACCGGACTCTTCTTCTTAGCATTTGCTGGTCATTTATTTCGAATGATCAAAGCAAAGGCTTGGTTCCTAACTCCGTTGGTAATAGGATGTTTATGTGTGTTCTATCGAGACTGATGCTACTTACTGGAGACAAGGGCTAACAACTCACAATAGTTGAGGTCATTGGTTTCGCCGCCAGAGCAGTTTCAGCAAACCAAAAGCCAGGATGTTGGACGGAGACGCCTTATCTTATCCAGACGTTATTAATCTTGTTGGCTCCGGCGTTGTTCGCGGCTTCCATTTATATGACCCTTGGGCGAATTATCGAGGTCGTTGATGGAGAACAATATGCACTTATCGGACGGAGATGGCTTACGAAGATATTTGTTTGTGGAGATGTCATTTGTTTTCTCCTCCTCGGTGGTGGTACGATTCAAAACCTTTACCCTGATTTTCACTTTCTTTTGGAGATATCTAACGTTATCGTAGGTGGTGGCATGCTAGCCTCTGCAAAGACGAACAAGAAAGAATTCGATCTGGCCAACAACATCATCATCGGCGGACTTGTGCTGCAGCTGTTGTGGTTTGGACTTTTCGTTGTGATAGCTCTCATATTTCACCGTCGAATGATGCTCGCCCCGACAGCTCGAAGCTACCAGTCCGATATTAAATGGAGAAGCTATCTTCACGCTCTATATGTTGCCAGCGTGCTCATTATCGTGCGGAATATTTTCCGCCTTATTGAGTATTGCCAGGGCAGTAATGGCTATTTGCTGACTACGGAGGTCTTTGTCTATTGTCTTGACGCCTTGCCAATGTTCTTGGTTGTTGCTTGGTTCCTCTGGAAGTATATTGGGGAAGTCAGCGAGCTGCTTCGAAGAAAACAGTCATATGGACTTCCAATGAACGAGATTTGAAATATCTATTGCAGGATAAACACCTTTTAGAAAAGATGGCTTAGAGGAAACTTATGTTTGAAAATGTGTTAGGGCAGCTCTGCATTTGTGCTTGTTTGGAGTATTCGACGGTAGAATTTGAGACGTTTGATAGAAAATTAGATTTTAGATATTATTTGGATATTAAAAATTCAGGAAATCTCCAACTTTTTTTTCATCATCTCGAGTTAAATCATGTTCAATCATCAAAAGCAGCCAAATTGCAACCTCAGGTAAACACCTTGTACTGAACCCGATTACCGCGTAATAATCTCTGTACATGGTATATATATGAATTACTCGCATGAAGCGCGAATGTGATTAAGACTTCTACAATATGCTCGGGCTATGTCCGAAATTTTCCGTAACGTGTCCCGGATAATAGAGCCTGCAAACCTAAAGCGACGCCAATCACGGCATTTGAGAGAGACGAGTCGGTATCGCCAAATCGATTGATGGCCAATCTCCACTTGATATTGACTTAGTCTTTTCGGAATTAGTCGAATGATTATGCTTTTCACGGAGCTGGACATCCTATTATGGAAATATTGGCTGACACAAGGGCTTCCTCGCAATTGGAGTTTAGGCGGCCGCTTATGCATTAGTGAGCGGCCGCTCTCGACGCCTCTTTCAAATCTTGCTTTGTGAAAGGGGCTTAACAAAGTTTATCTCTGTTTAAGCTGAGATTTTAAGCTATGAAGCATTATTTAACGAGATTGTATTGTCCAAAGTTCTATAGTTGGGCTGTTGGTTAGCTCGCTTGGATCTATTGTGAATTTTCACAAAGCGTTATGCTCTAACTAGACGGGATGTTTCAAAACGTTTAAATGCCAGCCTCATGCTTATCAGAGCCACCCGATACCCATAGCTCTCGAATAATTCATGAGTATAATCTAAACATGGACCAATTTTGATTAGCTGACACCTCTCGTCTGCCACATTGGCCTTCCAACTCATATCCATTGGCGACCCTTCCATCCCAAAACTGTGCCCAGCCTGAATGGTTACCTTCGCTTGTCAAGGGAAACTATGACTCCGAATTCTGTTGGGCAACGCAAACAGGACTTATATATCCACTTTCCACAGCAACTAAGGGCTGAAGATATACCATCTTCAATCAAGTTGAGCTCTTTGAGTAGAAGTTTCTCAAGCCAATCGCTCTCGTTACGACGCCTCATACATGCGTCATTAAATTGATGTAGTCTATCATTGACAATCCGCCTCTGGACTTTCGATATCGCTTCCCATTAAACGAAGATGTGGGCAGACCGGGAGACGGAAAGAATAATGTTCCGGAAAGAGTCGTAAATCTGCACTTATTTCATTGTAGATAGTCCACTCTTCACGTAGTATAAACTGTCCATTAACAATCCTGGATTCCGCTGCATAGGAATCTCTAAGTGGACCGAGAGTTAAAGATTATCTTTTCTCTATAAAAGGAGTCATCAACGTCGCGAGGTATTTGTGTTGTGTATTGCCCAAGCGGGAGAGTTTCAGTGCAAGCTGTACGTGGTAATGGTAGATAGAATACGTTTCTGTACCAAATCTTCGAGATAGGTCAACATTGCAAGGAACAATTGATACGATTCTCTTATGATCCGGTGCATACTCGGCATATCCACAGTATTAATAAGACGTAATTTGCAGCATTGCGGACAGACCCAGTGACTTGGCAAAGTGTAAGCCAGCTCAGCCCAAAATTCGACTTTATCATATAAAGAAAGGTGTGATAGCTCAATATCCCAGTCTTGAAATGTGATACGCCGAAATGATTTACAAGGATGAGAAAGAAGAAATTTATCATGTAAAGCTAGTTTATCAACGATGAGAATGAGAATGCCAAATGGAATTTGGTAAATAGCGGCCTTGGGTCAACATACGGCGTAGAAGTAATGAACAATGCATCTTGAAATACTTGAAAACTGTAATAGAATATCTTGAAAGAGCGAAAGCAGTTCTTTCTAAATATGGCTCTTGGGCTGTAACAAAGAGCACGATCCGGCTATTGGCGGGCAGCTGTCCCACTGGCGATGGCGACGATATCGCGTCGCCTATATATACTTCGACGTCAACCCGCACTTCGATTTGGGCACAGCTTTTTAGCCCCTACCCAGTGGACGCTTTGCCAATCTTGGTACATTCGCTCATGAATTTTGCTGATATACGTGCTGACTCTATCTGGAGAGAGCCGTCGATCACAATGGCATTGCAGCAGTGTACTGGGCTCGCGATGTATTCATGTTGTTGCAGCTACCAAAAGTGTTCAACACAACCGTTTTGAGCTCAGACGTCTTTTACGCACCAATGCAGGAGACAGTTCGCTCTACCAAACCTGCTCTACTGTCCGCTCCACTGCTGTATTTGGTGCTCGCAGTTCAGCCATTCTTACTATTGCGGCGTTTGCACTCAACGTTTTCCTGTACTCCACACCAGTCGATAAAGACTTCGGCCTTGTATTAATTCTCTCTGGGGCGGATTGGTAAACTCTTGGGCTATTACGAGGGGCAGGGTTGTCTGGAAATCTTGAAGTACCAGTGACGCTGGATATTTGGGTTAAAGATGGCAATCCCTTGGGATACTCCCTTTCATCCTCTGAAATCGTAGGTAAAAGAGCGTTTTTAGAGAAGGAGGTTCAATATGGTTAAGCGGTCATATTAGAGAGCTGTTGGTTAATGGAGCTTCTCTCGGAACTCCCATCAACCTCAATCTGACATGTAATCACGTGAATTTGTTTGTGCACGCGAGCTAAAATCTACATTTGCGATTCGATTGCGTCTACTCTTGAACCTTAGATCCGGGCCGCTTCCGCTCACTTTGGGCTCTCGTTGTTTATACCACGCAGAACAAACAAGATGCAGGAACTCTCAGTCATCTCTCCCAAATTCCACAATCTCGTCTACCCTCGTATGAACCTCAAAGACCATACTTTGGACGACAACCTGCCTGCGTGTCGCTTCCAGTCTCAACCTGATGGGCATCGTTTCCGCCAACCACCAGAGTCATGCGCCGGTGCTCTCGAAACTCTTCCTGCCGAGTTGGTTGCCAAGATTCTCTCTCAACTGGATCTGCGCACCCTCGCGGATTTTCGATGCGTCAATAGACGTGCCTCGGAGCTCGTTGACGTCCTTCCCGAGTACAGAGCCATCATCACACATGCACCCAATGCCTTGCACGGCATTGTAAGTATCGAAGCTGGCAGGTGGATTACTCCCAGTGCGCTATATGAGAAACTATGTACGCCCAAATGCGAACAGTGCGATGACTTTGGCGGTTACCTCTATCTCCTTACATGCAAGAGGGTTTGCTTCTTATGTCTATCAAAGGATAAGCTATACCTGCCGTTGACCCGCAGGCGCGTGAGCCGAATATTCGGGCTGGAGCCCCAGATGCTTGCAAAGATACCTCACATGAGAGTTATGCCGGGGATATACTCACCGAACGAAAGGAAGGCAGAGCAGTCTGTCTTGGTCGACTATGAATCTGCCCTTTGTGCTGGTGTTACGTTTCACGGGTCATTAGATGCTATGGAAAAGTACGTGTTTCACAAGGAAGACCAAAAAGTAACGGCGGCGCTGAAATCAGGAGCCATCGCATGCCGTATACCGCCGCCATATCTGACAGATCCTTATGACGGACAGTCAGGGAACCCGCTCCGATTTGTGGCAATCGTTCGGGTGCCATGGCTGAATAGAGCGTTGCAGGAGGTAGAATGGGGTTTCCATTGCATTGGATGCGAAAAGTCTAGCCGCCCGCCTCTTCATTATAGGCGCCAGTTCACGGAAGCCTCATTCGAAGACCACTTACAACAGTGTGGGGGTATACAAAACGGGCGGCATCAGTCCGGATGATCTTTGAAGTAAGTTGAAAAGCAGTCAGCCATACACGGAATAGTTACCCGGATATGTTTTCATCCTATGGGTGCCTTATTTCACCCCAACAACGAATTGCTAGGCTACCTCGCCGAATTACTACGCGAAACGCCTGTGTATTATATCGTCATTTTAAATCTTACGAAATAACTGACAGTACGAATGAGCAGCTGGAGACTATCGCACAGAAATAGAATGTTGTCGATACGAAGATAAATGGGGTTCAGGGTGGGATCATCGTACTCTGTCAACGGTGAGAATCTTGTTTTGGTGCATCAAGGGGAGATGTGCATGCGGAAAGATGAACTAGATATAATGATGAATGAAATGCTCGGCGATGTGCATACTCCAAAAGGTCCTTGTATTGACATCTACAACACCGTAAGCAAAGCTAGGAGGTGCGGCGAGAAACTCTATGACCATGTTTCCAGTAGACAGTAGAACGTCGTCACAATTGTATAAGCAGTCTCTCGGAGTAGTAGATAATGCATTAAGCTTGAATGTGTTACGCCTTGAAATACTATAGCAATTTTGGGAGCATCCTTCTCCTTGCAAGATGCGCATCTCCTTCAACTACATTGACTGCGTTGCTGGGCTGATGGTGAGCCATTGAATTCATGTCATGCAGACAACAAAAGGACAATAAATTTTCACAAATCATATTCATTCGATTCTAGGTCGAAGTATACTGCCTTTAGGCTTATTTTCACTCTTTTGGAGAAAATTCGTTCAACAGCAGGGTGTACTAGCGCTCTTGAGAGAAGGGTACCATTTGTTCCTCTTCAGTTGATCTGTCATGTTTCGAACTGTGTGATATATGATACGAGGTGAATAGCAGTAGCCAGGTGGATTGCCAGCAAAACGAGGTCCGTCAGTCTATATTGGTCAAAGAAGGAATGAGAGCAAGCTACGGCTATAGATAGCTGGGATCCATGCGAATATAAATTGCCGTGTATACCTCATGAGGCAGCTCTCTGAGTATCTCCTTGGCCTTATTTTCAGCTATTTCCTTAGCAATCAGTTGGACATCACTCTCTTAATTCAAGCCAAACGTCCATTAACACAGGAGTGCCACGGCGCCCCTTGGCGTCGCACTATTTCATCCCATTGTCATTCGCTGATACTAGAGTTTCGACGTACATATTACATAGCTCGTGTAAGAATATCGAAGCGCATGAGCTAGACCTCGGCTCGACCCACTGTTGGAATCTGCAACGGTGGGTTTCGTCATGGCGATGCATGTGAAACTAAATCGACTCAGAGGATCCCGACCCACCCATGCCGCCGTGAAATATCCGCATCATCAGAATGGTGTTGTAAGGTTATTTCTGGGAACTTTCATTGGTGTTCATATGGCAGCGGATAAGCACTATATTGCAGTGAATAAGCACTATATTTTCATGACTGAAGTTAGTAAGGCATTGGACTACTTGAACTATATTATACAAGCCTCTCTTAATAGACGTTTGGTAACTAACTCGTTGCTATTTCTATCATTCGTGGAAGTATTGATGCAATCCGTATACACCTAGCGCCGCATATTAGCTACTAATTGCCAACTCAACTAGTCTCATCCTCTTAAACGAGGCGAAACGTGTCGGCTGTCGCTTGACAAAGCTGTGCTATCTTCGGAGTTTGCTACCTAAATTAATTGTTTCACCGTTTCTTATTTGACAACAACCCTGGACTAATATGTAGTTTGCTCAAGCTGGAGAAGAGAGAAACCACCAGCTATTTTTACCTTGCTTACAGGGCACTGGGAAGTGAGACATTCCATCTAGCCTATGTGGACGGTATTCTTGCTTCCTTGATTGACTTGTCTCACGAGACTGGTTCAAAGAAACGCAGTAGCGTCAATAAGAGACACCAGACCTTTTCCCTCATGATTGGCGACGCTAGCAGTAAATGGAACACATGTATCCGTATATTTTGTTCTAATCCAGAATCGGCGTTACCACGGTATACAACCGAGATGCGGGCGCAACTGTGGCAGGCCTAGGGCGGTTAATAGCGAACTTTGCGTACACAAATTGAAGCAAACTTGGAATGCAACATGAGTTAACCCCTCATTAAGGTGGTGACTGTGGAAAGTTTGCTACATCGCAGAACCGTAGTAACACACCCTTATGAGAACAATTTCTCCACAACACTAATGGAGCCCATTGCGAAAGATACTAAGCAGTCGGCGTGAAGCTTTCTAAATTGGTAGTCTAGCTTTGGTAGATGATTTGTGAAAGCTGATTCGAGTTTCGTCGCAAATAATTGCCCATCTCCTTAGGCCCACAGGTTATTAAGCGTGATACCAGGTAGTATATTATGTGAATGGCGGGGTCTGCCATTCAGAAGTTCCAATATCTCATAGTGTAAGTAATTAACTGCACCATGAGTAGGGCAGGTAAAATTGAATCGAGTCTCCGCGCAGGCCCCGCAAATGATCAACGGCACCCCCTTACAGTCGTATCCGAAAGCGATATAAGAACTGTTCGCTCCCCCCACCCAGACTATAGAATCACTTCGAACTCGGGGAATACGCAGTCGTCAGAGTATATAGAGACTCATCGTCATGCTTTTGGCTGCTGAGGCGCTGGGTTTTACCCTGCCGTCTGGAGTCGCTCTTATACTATGGCTCGTTATTATTGTGAGTATAACCTAATCTTCGTTTTCCGTCGCTTCCTCAGTCTCTTTATGCTATAATCTCTTGATCAGAGCTAACGTATTCGAGAAAGGGAATTGTATATCTCATCTCAATCCCAATCTACAATGTCTGGTTCCATCCCCTTCGAAAGTATCCAGGCCCTAGACTGTGGGCCGCTACTCGAATCCCGTACACTCGTATGATCTTCTCTGGCATGTCTCATCGGAAAATCTTTGAACTACAACAGCGCTATGGAGACATTGTGCGAGTAGCACCAGATGAGTTAGCCTACTGCAGGAGCGATGCTTGGAATGATATCATGGGCCATCGAAAACGCGGCCAGGGAGAGAACGGCAAAGACCCCATCTTCTGGAAGACACAGCAACACAGCATAATCAGCGCCAACCGCGAAAACCACACTCGCATGCGGAGGACCCTGTCTCACGGATTTTCGGCGCAGGCAATGATGGATCAGCAGCCTCTTATACAAGGCTATGTCGATATGTTGATCGATGGACTGCGAAAGAACTGTGACAATGGCGATCGGCCCGTGGAGATGACGTCTTGGTATAACTGGACGACGTTTGACATCATCGGTGACTTGGCCTTTGGAGAACCATTCGGTTGCCTGCAAAATTCTGACTATCACCCTTGGGTGTCACTGGTATTCCAACGAGTCCGCGGGGGCGCAATCAATAACGCTTTGCGCCGGTTTCCCTTTGGGGAAAGCTTAATTCAATTTCTCATTCCAAAGGAAGCACGCAAAAAGTTCCACATGTATTTCCAAATCACAAAAGAAAAGGTCAACAAAAGGTTGGCCAACACTAGCCCACGGGCAGACTTTATGGAGGTTATGGCTAGAAAGGAAGGAGACATGGTATGGCTTCTATAGCTTTATTTTTGAACCCTCTGGCTGGCATCTCTTACTAATACTTTGCAGAAATTTTCTTATCCTGAGCTTTTGGATAATGCAAGTTTGCTTATTATTGCTGGGTCGGAAACAACCGCCACGACTTTGTCTGGAGCCACCTATATGCTACTCACTCACCCTGAAATCTTGCAGAAGGTGAAGGACGAAGTGAGATCGAGCTTCTCAAACGAAGCTGAGATTGATCTTCTTAGCGTACAGAAGTTGAGCTACATGATGGCGGTGCTACAAGAAACGCTTCGCGTGTATCCTCCAGTTCCAGCTACCATACCGCGCAAGGCACAGCCTGGTGGCGACATGATATGCGGACAGTATGTTCCGGAAAATGTGTGTATTGCTTTTCTTCAAAGACGCTTCCTGGTCAGCTCTAACAGACAATTAGACTATTCTGGGGATTTGGCAATGGCCAATGTATCACAACGCAAAGAATTTTACCTTGCCTGATTCCTTTATCCCGGAACGATGGCTGGGAGATGCTCGGTTCCTGAATGACTGCCATGAAGCACTTCAGGCATTCTCGTATGGACCCAGAAATTGCATAGGAAAGAAGTTAGTGGCTATACTCTCTCAAACTTATCAAGGATGGTCAGTCTAACTATTTTTAGTCTTGCATATGCCGAAATGCGCTTGATCTTGTCAAAAATCTTGTGGAATTTTGATATCGGTCTTCATCCTGATAGCAAAAACTGGTATGAGGAGCACGAGGTTTACACATTCTGGAAAAAGCCAAATCTCAATGTGTACATTAAGCCAAGAGTGGTTGTATAATATGTGGGCTATGAACGCCTATGCTGCCATTTATGCATGGAATAAAATGAAATTGTCTGGTATGTTGTATGCGAGTTTTCATTCGCCGCAATAATGAGATTGTAATTGGCTCATATTATGATTTGTGCCAGATAAAAATGTACAGGATTCAGCTTGGAAGTATGAAGACCGCGTGGCATGTTATTCGAAGAAGAAAAGGCGAGCTAAGGATATCAATGTAATTCGTGATATTTGTGGTCTAATTCAGCGAATCAGGCTTCTCGAGTGTCGACACCTCAAGGTGTGCTGACACATTAATAGACTTAGTGTGACAAGCTCTCCTGAAACTTGCTGGCGCTGCATAGTAGAATGCAATGATGGAACCATAAGTAGATTCGTCTCGTAAAACTTTTGCGCGAACCAGCATCCACTGCAGAGTGATCTACTCTCTATTCAGCCTGTGAGTCAAGTAGAGCTATCATAATAGTACCATTGATACAGCTCCCTGGATGCGCAGAGTTGGGTGAGTGCACAATTTTATTGTAACTCGAGCTAGAGTACCATAACGCTAGAGTATGTATCACAACGCTGGTGAATTTTAAAAAAACCAAGGTTGATACTAAAACGACTCTTTCTCTGTACATTACATCATAAAAGCTGCCAATATGATTTCAATATCAAAGCTAGGACCTGAAGACTTACGCCCGAGAGTATAGGCTGAAGTGGGCCAAAGATTTTGCATCCGAATCATGCATCATTAATTATTAAGTATAGAAATTTATGGGGATAAAGCTGTAGGGCAAGTTACCGCTTGTGGAAATACTTTAATTTCCTCTTTCTTATAATAGTAGATAGTAATCGAGCCGTGGATTATGTAAAGACTACTTACTATTTTTGAGAGACGCTTAACCTCCCTTACAAAAGTCAACAACAATATTACGCTTAGGTAGCCAAGGTACGCGTAATGAAAGTTACTCTATTGTACTTAGGGACAGAGAGAGTTTTTAATACGCTCAATGAAGTGTGTAAGCTATTGTTCTATGTTAGCTAGATAATGACGATGGTCAAGAGGATGGTAGAGAATATGCGGTAATAAGGGAATGAAGGAGTTGCTCACAAGACCTGCGTGGTTGAAGAGATACACAAATGAAAGCTAAGCGGATCATTTTGGATTAAATACACAAGTTGTCGAAATAAAGAATTGATCCGGCGTTAATGGATTTAGATAATGGGACTTATCACCGGTCTTTGTATGAGTGAAGGATATCGGCAAGCATTATGTGGGTAATGCGGTATCGTGATGTCAAGAGGTGGGCGAGATAGCGGCTTGCTGCTGTCAATAGCCCCATCGTGGCATACTATCTATCTTTTTCTCCTCTATTAGTCTTCAAGTGCAGTTTTTATGCGTGCGATTGGTTCGGCTCCCGAGAAGAGACAATGATTACATGCAACTGTGAGACTCAAATAAAAGGCTATAGATTTATATACTTGTTTTTGGTTAAAAACTACGATCAATACATAAATCCATGGCCACAACCCTAGTGTGGTAAAGAGGACATATAGGCGAATGCTAGGGCTAGTGTATAGGTTAGGACAACTCCAGTCTTTGGAAGATTCAAATCCTACAGGGCACTTTTAAGGCGCGCCGTATTTTGGCAGAATCCAGATTATTACATCGCAGCATCGCAATAATTACAAAGTACGGGCCTAGGTGATTAAGGCTTTATATCCGAGCCACACAAGGAGAGTCGGAGTTTATGGGAGGAAGCCAATCAGAGAAATCAGCTTACGTTGGCAGCCGCCCGCTTAGCCGTGCGGGCATGCAGATGCGTACAGCTCCTATATCCGATCTCTGTGGCTATTAGATATAAAAAAAGAAGTTTATTAGAATCTACTGCCCTATTTGAGCCTACCGACTTCCAGATTGCCCGACTTCCTGACGCCGACATCCTGATCCCCCGACGTCCCGAGATTCTGAACTGGGGTTGCCTATGAGGGACGCTGTAACTCGGTAGTATAACACGGCATTGGTTGGCGGCAGTAGTAAGCAGACTCAGGTGCATCCAAGTCCGAAACAACTTTTTCGATTTAGCGGGCTGGCTGCTATAACCATGACTTCACGATTAATAACCAATAGCCGTCAGCCGGTTTACGGTTCGGTAACTTCATAAACTATACAAAAGCGCGATGAATCATAATGAGATAAAAGTATAAATATGGCCAATGCCTCTTTACAAGGAAAAAGAGACATCTGAAACATTAAACCCAATCACAACTCACAGAGCCTTCAACCTATAGTATTGCAATCGCCATATAACCACCATGCTTGAGTCAAGTTGTCTATGCGGTGCAAACCGTGTCTCTTTTGAGGGCGACATTTCTGTCAAGGTATTTCTATTCGTTTCCGCTTTACTTTTGTTATAACTAAGTCAAGTCATTTTTAGATGCGATGTCATTGCATTGACTGCCGCAAGTTTTCTGGCTCTACAAACACCAACAACCTAGGTCTTCCTATTGCTGGGCTGAAGATTCTTCAAGGAACGCTCAAAACATATACCAAAGAAGTCGCCACTGGCAATACCATGACAAGCCACTTCTGCGGGGATTGTGGATCAACGTTGTATCGCATTTCGAGCTTCAGTGACAAATGGGTGTCGGTGATGATTGGCGGAATTGATGGATTGCAAACTGTTGAAGACAGTAAGGCAGATGTTGAGCTTTTTGTAAAGTATCGACCGAGTTGGATGGCACCAATTGAGGGAGCCAAACAAGAAGAGGGTACCTGGCTTCCGGAGCATTGAGCCAACTGAGATTTGAGAGGTTTTGACATGATACGTCTGTTTCACTCCACATCTGGGAGGAGGATGAATGTCACAGCGAGAAGTGTATTAGGATTCAAGCAATATATGTAAAAATGGAGAAAGTGCTTGTGTGCAAAAACCAGGATGCAGGCCTTGTCGGTGTTTCGAAACTAAATAGGTCAAGCTTATGTGCAAACGACAACTCGAGAATACAAATAGAAGAACTGCAAACCATCCGTCTCAAACGACAACGTATCGTGAACATGTATTAAATGGGGAGGAACTATCTATTCACTTTATTTACTCTTTCCCAAGCCGTGTCCTATCCTCATCTGTTGGAGGCCGAGCAGTGTCGGTCATACCACAAATCTTCCACTCCACTTTCTGCGGCAAGTTTCCATCCCAGGCCGCTTTTATCAGAGTAAAGCAATTAGTTCCAAGGTGACTGAGAACACCATTGCGCGTGACCCAGTATGGCGTCCAAACCATGGCAAGGTCGCGATCAATCAAGACTGTAGGCTCGCCATCAAGCCCTTCTTCGAGCTCGCCGGCTTCGATCGAGTCCCATGGTATACGCCCTGCAAAGCCGTCTGGAAATTGTTCATATTCAAAGCCCTTGTTTACCTATGACAATTCCTACTGTCAGTATCATGCGTCTTGATAAGTAAACGCAGCATCATTACAATGCGAATATACTACTTACCATAAACCGGGAATGGCATGCAGTCCCATGCGGGGCAAGAGTGGATAGAAACTGATCTCGTCCTGCTGCACCAGGCACCTTTAGACTCTCGAGAATTCGAACGCATACATGAACAACTTCTCGCTTATCGGCCTCCATAGCTGCTGGTAACGAGGATTCTGCTTGGAGCTATGAGTAGGATTGTATTGTTTTGCAGAGTTATGGGCTGATGAAAAGAGGGGTCAGCACCTGGAAATGTGTGAACAAGTGGGCGTCCTCACTGCATGTAGGGACTGAGAGCTATGCTGCGGAGCAGAGCGAATAAACGAATCAATGTTCGCCTGTAAGCGCTAATTTGGAATGAACATAGGCAAATTTGTAGGAAACAGGCGGGCTATTGTGATAAGGGAAGTGCGGCATCGAATCAATAATTGAATCAATAATATTGAGATTTTACAAGTATCCGCGAAATGTTTGTCGTTACGAGCAATGTCTTGTCAACCGAATGATAGAGCTTGAATCACTCTCCACCTACAGCTCAAATCAACACTTGCATAGTTGGGCAGTAATCATTCAATGAGTGAGACACTAAAGACTTGGAGTGGCTAAATGTCGGAGGATGATCAACGGACAAGTTTCCGTAAGGTTATATGCAATAAGCAAACCCGCCATTTTGAAGAGCGGTGTTGAAGCATTGGAAGCATTACTTTGACTATCAGGAAGGAGAGTTCAATATAATATAGACTAGTCATCAGCACATCGTCCTTGGAATAGTTGATTTTCAACAAAGCGAGTGCATCATTACCAATTTTCTAGATTGCTAGAACTGAAGATGGGCGGTTGTTCATGCTTACGCTACCAGCCGCGTTATTCGATGCTGATGACTTTATCATGCCACCTCTTGGGCTACTTGCGATGGCTAATTGCTTTACTTTTTTTTTTTTTATTTGTTTGAGGCTCTGAATTGATCTGAACGCGCGTGAGATTTGCCCAGAGGATTGGTCGAGTACATTACTACGGACCCTAGACCCAGCAAGAAGAGGAAAAGAAGAGGTGAGTTTAAGGGAAATCAAGATTTAAAGGGTACTGATGTACTTTGTACGGCTACGTCCAATGATTGAGTGAGACTCGCCTTAGTTGAATTTATTTCCGATACTTTGATATAAGGTATTAAAGTACCTAGAAACGAGCGTTGGCAGCAAAGTGCGGGTCGGAGAGCCGCCGTAAATGGACAGTAGGTATGGTTGAATGCCGGAAACTATACATAGTAATAGATAAGATCCCGTACGCTTGTCCTTCATGAGTGAATGCCATTTCCCGCTTAGAATAGACATGTACAATTACTTGTTTTTAGAAGAGATAAGTCTGAGCGTTGGATTGGTGCGTGGCGGCATCTTGTTAGAAACGGACATTACCATTGCATGGCCAGTCGTATTATAATGTATTTGCCCAACGCTCACTACGCCCCGAAAACGATTCTCAGCTTGATTCGTAACTTGACTTACACGCATCTACTAAAATGAACAGTTAGTTCGACAGGTAGCGGCGTCGCGACCGTTGCCTTCCTCGAGAGCACGCTCTAAATTCTCTATTCCATCATCAAAATACTTCTTTCAATGTAAATGATCAATTCATCCAAAACTTAATTTCCAAGCAGGGCAACTAATAAGCTTAAATCGTTTCAGCAATCATGCTTAAAGCCAGATGATTATACGGTGGGGCGTCCCTGAACGCAGAGCGCCGACCATATTAACTAAACCCTTAGTAGAACAGGGAAATATAATGCAGTCATTGCTCTTTACACAATACTGAGTACCTGATAGCTTCCGCAGCCACCGCTGCAACAAATAAGCTGCAGCTTCTCTAGTATTAGAATTGATAAATGAGTCTATTGCACCTTGCGTTATGACAAGTAATCTGCCTTCAAAAAGCTTCTTTTACACGTAAAATCTTACATGGGTCTACTTAAAATTGCCCTCTTTTAGCGGCATCGAATTCTGGAGTAGCATTAGTTCATGGTTGCAATACTATTGTAAAGATGGTGTCGCTTGAATTAGCTGCTATAGCTGTCAAATACATACCTGATTGAAACATCAAAACAATGATCAGTTTCAAATTTTAAAGATTGTTCTACTTGACGAAAATAACATTCGAAAAGATAATAAATAAATCGTTCAATTTTCATTGAGATTCTAGACATTCTTCAACATGAATTAAATTTTCGTACAGGTACATGCAGCTACTGTGCTATATAAATCCTCTTGCGAGGCCGCGTAAGCCATGTTTCAAAAGTAAAATACGAGTCCAACTCATCACTAGCACCAGCACTCGTGAACTCATCAAATTGATTCATCACGGTCTGAGTCCAGTTCCATCCACTTTCTTTTTATAACTTAGTGGAAAATAGTACTTGATCATTTCTTTCGCGCTGATACAAACATTACCGTACCACGATTTGCCAATTGGCGAACAAAGCCGGTCAAAGTTATCTAATGAAAAGCTAAAATCGCTCAAAATGGAGGTTGAACCGAAATCGCATGACCGCGTCAATGTAGGCGCAAAGATTATTCGTCCACTAGGGCATCTGTACGTTTCCATCTCCTACCTACTACCAGCTTAGGCGCTGACCTCTGCGCCCGTGATAGCGAATGCTTCCAGTCGGCCCTTCATTTGCTTGGTCTGTATCGCAGCACCATCGTTACGTGTCGCTATAATATCCCCAACGAATGCGTGGATGAGGGTGCGCAGGGACAGCTCATGGACAAATTAGAGCAAGCAATAGCTGCAGCTGTCCTTCGACATCCTTTTCTCCAAGTTGGCGTTGTCGGCGACGACTCAAAGTGCCCCCACTGGGTCCAGCTTGAATCTATTAATCTCGCTCACCATATCCAATGGCAACTGCTGATAGAAGGCTCGGCAGAGGAATACCAGTCTCTGTATAACAGCAGTCTCAGAGAGCAACTTGACACCAAGTTCTCGAACCTTCAGACACGACCAGCCTGGAGGATAGTAGTGCTCCGGTCGAAGGGAAATCTATCTCACCTCGACTTGATGTTTGTCTGGAACCATCCCATTGCAGACGGCATGAGCGGCAAGATTTTCCAGGAAACAGTGTTGCGCCATCTGAATGATCCTGTATCCGTGACCGAAAGACCACTGTTACAAGATCACGTAGTTCGCCCGAGTGCAACAGCAGAGCGTCTCCCTCCACCAATGGAGAAGATGGTCAAATTTCCCGTCTCGCTGGGCTTTGCCGCTGCTACCGCATGGCAAGAGCTGAAACCATCCTTTCTCGCTGGCGACCACTCTACGAACGCAACATGGGCACCAATCCGCCTTGAACCGTACGAAACGACACAACGTATCATCTCGCTTGACAACGACACGCTGCAGAATATTCTCTCCGCATGCCGTCAGAATAAGACAACTCTCACAGGCCTTTTCCATGCAGCCGTCTTGATTTCCTTGGCAACACAGCTTATGGACAAGGAAGCGCCTGCTTTTGCAAGTATCACGGCGCTCAACCTGAGACGGCATATGCCTTCGAGTTCTGAGGGACCCTTGGAATTTGAGGCTGATCAGACGATGGCAAACTTTGTATCTCGACAGATGCACAAGTTCGATGAGACTTTGGTGAAGAGGATTCGCCATCTGGCCGCGATATGTCGCAAGTCTTCCATATCTTCAAATGTGAATTGCGAGCCGAATCTGGAAAGGCTTGCCGGCAGTGACGCATTGACGGAAGTCCTATGGGCAACGGCTGCTCGGGTCCGTGGCGAGATTCAGGAGCGTTTGGATTTAGGCTTGAAAAACGACATTGTCGGTTTAATGGGCCTAGTGAGAGATTGGCGATCACAGATGAAACAGGATCTCAAGAAGCCGAGGGCGGTGGCCTGGAATGTGACAAATCTGGGGGTGATGGACGGAAAGCTTGGGGCAGCAGAGATAGCACAGGCGCAAGATGCGAACGACAACATGCCAAAGGGTATCTCAGGCTCAAAAGGTTGGTCTGTTTCGCGGGCAGTCTTTTCGTTGAGCGCTGATGTCACAGAGGCTTTCATTCATATTAGTCCCATGGCGATTAAGGCTGGTGACCTAACTATTGAGATTAGTTGGCAGCGAGGGCTTATTGATGACAACATCTGCGAGCGGCTTACCGCTGGAGTGGGGGAATGGTTGAGATTCATAGGTCAAGCACAGTCACAACATACGGATCAAACTGCAGCCGCCAAAGTCTAGTCGTATTTGATGTCTCTTCATTTTTGTTTCCGGCTTCGTGGTGATGTGCTGGTTGAAAATCGGGACAAGGGTCCTCATTGCCGCCCAATTGGAGTGTCAGTCTGCCAGCCTTGGCTGGCCAGAGAGAGAAATATAGGTGTGGCTGTCGTTGATAAAAGAAGAAAGTAGTTGTAGTAGATTCTAGTAGTAAAATTAGGTGCGAATTCGGTTTCAAACACAAAGTACATTTATTATAAACTCCCGATGCACGAATCACGTTACAGTGTCCAAGACAAATGTTGTAATCTGTAAACTTCTCACTTGCGTATTAGCATCGGATATGTTTCACTGTATCAATAGCACATGTCTGCCTAGCATTCGCCTAGAAATGCGTTAGTTTCATATTACACTTGGTTCCTCAGTTAATTTCTGTTAAAATAGTACTTCCAACTGAGTTACAGCACCAACAGAGCCTGGCATTCATTCATCATACCCAGTTATTATCTATTAGAGCCACAAGAGATTAGGCCATAGTTTACAAGATCTCTATTAACTTTCAGTGCTTATAGTTCAACTGATGCCTGTTCCAAGCCCGTGATGGGATAATACGTCTCGTACCCTGATCCCAGTGACAAACTCGGATTCTCTGACGCCATATGGAATGCCCCCCCTAGACTGGTATATGCGACCTCACCTACACCGGTACCAGCCGCACTCCATACTTGCCGCGAAGCCCGCAATGCCGTTGCTCCAAAATACGAGCGCGCCTATACTGGTGGCACTGAGCCTCGGTATGTCTGTGTCAACTTTGACTTGGACATCATTTCCATTGTCAAGTCCCGCTTCATTTGGATGAAACCGGAGGCACCGCGTATTTGTTGGCTGAAATTTGCGCGTGAGATGAATTTGCATGACGTTTATGACCAATCAGGATATGAGAAGTTCATCTACGTGGAGGAGCTCATCATTGTCCGACATGATTCCGAGACGAACTGGGATGATTCGGACGCGCTCCTCTACTTGCCATGTCTGCCAGATAGAGTGTGGTTCATCGACGCGGAGACGGATGAGAAAATAAGCTGGGTTGAGAACCGAAGAAGATGCTATAAACATTTAAAACCTTGCATTTCAGAGTGAAGTAAAAGGCACTGAATAAAAACGGGCAGAAGCTTCAAACTAACAAGTCCTGTCTGGACCGTCTGAAAATGATGTAATATATATATTTATTAAAATATAGGAATGCAGTTTTGCTTTTAAAGGCTATGGGGTAATACAGAAGGAGTGCCAATCCATTCCAACATATCGACACAAGTTTCGCCCATTGGCAATCCCCTTGAAGCTTTTCATCATGCTGCGATGGGAACTAGATGATGGATCATTCCGAATGCCCTTTCTCACCGATTCTTCGATCTTGTCTTTTGCATCTTCTATGCCGTCCTTTATGGAGGTTTTCAGGCCATTGAACCTCTTTCCACTCTTTCTTTGGATCTGTCTCGTCGGGGTCGGGCACTAGAGTTTCATTGTTCCCTTCACAAATTGAGCAAGGGAGGACCAATAAGAGCTGCTCATGATTAAATCACCCGTACTACAAAGGGTGGCAATAGAAAATGGAGAACGATAATTTATTAATATCACAAATGAGAACACAGGTTCAAAAAAAAAAAGAATTGATAGACGGGACAAGCATATGCAGCTTTTATGATAGGCTCGGCCACAAACAGCCTTTTTAAAGGTTCGGACACTATGTTAGTAATTTGTCCTAGGGAGATGGTCTAAATGGCTATTTGAAACCCGCGACTGCAACATAAATATTCATATAAAGAATGGTAAGAGTACACTTTGTATTTTGGCCTTGATCTTGACCTATCGATAGACCAGCCCAAGCGCTCGCTTGAATGCTGACTGACACGTGCCTAACATTGATAAACCAAGACAACGCACGCCTCTATATCAACTGACCTCATCATCCTTATCATAAATATAATTGTGTGTCTTTTGAGCAGGAGCAAGTTGAACAGTAGTAATGAAGCGGTTTATTCGAGGCTGAAAAGAACACCCTGTATTCTTCCTCCATCCCCTTTAACTATGCTTCCATTTTTAGGTTGCTCTCTTTTCGTCTCTTTTTCTTTCCCTTTTACCACTCGCGATAAATCCCAAATATATATGTATATATATTTTCCGTAGCAACTAACTGCTCGCGCTTTCAATGAAGATACATATCTTTCACCACTTGTTGGATTTCTGTAGATTTCCGTAGGCTGCGCGGTCGTTAAAGCCTCTCTTACCGAAGCAATCTTTGTACATGTACTAGCTCTTCTTCAGGCCCCAAGGCTTACTTTGTTCCCTAGCTCTGCATTTTCATCTTACAAAGGAATGGACTTGTTCAAAGCGAAGCAAGTGTATCTTTCATAATCTGGTCATCCCAATACTAATTGGTCATGCCATTCCCAGGGAATACTTCTAACGGGTTCTTCAAAAGGTTTCGGTTTTTCACCTGTCCTCCAAATCGCGATGCCTAGGCGCTCGTAACGCAACACGCACTCGTCGGTGTTATAATTCTGCACACTCAAGAGCAAGCCAGCATTACGGCGAAGATGAGAATTAGATCCAAAAGAGAACTCTGCCTGAACGTTCCCTAGCCATAAAACCAGTACATCCTTTAAATCAATTTCTGTGGCAGAGCTACGCCGCACTATATAGTGCTCTTGATGGGCTGCGCTAAAAGATGCGGCGCCATTGATGTGGCCGTCGAGGAGAACCTTGAAGTCAAGGCCCCATCCTTTCACAGCTTGTAATGGCGTTATTTCTCCGGATTTCTCAGCTGCAGATAATAAAATGGGAAGCTGGCAGCATTTACCGGCGGCAATACAATTTCCATTTGAATCAATGTTGATGGTGGCCATGCTGTTTGGATCTCGGTATATCATAAGCGACCTTGGGACTGTCGACGCCTCTGTAATCCGCCAAGTATATCCTGGCTTTGGCTGCGAAACATGGATGAAGAACTGGCCTAAGATGGCGCTATTATGGTTGATGGCTGCTGCGAATTCAATAACCAGCTCTTCCATAGATGGGTTTTCTTCTGGCCTTGCTGATTTCCCGACGCAGAGGCCATAGATTTGCATGATGCCATAGACGCGGTCTTCACGCCTTTTCGTTGTGCGGTAGCGAGCCGTGCCAAACAGTACATTGGGGTTGGTGCTAAACAGATAATAGAAGCCAACCTGGAGTATGAGCTGCTGAACGCGGCGGATTGCGTTCATTGTCTTGTCCGGGTATGGCTGAGAATAGACTGATTTCGTCTTTTCAAGCGCCTTCTCCAGAGAAGTATAGACATTCTGGCAGTGGTTGATCAACATAGTCATGTATGTGCGCTGGTCTTGTCGCGCCACCTTCCAGGGCACAGACTCTCCTTCAGTAGAAAGAACAATGGCATCGTTTCGGAGAACGATTTCTTGCAGAGTCCATAGAGACGAAAACCATGGATCAGAAAAGAGGTATTCGGACACTTTGTGAAGCTTATCCATGACATCGTCAAAATCAACGTCCTCGTTACCAATGTCAACACGGTCGTAGAGCTGACCGCCGCATTCCAATATATCGTCGATGGCTTGAGCGAGTTGTATACTGTCCAGACGAGATAGCCAAACAAAGGTAGACTTTGCTTGCTTGAAAATACTAGCCTGCCGGCCTATCTCGACAGCCGCTTGTGTACTACCGCGGCGTTGATCTATGCAACCCACATCTATCCAAGCCCAGTCGACGCCAGTTCTGTGTATGCTTTGGATAACCTTTTGGAAATTTTCCGTGGTAAAGTGTGTTTCCTCTACTGCAGGTATTTCCCATGGGGTATTTTTGATAGGCAGTACGGGTGGGGCCTCGGGTCTGTCTTTGACTCTCCAACGGCCCCATGTATAAGACAGTGTGCTATACTCTGGCTCCTTTGCCGTGATATCCTTGTACTTATATGTATTGCAATCATCTCGAGGGATCGATGCCATGCTTGGTATATGGATTAGTCGCTGAGGCCAGTATATAGGGACGTCCAGCCATCCGTAGGGCAGCCGCCCATGCACGAAAGGATAATCCTATTCATCGTCAGCACAAGCATACCTAATGCTAGGGAGGGCTGTAATTTAGCCTGTATATACCATTGTAGTCCCTTTTATGTCATTGTCATCATATCATTGATAGATGGTAAAATGAGCAGCTAGAAGCAGTTCAAAGACAGCCAGACATGGATGTTATACAACACGTGACATTGGGCATCAGCATTGATTCACTCATTCCCCAAAAAGTATTTTCTATCGGCCAGTCCTTGTGGTATCAAACAACACGCCGCATGGTGAACTTTGACAACATACAAGCAGGTAACGGCTCTCAGTGGCTTGGTAGTCTTTACCATTGCTGCATGTCTTATTTCTTGCTTATTTAAAGCAGCGCAGTAATTTCATCAAACACTATCGCCAGCTTCTTGGGGACGGTAAGGCTTCGTAAAGAGGGACCCGACAGAAGTCTAGAAGGCTTGATAACCTCGAATTTTCCACCTTCTTTGGTCGTATGCGCACACTACTGGGAACTGGAGCCTACTTTGACACTTTCTGTACTGACCAACGCCCTGATTTTGGCTGCGTGTTTTGGTGCAACAATCCCCCAGAGCCTCATCGTCGCTCAACAAACCCCGCACCCAGCCAAATCCTCGATTCTTGAGGTCGGATACATAACACAAGTTGTTGCGGGAGTGGCCTTGTACTGTTAGACAATCTCATGCTGCTTTCCAAGACTTCTCAAGCTCTCATTTCCCACTGCCCCGCACTCTATCGATTCTCCGCCACTCATCACATAATGAGCTCTGTTCAAAGGAGCCAGATCATTCGGGCACCATCCGAGGAGCCCGTCAACAACGTCAAGTCTCTATTTCTCGCAGGCACAACCACCGCCGTCGACAATGTGGACTGGCGCGAAACGTTATCTGCCTCACTCTCCATGTACCCGATAACCATCTTCAACCCAAACCGCCCAGATTGGGACAACACATGGCGTGAGGACATCACCTTTGACCCGTATCGGGAACAGGTCTTGTGGGAGCTCGACAAGCAGGACAAGGCTGACCTTGTCGTGGTGTATTTTCATCCAGCTACGGTGGCTCCTATAAGTCTGCTAGAATTTGGGCTTTCTGCACGGACTCCAGGCAAAGTCGTCGCTGTAGCTCCACAGGGCTATTCGAAGAGAGGAAACGTGCAAATTGTTTGTCACAAGTATGGAATTGAGTTCCTGGATAATATCGAGAAATTGCATGAGACTGTCATAAATAAGTTATCCCTTGAATAACTATCCAATATTCCCTAGTGCCTATGAAGGCTATGATAACACCGCAACCTCGGCGGGATCCTTCGCAAACTCTGGGGAACTTTGAGTTAGTTTGCGGGAGCAACAAAGTGTCAATGAGGGACTTGGTTGTACCAAGACTGGGCGGGATATAGTTTAATAGATGTATATTGTCTCTGAAGAGTATACTCAAGTCTTCAAGCCAGGTTGATCTTACAAGCAATCTGGTACTGATGATATTATGTCCTGGAAACAGTAGCCCAGCTTAGGGCTCACTTCGGCAACGGCAATGATCTGTAGAGGAAGCGAAATGCTGGGATAGAGCAGCATGGAGGAGAGGGTCTTCAAAGCTCACTCTATTACCCCATGTACCTGAAATATTATTAATATATAGGCTTGATTAAAGAATAGGAAGTAATATTAAGTACTAGGCTAAGGAAGTGAAGTTGTTGCATCATTATTCCTTACCGACCTCTTCTCTTACTCTAGTCGCTACCTCCAAGCAGAGCTGGGCTATCGGAACATCGCGGATCATATCCAACACTCCCAGTTCTAGACCCGTCTCCCTTCGCAGCCAGTTTCGTAGTTCCACCGCAACCAAACTGTCAACACCGTACGCTGTCAGAGGCTTCTGCGTGTCAATATCCTCTAGGGACATGGCCATCAGCCGCGCTATCCATTCGAGCAGGCGCGTGTTTGTGATGCGTCCGGCAGCTCGCACATCTGCAGCTTCGACGATTTCGTCCTTCAGCGGCGGATTAACATTGATCTGGCCGTTCTGGATAGTCGCCGGGCCAGTGCTCCCGCCGGGCACACACAGGGTCGAGAATCGAGGCGTGTTCATCCAGTAATACGGTTCTTCGCCGGAGTAGCCGGCGGGAAGCGCCAGCGTGATGTTCGCTGGGTGAGATGGCGCATTAGGACCAAAACTGCCAGCAATGAGAGCACTAAGGTGAAGTGGGTTGGATGGTACGATACCGGCGAGCTGCAGATTTTGCATTGAGATGTCAACAAACTCGCCGGCCATCCAGCCAACACCCAAGACTGGGCCCATATCAATGGTCAAGGCGGCCTGCCCCTGGGAGCGCCGGTAATGAGCCAGGGAGTCTTGATACACATTACCAACGTGATAATTGGCTTGGCCACGGTATCCGATAATCCCTCCGCCTGAAGAAAGCATCACAAAAAAATCAAGATTCTGTGGCAACAATTCATGCAGGTATCGTGAAGCGTGTACCTGCGATGGGTTAGAGATGAACACCTCTGCTGAGAACTACCCAAGTCCGCTTACCTTTGATTTGACAGCCACAGTCCAGTCTTCTAGGCTCATTCGTTCGAAATGAGAATCCTGTAAATTCTTATCAGATTGGGGCTCATTGATAAATAGTATAGTAAAGACAGCAAAGACTTACCCGTAAGACCATGGAAGCTACGATCGTTCCCTTGATCTGGGGCATGGTCAACTGAACGTCAGAAAGTACCTTCTTCAGTTCGTCCCTGTTAGAAGCATCACAGTCCCACGCCTTGGCGTTGATCCCTCCGTCATCTTTGAGATGTTGAAGATACGTTTGGTTGTCCGGATTTGTTGCAGCGGACCTGGAGAGGAATGCAACGTTCTTTGCTCCAACCGACATGAGCCAGTTGGTTAATACTCTGCCAACGCCTCCCATACCACCAACTAGCAGGTAAGTAGCCGTAGGGTCAATGGGCATGTGTGGTGGTGGCAACTTGTACTATTGTATTATTAGCTTACGAGCCCTCAGAAGATGAACAGTGGCCTACTCACTTGTACATGACTGTCCGGCGACATACGAAGCACAATCTTGCCCATGCTTTTACCTCTTTGCATTTGGTGGAACGCCTGTTCTGCGGCCCTGTTCCGCAAATTGTATGATTAGAGAAGCCTTCAAGACACATAGTGCCACAGAATATTTTACTTACCCAATTTCGAAAAGGTTGATAGGCTTAACAGGCTTGATAACGCCCTTGTCAAGCAAATCTCGAAGCCCATCCATAGTCGCACGAGCCGATGCAACTGGCCAGCGCATGAAGTCATGGAGGTGAACACCAATAAAAGACCGGTTCCGCGCAAAAGGTCTCATTTCCAGTGTATTATTGGCTTGTACATCCGTTATACCTGCCGACATCATGTGAGAGTCTGTTCATTGTAAATCCAAGAGAGAAGCAACTTACCAAGCTCTAAGAAACGACCAAACTCGCCAAGACATTGCCAAGAAAGTTTGAGCGACTCCCCGGCGAGAGAATTGAGAATGACATCTGGAGCGTTATTGTCAGTAAATTACACGATTCATGAGCCTGCGCGCCAACATACCAACTCCCTCATCTTTTGTCATACGCATCACTCCTTTTGCAAAGCTATTTCCCTGAGTGCTGAAGATACGATCTGTCGGGATACCATATGATTCTATGAGAAGTTGTTTCTTCTCATCAGAGTCTACTGTGCAATAGATATCTGCTCCAATATGCTGTGCCAGGACAATAGCGGCCTGTCCGATGGCGTCTACAGCCGAGTGTATGAGCACTGACTCCCCAGCCTGCAACTTCCCGGCTTGAAAGAAGCTGTAGTACACGGTTACATAGATTGCCATCGAACCAGCAGCATCCTCAAAGCTCATCGAAGCTGGAATCTCGAGTGCCGTCCACCATGGAAAGCGTGCGGACGTGCCGAGACAATTCTCAGCCCAAGCCCAAACCCGATCGCCATGCTTTAGTCTCGCAGCTTTGGTGCCGACTCGGGTGACTGTGCCGCTGCATTCGAAACCAAAGATGCTCGAGTATTTCAATTTGCCTAACACGGTAAGTAGATCCTCTGGATTGAGACCTGCAGCTTTAACATCAATCTCAGCCCAGTCATCTGGGAGAGGGACACGGGCTTCCTTGTCCACTTCAAAGCACATTCCCTCGAGTAGACCTGCCTGCTGGACAACAAGCTTGACAGGCTCCTGTATTTGGCCATACGGCAGAAGCTGCACCGGGCCCCGCCCTTCTTGTCTCCGGATTATGTCTTCAAATTCTGCAAGTCTCAGTAAACGGGGTATCTGCGGGATTCGATTGCGTATAGCGAATTTGCGCTCCTTTGTAATACCCGCTCTGTGAGATAAAAGAATTGTACTGACAAGACTCAAAGACTCTTGTTCAACTAGACCAGTATTCACATCCAAGTCGATCAATATAATATTAACGTCGCTTTCGTTAATGAGTGTCCTTGTGAGACCTGTAACAAGACTCAATTCGGGGTTTGACGAGTCGACGCTGGCTCCGCTTGTCATCCAACAAACCGCAGCGGATCCATATAGAAGCTCTTTCAGCTTTTTGAAATCTTCCTCCTGAATGTCCCAAAGGAATGGCTTTTCTAGCTCGAGGAGACTCAGGCAGTATGTCCTTGTTATTTGATTGGTCGAGAGTGATTCCCAAGTAACCACTGAAACATCTCGAATCGAAGTCGACAGAAGTTTCTGCAACCTCAATGCCGGTGAATTAGGATCGGGCGGGCTATTGACGATGATACGTAGAGGGACTTCTTCCCGAGGCAAGAGATCGGGTGTGGTCTTGAGCTTCGTAGACACAAGCAGAGACGCTGGAGCTGGTGGTGAGTGGAACTCTACATCAACACCGCTGAAGCCTGTTCTGCGTAGAGCATCGTCCCACCTCGGCGTGCTAAGCAAAGGTCCGCCCTTGCGGCCGTCGTCTTCGCCAAGCCACCATCCAGGCAGTGTGCCCATGATGAGACTCATGTAGAGTTTACTTACAGTACCCTCGGCCAGTACGAGTCTTCCTCCCGGCTTGAGAAGACTTCGGCAGTGGTTAAGTGTAGTTTCAATATTCTTTGTTGCGTGAAGAACAGCCGATGCCACAATTATATCGAAGCTATCAGGCTCGAAACCTTGGTTCAGGGGATTCTGTTCAATATCGAGGGTTTTAAATTCCATCACTGAAGCATCTTGTGAGAACATGGCAGAAGCATTGCCAAGAAAGCCAGCAGATATATCTGTAAAAACATAACGGCGGGCCATGGAGCTGCCATCTGTATTGCGGAGCCGGTCCAGGATCTTGGCAGTTGTGCCACCAGTTCCTGCACCGATTTCGAGAATCGTAGCTTGGCCGGCCATCTTGTGGGCAAGCAACCCCATGTATTCTGATACAGCAACATTGAAGGTCGTGCCAGTTGCGTTGCTGTATGACTTGGTCAGCGATGCCTTTCAGCTCATCCAGGTCTAAAATGCTTAGCTTACTAAAACTCATGAAGAAGCTTCCCTTCCAGCATTACTTCCAGTGGCTGGATGGTGTTCTGGAAGATGCTCTGCTGCCCTCTTCCAATGCGACTCACCATCTCCAATACTACTCCTCCTGGTCCGTTGCCCTGAGCCGCTTCTGCAAACGATTCCGCTTTGTCCACAAATGGATGCGTAAGAAGATCGCTTCGCCGCTCAACGGTATCGATCATCCACTCATAGTAGTATTTAAGCGTGCCAGACTTGGGAACAAAGCCTTTGCCTTCGCCTGACAGCCACTCCAGCGACTTTCTAACGTAGGAGAAAGTGATGAGCTCAATCACGTTATCCCACTCTCCCTCCAACGGGTCGGACGGTACGCGCGATGCGATGATCTCTTGCACCTGGTTTGGTGCGAGGAGGTCAACGTCTGCTCCCCACACGGTCTGCCAGCAAAGCCCGTCGTTTGGTGACTGTGGCGTAGGCTCAGATTTGCCAAGGTAGGTGATCTCAACACCTTTAGCAATGAAAATCGGTGCATTAGTCTGGGAGTCCAGCACAGTAACCGTGCATTTGGCACCGTGGTTGCTCTGCGCATCTCTGGTCGCCGACGCTTTGAACATATGGCCAGGATTCCTCGCAATTTGTGCGTCCATATACAAGCTTTCAAGCCTGGCTGCGACTAACGGAGCTGCCAGGCCCTCTCCGTTGGATGACAGCGTGCTAAGTGCTGTTTGCGCGAGGGCATCGAGAGTGGCGGGATGGATGATGTGAGTATGTTCAAATTTGCCTGGCATGACGGACTTCGTGTCCGGGATAATAATCGCGGCGCGAGTCCTGTCGGAGCCTTGGTGGATATTGTACAAGTTCCGGAACATAGGCCCAAATTCCATGCCAACTTCGGCTGCCTTTTCGTAAAAATCTGCAACTGGACGCTGACAGTGTTTTTCTGCATCCATGTATGCGTCGAGATACCGCTGCCGCTCGAGCTCAATTTCGTGCGCCAACTCGGAGCCCACTGCTGGTTTGTTATGGACACGAATCTTGCCCTTACAGTGTGTCTGGAAAGAAAAGTCATCTCTTCCACCACGGGAAGATACGGTAAAGGTCGACCACGGACTTCCTGTCGATTCCCGAGTAGAACCAACCTGTGTCACTGTCTCAATGCCTTGATCATCATCCGATATTTGTAAGGGGGCATCAAAAACTACATCTTGTAGCTCGAAGCCCGCAATCTCCGTCAGAGGGTCAGCAAGCTGGCACATAGCCTCGATAACTTCTTTGATGATTAGGACTTGCACTAAAATCAGATCAGAGGGCCACCACTTACCCATGATTATATAACCAGTTCCCGGATAGAGTGTTCTGGATTGCACCTAATACAATTATATTAGCTTTAGCCCACGTACATTTCGCCTTTTGCCCACCGACACAGTCACAACAAGAAGAAGAAGAAGAAGAAGAAGAAGAAGAAGAAGAAGAAGAAGAAGAAGAAGAAGAAGAAGAAGAAGAAGAAGAAGAAGGAGAAGGAGACATCGTCCAACTCACTTTGTGGTCAAGCATCCAGGGGTCATCGCGAATCCGTAGGAACTTTCGCCATTGAGGGACCATAGATCCTAAAACAGGGGCACCCAAGAGTCCCGTATGAGGATACCCTTTTGAAAGGAACTCACGCAATGCCGTGGTCTCGGCCGAGTACGATATAGAATGGTTAAAAGGGTATGGCGGGAGGTCCACCAGGATCGTGGCGTCCGAGGTCGCCCCATTAACTATCGAAAGATTGATGGGACTGCCGAGGCACCAGAGATCACCAGCTGCGGCAAGCATCGTATCATATGCGATATGGGCGCGGCGAAGGGTGTTAATATAGGGGACGGCTACTGGCCTATCTCCGCTGCGGCAAATCTCAAGACAGTATGTACGGAGAGCTGAGTGAGGGCCAATCTCTACGATACCATCGATGAACGAACCAGGCTCTCCGCCCGATACGCCCGTTTGGTGGTGAAGAAGAGCGTATAGTGCAGCAGTGAAGTTAACTGGGCTTCTAAGGTTCTCGGCCCAGTATTGAGGGCCGAGAGCGCTCAAGTCAAGAAGTTCGCCGCGGACAGAAGAAAAGAAAGGGACAGCGTCCCATCGATCAGGAGAGTCCTGCTCAGCTGAAAAGGCTGTTATCTGAGTAAGATAGGCTGCTGCTGCCAAGTCCATATGCGGCGAATGATAGGCCACTTTAACTTTTAGCCTGGTGAATCCAATACCGGCTTTGTCTAGGACAGACTGAAGTTCATCAAGAGCGGCCTTGTCTCCAGATACAGTACAGTTCGAGGGACTGTTATAGCAAGCAATAATGGCGACCCCGTGTTTTAGGTCGCGTAGAATGGGTGCAATAGTCTCGCCACTAGCTCTTACAGCTGTCATACCACCATTTAAGTTGGGGTTAAGTTCAATGCTGGAAGCAGATATACCACGATAGTAGGCCATTGCAATAGCAGCCCGACGAGATAGACCTCCAGCGGCGTAAGCAGCAGCTATCTCTCCGCTCGAGTGGCCAACGACTGCAGCAGGCTGGACTCCCCAGGCGTGTAATAAATCCACAAGACCTATCTGGAGAGCTGTGCACACTGCCTGACTTAATTCCGCGGTATCCAGCCGAGAGTCTGCCTCACTGCGATGGAGTTCTTCCAGCAAACCCCACGAGCACCCGAGGGACTTCAGAGTGTTATCGCATTATGCAACCGAGGCTTGAAACTGTGGGTAGGCAAACAATTCTCGTCCCATTGCGTACCATTGGGCACCTTGGCCGGTGAAAGCAAAGCCAAGACGAGGCGCTCGGGATGATCTCACAGGGACCGATATTGAGGCTAGTGACTTTGGAATAGCTTCAACATTCGAAACTATTACATACGCTTTCCAAGGGAGAACACTGCGCTTCTCAGAGAGAGTGAAGGTAAGATTCTGTAGAACTACCGTGGTGTCGTTGTCTTTTTGCTGTTTGTTAAGATATGTATCAAGTTGCTGGGCTACTCTATCGGTGCCTTGCTTGTCTTGGGCCGATATAGGGAGTAAAACTGGCCTGCTCAGGCCATTCTTCACACTGCCGTTTATCCCATTTTTGAAGATGCTGTTGGGTGTAGTCTCTGGACCACGGCATGTATGAAAATATGAGCTGGCGTCTTGTACGATGCAATGGGCATTTGCACCGCCGATTCCAAAAGAGTTGACACTCGCGATTCGTGGGCCGGGATTCTTCCACGGGGTGAGTTCGGCAGCAACCTGTCATGAACGGGAGGTGTCAATTTAATGGCTCAAATTTATCGTGATATAGAATGGGAGAAGATGAATGCGAGTAGTACGCTGAGTTGGCATGGAAGATTGGGATTGTTTTCAGGAATGCGGGCCAATAGAGCTCAGTGTCAAACTTATCACATCAACCCAAATCAAAGATTCTAGACGCACCTTGATAGTCGAAGGAAGGTTTATTCTCGGACTCAATTGTTCAAACCTGTATTTCCTGATGGTTGGTCACTTGCTACAATCAGTCATACTCGATGATGGCGTACCAAATATTTGGCGGGATCAACCCGCGCTCCACAATGAAAATTGCCTTCATCACTCCAGCAATACCTGCCGTAGCTCCAGTGTGGCCGATGTTTGTCTTCACAGATCCGATAAATAAATCTGAAGAACGTCCGGGGCCAAATACTTCGGAAATTGCACTCGTTTCCACCGCGTCTCCCACTTTGGTGCCGGTACCGTGCGCCTCAAAGTATCCTGTTTCCAGAGGTGACAGACCAGCTGTCTCATAAGCAGTGCGGATCAAAGCTGCCTGTCCAACCGAGCTTGGGTGCCCAACAGCAGGTGACTTGCCGTCATGATTGCACGCTGTTCCCCGAATGATGGCTCGAATAGGGTCACCATCACGAATGGCATCGTCGAGGTTCTTTAAGATCAAGGCCCCGAACCCCTCGCCGCGGGCGTAGCCGTTTGCCTTGTGGTCAAAAGCCTGCGACTTGGAATCTGGTGAGAGCATACCTCCGGCGCTTAAAAACATGGCCGCATCAGGCCCGAGAAGTAGATTTGATCCGGCTGCGATACCCTATTTGCATCACATGTTACATAGTGCTCTTTGTGTAAGATGAGGATGATAAGGGGGAAAATATTCTCACCATCTGTGATTCTCCTCGGACAATGCTTTGGCAAGCAAGATGTAAAGCTACCAGACTAGAGGAACATGCACTATCCAGAGTCATGCTGGGGCCTTTGAGGTCGAAGAACCATGAGACGCGGTTGGCGGCAAGCGCACCCCAAAGTCCTGCTGCCGTGTATTGGCCCAAATTATCATTGTCACGTATCAAGAGATCCCGGTAATCCCCTCCAAACGCACCAACAAAACAACATGTCTTTGACCCCTTGATAGCATCGATGGACAGACCGGCTATATTGTTTACATTAGAAATGGTCACAATGTGTATACTGAAAACAAAACCCACCATTTTCTAATGCCTGATATGAAACTTCAAGAAGATTCCGTTGTTAGGGATCCATTTCTTCAGCCTCTTTTGGCTTGATAGAGAAGAACGGAGCATCAAAGGTTAATGGATCTTCTGCTAAAAAGTGTGCTTTGCGAGCGGTAATCTAAAACACAGTCAACAAGAGCGCCGAGCAAGCTGGAGGATCTATATACGGCATTTGTTCTACCATAATGAGGATGATAGAAGGCATCAGAATTATATCTGGACTTTGGTACGTCAGATTGCGCTGAGCGTGCCGCCACGAGCATGTTCCAGAAGCCCTCGGGGGATGAAGCGTCCCTGGGAGCCTGGCACCCATGCCGATCACTGCGACACTCATTTCGGCGGGGGTGAAAGAGGAATCAATTTGAATAAAGATAAAGAGAATAATAGTATAGTTTGCTTTCAGTGCTCCACGCGAATGGCTCACTTTATGCTGGATAGCGTTCTGATGACTCTCTATGCCTAGGAAACAAGGAAAAGCTCAGGCAAAGAGAAGATGGGTTGGACAATTCTTGAAAGTATTACCCCTCTTTCTGCTGAATAATTGGATATATTGAATGGATATAACAAATTACCTGTTTTTGCAATACGTAGGACAAGAATCACAACGCAGAGGGGGCAAGGCTATAATACAACGCTGATTAATACAGCCTCTGGATTCTTCACAAGTCAAGGGTCTAAGTATCTATATGCTTACTTAAGAGAGATAAAGTAACTTTCTCATAATTCCAAGGGATACGGCGACATGGAGGAAAAGATCTCAGACGCTTAATCTCTTACCAAATTCACTTAAAACATCAGCGACATGTGGGCTTTAGCGGATAATAAAAAGTACTATTGAATACTAGGCTAGAGAGGTGTCTTATTTATACAGTGGAATCTAAACTTTTAAATAACACTAAAGCATATAAGTACATACTGGGGGGGAATTTGATAAGGGTAAGGCAGTAATAGAAGTAGACGGGCATTGAAGAGAAGGGTGGGCACACACACCCTATCTTTACCTATGCCTTATGTAAGGTGTGAACAAGAAAACCTGGCGTCAGAAAAGAAGTATACGTATCTCGTATCTTCTCTTCAGCATCATTTGCCGCTCTCTGGTGCATTAAACTAATGCATTGCTACCACGGCAACAAATATTGTTCAACATTTCAAAGCAAAAAGGCAGAAAGTCGCGTGTGCAAAGCTTACTGACATGGCGCTACTTGCAAACCTGGGCAACCTCTCGTCTACTAACGCGGATGTGGTTTTGGGCTTCAGGGAGGTGGGCTTGCCGAACACATGTGGCGACGTAACGGAGGTAGTTTCAGTTGTATTGAGAATTTTACATTGGCTGAGCCTGATCGAACCCGACGTCATTGTGGTGGAATTCGGTGTAAGCTTTCTAGGATTCTATAGCACAGAGAGTATTCTATGCTCATCCGTATTCCGAAAGCACATCGCCGCTATGATCATGTCGGCGAGTGTCCCAGTCGCCGCATGGAGAGCCAAACAGATAACGGACACCCTGGGCAGCGAATATTAGTATCCGACATTTCTCTCCCCAGGACATATTCTCTTGGCTGGTTCTCTGGAGCTTGGTATCGCCTTCGTCTCTGTAAGCGGAAGCTATTCCAAAAGGCTATAATGGCTAAATGTCGAACTCTTACCAATCCAGACCGCTCGCATACGATCTTCTTTAATGAGCAAAGTGCCATATTTAGATGTCTAGACCTGATTGATGATATGATTAACCGGGGTTTGCAGACCAAGGTGATACTCAAGCGGCCGACTGCAATGAGCGCACAGTTCGCCACAAGCTCAGGATTACAGTCCCTTAACAACTAAGGCCCGCTCGCTCTGAGCTTACAGGTACTACCGTCAAGCACAACTAGCAATCATTTAAAATGGTACAACTAAGCGTTACGATTTATTTTCTATCGCATCAATCAAACCTGGGAGACTGTACAAAGCAGAGAAAGAGATATATGAAACGCTATCTCAAGGAATATGCTTCGCCTTTCCAGAACTCTGTCAAGTTCTCTAACAATGGACGATCGTTTGGATCGACTTTCATGCAATTTTCCACAATTTGGACCCATTGAGATGGAAGGTTGTTGTTTCCTGTCCAGGTGACCTGAACATCATCGGGGTGCTCAACCTCGTCAAAGTCGTTGGCTATCTGGCTCAGAAGCATCCACATGGTCCTCCCTAACGCAAACACCTCTGCCAGCTCAATAGCTTTAGGGCAACTCACTTGCCACTCTGGGAAGACATTCCAAACATTAAAGGTCTCCTGTCCACTGCCTTCGGGCATATTCCGACGTTCTGGGCCCGTATATTTGGTGTAGGCCAGCCTCGTCGGTCCGTTCTCCTTGATATTCTGTTCTTCCACGTCCCAGGTCCCGTCTACCTCGGGGGCGAGTGTGGTTGCTGGTGCACCGCTTTGTTCCCAGTCAATAAGGATCAGGTTCCCTTGGTCGTCAATAATAAAATTCCCGGGCTTTATATCCATGTGGAAAGTATGCGCGACCCTGTGGGTGTGCGTTATCGCCAGACACATTTGATGACACCATTTAGCTTTTTGCTGCAAGGAGATGTGCGATTCTCTTGCATTGGCTGCTTCAATTGCGTTACGAAGGTCACCTCCAGCGAAGTAAGTCGATAGATGACCAACAAGCGCAGTGTTCTGATTGGAGTCGCGAACCGATACTAGGTTCAGTGTGGCGATTGGATGTTTGGATGGCGTGGCATGTTCGCGATTAATTTGCTAGAACGTCTCCAAACATCGACCATGGTGCGGGTCAATTCGTCGTCGTCATCGTGAAGTTGCAGGTACGTTTGAAAATCAATCCCTTTGAAGACAAACGTTGATACTTTGCCTGCATCTTCAAACTGCACCCGCTTGGAGCAGCCTCTGCCGCCCAATGCCTCGAGTAGGACAATCTCGGAGATGTCAAGAATACGAGGAGAATGGCCCTGAGCAACCAAGTCGCTTGGCTCGATATCACGGAGGAGCGCGAGATACTGCTTAAAGAGCTGTTCTTGGTAAGCTCTCCAGACAATCTCCTGGGTCTCTCCAGGAATGATATCAACTACAACACCAGGGTCGACAATTGCGGGGTCCATGATGCAATGAGGCCAGATCATGGCTATGGCAGACCATAAAGCGCTTCGCATTGAGCTGCGATTCTGGAAAGTGAATGCCCCATCCGGCACCTCGAGATCGTGATAGCAGCAGACAATCCGGCTTGGCAACGACTGGGGCAAGCTGTCATGGCTCCGCTGGAAACGGAAAATCATTGCCTTTCCTTGTCCAAGTACTTGGGCATAGACAATGGTTTCATCTTCGTCGCCCCAGATGCTGTCGGGGGTAACGCCGAGCGCTTCAAGGGCTTGTCCTTCTCCCATGATCACTCCGACGTTCAAAATTGAAGAAGGGTTGGTTTGAGCGGATGAGAGACAATATGGATCGGTCGAGCAAACGACGAAGGAGAATTTGGCGGGGTAGGTCGCTGGCCGAAGGAGACACCACACAAAGTAAGGGGCACAGGCCAGGTTATGGTATGTGCTGAAAACCCTGTAATTTGAGGCTCTGCAAAAGCCCATGAGATATTGGTCGGATCTGGCAACGTCTATGTACCATGGGACATTACAAGCAACAAGGCGGAGATGCATCGCATCACACCAATTTCTTGGCGCTATACTGCTGATGATATTGTACCGTATGACTTCAGTGGTGATGAGACCACATTGCTGCCCAACGATGAGAGATATGATACTTTTGTGCAGGAATTGGGCAATTCCCTTTGAGAACTGCAAGTCGACCAGCTTTTAGGTCTCTGCCACGTAGGAAACTCCAATATGCAAAGCTCCGCAACAATGGAGTTCACTTCTGGTCGGGCCAATGCCACTGTGCCCAATATGATGTAGAATATTCAGATGGACAGCGCAGCAGTTGAAGCGGCCTGGCAGTTCGGAAAACAAGGTAAAGCTATATATATACCTCTCCAGCGTACAAAATACTTAGTTCGAATAGACACGGCTGAACATCTGGAGCCAGTTGTGTTCAAGAAATGCAAAAATAAATGCGAATACAAGACAAATACTGGAAATCATGCTCAGAGACACTTGGCAACGGAAAAGTGAGGAGAACGGCCCTAACCAGGAGCAGAGTTGGGTGAAGCATGGTTGAGAGAAGCTGCAGCTCTAGAAGCTGCGAAGCCAGGAGATGAAGAGTCAGCCATGGTTCTTGCTGGGATTGCGGTCGAAAGAGGGTTGATGGAAAGGAAAAGTTGGCTCGGTGTGTAAGGTGATGGTGACCTGGTGATGTCAATCTCGGGATGTAGTCGGACTCGGAGCCGGCCATCATTTCCGCAGCTGTTGCGACGGTGCGGCTGTCCCACCCGGATCCGATGGCCCCACTACACGTAGACAGAGGCCTTAGCCACTACTACTACCAGTATCTCTGCTCTAATGAAGATATCTATATGGCCCACCACAGGCTGGGGGTCAGCCTGTGTCAGAAGGAGGGATAACCTTCACGACCAGCTGTGGGGCGGGGATGATATATCCTGGGCGAGAAAGGGTGAAGCCCACGATATCATTCATCTTGAGGACGAAATAGCTCTCAGCAGCTTGCTCCCGCGAGGCACCAAAACCTGGCATGGAGGAGAATTTGAGTCGACCATTGATCTAGTCCTGGCGTCGGAAGACCTAGCGACAAATATGATTGGATGCACACCTATGGAAACAGATCATGGGTCGGGCCATCAGGCGATAGAGACGGTCTTTGAAGCACAGCTGCCTGAACAAATACAGCATGACGCTTTGCTTTTAAAAATGCACCATGGAAGGAAATCAATGCCATGATTGCCAAGAATCTGGACGGACTCCAGACTCAAGGCACTGTACAGCAGAATACAGACGTTATAATGGCTAAACGTTGGATGAGCCTTGACTTTAAGAGAAGCCCGACACAACAAGCTCTCACCAAGAGAGTCTCCCTGATTTCGTAATCAGACTGCTCGCGTATTATCTTGTTTAATGAGCGCAGTCTACCATTTTAGATATCTAGGGCTCAATAGTAGATAGATCCCCTGTTTATTGGGCTATCTTTAAACTTATTGGTGGCGAGAGCTCTTTATTGAATTGAGTATATATAACCAATTTGGACCAGTTTCATCAACATCGGCTCTAACCAAGTCCCTCTTGGAGACTTGGCGTTGATTGGTCAGCTCGCGTAGCTCAGTTGGTTAGAGCTTCGTACTAATACTTCAGCCTTGGTTGAAATCTTGGTAATGCGGAGGCCGCAGGTTCAAGCCCTGCCGTGAGCATCTTTTTTTTTTTTTTTCGCTTTTTGATCAATATAATTGTCACGACCAATAGTTAATCATGCTGTAGCCAAAAGTCGACCTTGGTTGAAATCTTCGTAATGTGGATGTTGAAACTGCCAGGAGCATTGCCCACGTGCTTCATCTGGAATCCTTGGTTAATTTTTCTGATTCTGTATATACACTTCATAGTTTCCTCCTACCTTAGTTATCTCAAAGACATGTATTCATTCTTTTGCCTACCTAGCTATGTGCACTCTTGTAAGCGCTGCCGCAAACCTTCCTTACGCACTTTATCCGGCATTCTTTTCCTACATCTCATTTCCGATCAGTGTGTATGCGTTCAATCTTATCATTCGCTCGCTACCTCACTTCGTTATGTACTACTTCTTTCCTTGACGAAATATCAACAAAACAAAAAAGGAGAAAGAGTATGTAGCACGTAATGTCTTTTTTTCTTTTCTTTTTACTCTTTGTCAATCAGCTCATCAAACAAAGGCTTCAAGCTCTTTGCGCTCTTCTTAGGGAACCTCTGCTGTCCATTCTCGTAATCCACATACGTCACCCCAAATCTCGTCACATAACCATCCGCCCACTCAAAATTGTCCATCAGCGACCAGGCGAAATAGCCCTTTACATTCACGCCGTCCAGCGTCACGGCCGTAACCATGGCGCGGATGTAGTCGTTGTAGTACTTGACTCGGAACTCATCCTCGAGAATCTTCTCCTTGGGCAGGTCGTTCTCGCCCTTGATGCTAGTGCCGTTCTCCGTCACGTAAATCCGGGGGTAGTTGTATCGCTTGCTGATCCAGACGAGGAAATCGCGGAAGCCGGTCGGGCAAGGGCGCAGCCATGGAGATTGCGTCTCTGGGCCGATGCACTGGCCTTGCTTGTTGTAGAACAGGCAGTCGACGTTGCCCACGGTGTCGTCAGCAGTGGCGGGCGAAGTGCGGTGGCGGATGTAGTTGGATGTGTAGTGGTTCATGCCGTAGAAGTCGTTGGAGCCCAGAACAAAGGCCTTCTCCTCGGCTGTGAACGTTGGCAGTCGATCTCCGAGCTGTCTACGCATAGATGCAGGATATTCTCCCAGGTAGATTGGGTCGGCAAACCACGCCGTGAAGAATTCCAATCTACGTTCAGCTGCCTCCCTGTCAGCGGGGTCTGAAGAGTCCCAGGGATAAGTAAAGTCGCCGTTGAGGACAATGCCGATCTGGCTGTCGTCGGTCGTCTTGAACTCCTCTCGATAGGCCTTTACAGCGCGGCCATGAGCAACGAGGATGTTGTGACCAACAGTCCAGGGCTCTGAAGTGCTCTGACGTCCTGGAGCAAAAGTTCCGGAGCCATAACCTGGGATGGCGGAGCAAAGAGGTTCGTTGAAGGTAATCCAGTTCTTGACTTTGGGCAGTGACTGGAACATGATGCGAGCATAGTTTTCAAAGTCCAGCGGGAACTCGTCACGGTTCAACAAGCCGCCATATCGCTGGTGCAGCTCCTCGGGCAGATCCCAGTGGAAAAGCGTGATAAAAGGGGTAATGCCCGCCTCGAGCAAGTCGTCGACAAATTGCGCATAGTGGTTGATTCCTGCCTTGTTGACGAGATCGTTGCGGCCGCCCTTGGGGACGATTCGAGACCAAGAGATGGAGAAGCGGTAAGACTTGGCTCCAAGCGATTTCAGAAGCGCAATATCCTCGGCCGTGCGGTTGTACGAGTCACAGGCCGTGACGCCGGATGTGCCATCGGCAATCTTGCCGGGGATGGCGCAAAAGGTGTCCCAGATGCTGGGAGCGCGGCCGTCTTTGTCGATGGCGCCTTCGATTTGATAGCTGTAGATGATGTGTAAGTGGCTGGACAAAAGGATATTGTGTGGCTTGTTTTTGATATAAACTGAACGAGACTCACGCAGCCGTAGCAAAGCCCCACTGAAAGTCTTTGGGCAACATTTTCAAGAGATTACACTTTCCTTCTCAGGAAAAAAAAATCAGGAAGAAAGGTATTCTTGAAACCAGGTGCACAACCACTTAAGAGATCATGCAATGCACGCTTCCACTCAGCTAACGAGACGGGTGGGAATTAGCCTCAAGGGCTGGATATATATAATTGCCCCTCCCATCCAGCCTGAGATTCGGAAAATAAACATGGAGAAATACAAGATACGCTCACAGCCCGCATGGCGTATTTTCCCGGATAATGGTGGTGCCCTGCCATGGGTACCTGCGCATTTAGCCAAGCTACGGTTGGGACGTCCGTTTTAACCAGCAAGTGCTACTGATAATAGTGGTACGGTTAACCCATGCTTCGAGGCTAAGATAATAGGGCCTTCTACCCCGTACCCCGAACTATGGAGTAGTGCTAGTATCATGCACTCGATAAGTACAAATCTAGCGATAGCACTCTATATTGTAATTGAACTACCTTGGTAGTGGTAGATGGGAGCTGCATTAGGTAGGGCATGGTAGAGCGAGGATTCCCAGAACGGTAACTGACGGTGATACCGAAACCCATAATTCCCCTCTCACAGCTCTCTATTCGAACGTTGAAAATCCTCCTCGGCCAACCGCCTTGACCGACAGACAGTCACAAGGTAAAGCTAGTGGCCCTCAATCAGCGGAGGATGGAGATCCGGGCGGCTCCAAGCAGCTTAGCCTATACGTGATTGTCCGAAACATGAAGCCGGTGCCGTCAGCGGGCCGAGAGACGGGCAACTAAGTGAAGGGTGGTGGGTTCAAAGTGAAGGGATTTGGAGGTAAACGGATGCACACTCTATTGGACATGTATAAGTGTAAACAATTGCAAGTTGATATATACATGCAAGTGCATGAAGCTGTCACGTTACACACAGTGGGAGTGACACATCTTGGGTAGCAGATCTGCAGGTAGCAAGAGAATCAACAGGCAGCAGCAGCAGCAGCAGTAGGGAGGAGAGCATTGGAAGTGGACAGATGTGTCTTGCGTTCTCGGCAGAAGACCAAGTCACTTGGTTCAATGCTCGGAAGAAAAGAGCATGGTTTCATTCGAGTTGAAGCCGACGGCTAGATTCAGCCGAGAGAACACGTGGAGACGGAGGCAGTGGAACGTAAACGCAGCTACATGTACATCCAAGGCAGGTAATATAATAAACAGCAATACTGCTGGCGCGGAACATGGCAATCTATCGACCAGCATTACTCTCCGAAATTGTGCATCTGCACTAGCAAACGGTCTGCATAGGCAGATATGGCTGGCTTGCGGGTACTGCTAAAAGGACCCTTGCATGGGATTCAGGCACCAGACGGCGTATAAGCAAGCGGTGCAACTCCAAGCCAGCATTCACTCACGGTACGAAACGCCATTCAAGATATCAAAACACCATAGATGAATTTAGATAACGCACAGAGAGAAAAGAGTATTACATGTACAGACCATGTCTGTTTTATGCACCTACTAACATGTAGACAGGACATGACCAACCCAGAAAAAGAAACCTCCATTTACACGCATGCATCCTCAATACCCGGCAAGCCACCAACCTGCGTCTCCGTCTCCATCGTCGCATCGTCGCCGTCAAGCATCATGCTCTCTAAGCTTCCTCTTGCCAAGATGCGTCAACGCAGCATCGCCCTCGGCCGATTCTCCGCCGCCATTCTCCGAAAACTCGACAATGTCCCATTCGATGCTCGTCTGCCCGTCGCGCGACCTCCTAGTGCCGTAGCTCCGGCGCATGTTTCCTAGCCGAGAACCCTCGATTAAGCCGTCGAACCAGGGAACGCCAAACGACTGCTGAAGAGCTGTCCTTTTCGTCGGTGTCGCCGCCGGCGCAGCCTCGCCCCCGGACGGCGCATCTTCGTCGCCGTCCTGGGGGATCAGGCCAATGTCCTCCAGGTCTCGAATGTCTTCCCGCAGCAGACTGCCGAGCGTGAGGTTGATGAACTCGGCCTCGCTCCGGGGCTCCTCGGACCAATACGATAATGGGGTGCCGCAGAAGCCACAAAAGTGCCGCTTGGAATAGTCCTGGCTTGGGTGTGTGTAGACCCTGCGGATCATGGAATGCTTCTCATCCGGGAAGAAGGCGTATGTGGTGCTGTGATACCATGCGAGCGGGACTCGAATATAGGCCGCCAGGGGTGTCGCGAGAGGGATCTCTGTTTGCGCCAAGAGTCGTTAGCAAAGCCGTTGGCTGGGGGCCAAAGACATCAAAACAAACAAAACAACAGCCCAACGAAAAACACCAATTGCCAAGGCAAATGATGCAATCCATGAGCCCATGCAATTGCCTTTATTTCGCTCACGACTACTCCATAGAGGGACTGGATATTCACTTACGATGCTGGGGCTCAGTGTTGAACAGCACCTGGGCCTCTTTGACTCTATCCTCGGGAATGGCGATGATGTAACGATTTCGGCCGCATTGGCACCCGCCCCGCAGTGGCCGCGACCCGCTCATGATGCCTGCAGCAGTAGAAGACGCTTAAGAGGAAGAAGAAGAGGAAGAGGAAGAAGAAACGGACACTACAAGCACGTATTAAAGGCTGGTGCAGAGAGCAGAAAATGAGGCAGGGTGAAGCTAATTGAGAGGGATTGGCGGCGTCGTCGATCGCGAAATGGGTTGCAGAAAGGTAAATAAATATGGAAACAAAACAACACAAGGCTGACCTAAGGACAAAAAGAGGGTGCGTGGATGGATGACGGAAGTCTGGTGCGATCTGGAGGACCTCCAGGCGGTGCAGTGCGCTAAAAGCTTGGGGTGGCGCCTGGATGGTGCTGGATCGTTCCACTAAGGTCGTCGCGCCGTGCTGTAACTTTCTAGAAACTGGGGGCGGGTCTGTTCCCCCACCATTGACGATTGAGCATCTTGGCAGTGGGAGCTGTTTGACAGGGATTTTGTGTTTATACACTATACTAACAAGCAACCAGAGCAGTCAGTGATGGAGACTTTTGCTCGTTAAAAGCACTGTATCCATGGCAATGCAGCCCATTGTAGTGAGAAGCTGCAAGTTGACGCAATTACTGCATGTAGTTTGGGCAATCTTAGAGCTAAGAGCTGAAAGCGCCTATGGGTAGTAGTCCATGGTTGCTGATCAAGACGGGCATGAGCTTTCACGTACCTGCATCCATGTCTATGCCTCCAATGTTACCTCTTAACTGATAAATTTCTACCTCTTTTTCTTTTTGCTGCGCCCAAACACACGCACATAAAGAAATCTGTAGCACGGAAATTGTGCCGTCCACCGAAGCCGAGTTTAGAACGACGGAGAACCAACAGCATGCCGCAAATAGCACTAACCCCGAGGTCGTTCGTCGCTCGCTTCATCATCCTCCTTTGAGCATTCTTCCTCCACAATGCCGCCCCCGTTTTAAAGTCATAATCATACAAGCCACATCAATCTTTCTTCCCTCTGAGATTCGATGGAACATACAGAGCCGAATCAAACGCCGCAGCCACTGGCCCGGGCCACCGCTCCGAGACAGATGGGCTTCCAAGCTTGCAGAACTGACAATGTAACCCTAATGGCGCAAGCCCTCTCGCTGGCAGCCAGGGGAGAAACACGCGACACCGTTCAAGACGTCCTCCAAGCCTGCCTCAGAAGCTCTCTCCGGAGAAAGGCAGTCAAAGTCCAGGCTTACCTGCTCGACAATGGTGCAGACGTCAGTGACGTGTACTCCGGGTCGCTCTTCAATGACGAAGATGCACTCGCCAAGCCTTCACTCGAGGCGATTGAGATGCTCATCGCTCACGGCTGGGATATTGATTCCCGGCCATCTCGTATAGCCTGGCCATTGCTGTGGTCCGTGGTACGGTATCACGATCTTGTTGAGTGGTGCCTCGATCACGGAGCCAGCGTATATCTGCCTGGCGACACTCCACCACGAGATGCCAGGGGCGTAGGCCAAGTCCCACGCATAACTCTGCTTGAGGCTGCTGCGAAGAGTGGTTCGGTCCCGACATTCAAGCTACTGCGAGAGAAGGGCGCACCTTTCCACGTAGGCGTGCTACATTTTGCCGTTGAACACGCTACTTACCTCGCACCACCTTACAATGGCTCTGCCGACCCCTCTACCAGCAATGTCTGGTTCAATGAGCGCATGGACATGGTACGATACCTTGTAGATGAGGTTGGGATCGACGTGAAGACGGAATGGTGGTGGCCAGGTCTAATCGGCGCTACGCCATTAGACAGGGTGGCTTATCACAGCGGCGACAGCAAGGATGTGAGAGAGTTGGTCTGGTTCTTGCTGGATCGCGGTGCCGACCTAAACCATGCGTCGTTTTGTCAAGATGATCATTTTGGTGATATTTCATATCTCAGTCCACTTGAGATGGCTCAAACGAGACCCAGGAAGCGCTTTCTAGAGGCTGTTCAAGAGTGGCAGGAACGACAAGAGAAACCTGCATCACATGGGTCGGGCGTTGCAGTCGGCGTAGGCAAGTAGTTCAAGTTGCAGTCAGAGAGTGGCAGCTCACTCCTTTGCCCCAAACACTAGCGAACTGATGCCCGCAATGGTCAAGGCACCTTCAAGAACACTCGTGCCTATGGTGGTAGTCAAGGTTGTCGTCTTCGCAATGTACACCGTGCTTACAGCTGGCGAATAGTTCTTACTGCTGCCGCTGCTACCGCTCTTTACTGCTAGAGCTAGGCAAAGAGCCGGAGCCGGGAGATGAGCAGGCACCCCCATCTTGGCGCTTTTGGCTGACTGAAGACGATCCCGTTTGGCTATAATCAGGCTAGCAAGCGAGAACACATTGACATTAAACGTATATTGATGCAAGCTTGAAGACTATGCGATGACTTACTCCGGCAAGGCCCCAGCACAGGGTGGCCCGAAGAGTCATGTGTGTAGGTCGCAACAGAGGTGGTAGACCAAGAGACTCCTGTTTGAGTATATAAAAATGCAAATGGTGAACTTGTATTGATAAATATCGATAAACCGACTTATAATAGGCACGATGATGCTGCTGCGGTACAGGTTGGGCCGGGGCTCCCCTCGGTGACGCTGCTAGGGGGCGAGGGCGCAACACTCGATGGTCCCATCTCAGACTCTTCATTGCCGTTGAAAGCGGAGATTGCAAACGCGTAGTTCCATACTCCGGGAAAGAGGAAGTACTCGTCGTTGCAGGTAGACTCTGTTACGTTGGCAATTACTTTCCATTCGCTGCCAGCTTGGTTGATATTCTTTGACCAGACGTGATATCCTCCGGCCAGGCTCGAGCCCTCCCAGGTGATGCTAAATGAAGAAACGGTGGATATTTAGCAATCTGCTTTGATATTCCAAGCCTGTCATGTCTACTCACTGTACGGTGGTAGGGTCATTGGAATGGACTGACGGGGCACCAGGCACAGCAGGAGTACCGGCTCCGGGAACAGCATTCTGGGCGATAAAAGGCAATCCCTGTCCATTCTTGTTCCAAGTCACCGGGGCGATGAGATAGTTGGTTCCTGGATTGAGTCCTTCAATGACCGCTGGCGACGATTTGAATGCAGCTCCGGAAATAGCTTGGCAATCCGTGGGGCTCCAGTCCCAATAGAGCACATTGTATTCAACAATGCTGTCTGTATAATCACCAGTCGGAGGGTCCCACGTTACTGTAAAGCCAGTTTCTGTGGGCGTGACTACGACATTCTCAGGCGGAGGCGCGAGCTGTGGTTGAGCAACTGCTGACAATGTTCCAGTATAGGCTCCCTTTCTCGTGTCACCGGCACTTGCTCGGACAGACACGCCATATGTCCATCCGGCGAGCGGCCATTGGCAATCCCACCTGTTGTACGATGTCGTTGTTGGTGAATAGGTGTTTGCGCCTTCATTGATAGAGACTACAACGTCGTAACTGTAAGCTCCATACACTGTAGGGGGGCTAGTACGTCAGCTGCAGTTGTCGTAATACATGGCTTGGTGAGGTTCTTGCCTTCATCCCAGGTTGCAGACACGCCTTGAGGGCTGGTGAAGACCTGGAAATTTGACGGAACTGGAAGATCTCTGGCGAGACTTGGATCATTTGCATCAGGTATAGCGAGAGGCACATGTCCTATGCCAAAGTCCTTGAGCAGGGTTTGTGCAAAAGCTTGGGCTATCAAATATTCGCCCCAAGCATTTGGGTGCAGGCCATCATAACCTGTAGTATATACATGAAGAACATTAGCAAAGCAAAGCTAGGTATACTTGTGCCGTTTATAGCAGTCGACACTATTGTTTCGCCCCAGAGATATAGATCTAAAAACGCACCTGCTGGGCAGCCACTGGGCTGACAGTCGTAATTCTGTTGAAGCTCGACAAGGTGTATCGGCGACTGCTTAGTCGACCATTGAGAGATGGCAGCGGGCAACAACTCGTTATATGTGTTGGTGTTGTCAACTAGGTCCTGTCTTCCGCCGATGAAGCTCCGTTGCGGCACATTCGCAATGGCGAATTGAAGATTGGGATTCACGGCCCGCGCATTGGAGACCAAACTGCCGATGGTATCAATTGTTCCTGCACCGTCGCTATAGAACCAGGCCATGTCATTGAACCCGAGCATCAGCAGCATCATGTCTGCAGGGGTTTGCTGCAATACGCCCCCAATAAGACCGTCGTCAACAGCCGTCGGGCGACCCCAAACGGCAAAATGGTTGCTATTGTCTAGAAAGTCAGCATCTACGTCCTTGGCATAACCTCCATCTGTGCCAGGCTGAGTCGTTTGCGCGGTAGCTCCGTAGAGCGGTGGTGGTGATGGCGGAGAAGCAGGGTCAGGCGGTACCGTCCCTGAGTACGGGCCAACGAATTCAACGGCAATTTGATTCTCTTGAAACCACTCCCAGAGTCTATATCTCCAGGTGTAGTCGCCTTGTTGGCCCTGTGTCATAGAGTCACCAACGACTAACAGTCTAAGAGCGCTTGTTCGAGCGGCTAATGAGTCTCCAGTTGATGATACATTGTTCCGGGATCTCAAGTCGGATATCATGCTTTCGGCCAATGGAGGTTTAATACCTGCTTGGATCACAGGCAAGGCCGGAGCCAGCTTATCGACAGCTTGATAGGCAGGCAGCGCCGTGATGTTCTTTGGAATCGGAATGGCTGGGATAGTCGCAAGCTGATCTAGCTGCCATTGTACAGAGGATGCCAGTTGGACTGCAGACGAGAATTCAATGGTTTTAGTTGCATTAATGACGACAGGATTGGAGGTAGTAGCTACAGCTGTAGCCCATAAGAGAGAAGTACAAAAAGTGAGGTAGAAGATGGCCGCAGTCTTTGCGCAAAGACAATGCTGCGAAAACATCTTCGAGTCTTCGATGAGTGCAAGTATAATGTATCAGGCATCTCGTTCCAAACCTCAAGAGGCACGCTTTCTTTTAAGGGTTCCTTGATACTCCTCAATGCATTCATCTAATGCTACCAGCTAGAGGCATATCACCATAACTCCGAGGATTCCCGTCGCAATCTCAGTAGATCTTAATTCCTCATTTTTGGGCGCAACGGATCAATAATCACTCGATGCCTCAGAAACCAGTGGAAAGGACTGAGTCACAGGCCGAGCAACCAGACACAACCAACAACACTTTGCACGCAGATTTTGATAAAAAGTCTTCATCGTTGTGCATCAAGGATCAATATTAATTTATACCTTCCTACTTGGGATACGCCTAACCCTTTAAAAACCAATAGACAGAATTTCAAGTCAAAGACCCAACAACAAAAGACAACCAACAACACAACTGATAGAGCTCTTGGCCAATCATTAGCTCAGATATCTTCTTAGTACAAATAGCGGATCCGCGGAAATTTTGCTTTTATGGATAGCACGGCGCAGAAACCGGTGATTTCCTCAATAGGTATATACCGAATTTCTCATACTATTTCATCACGATACTCCCAGTCATCTATTATCTTTACCAATATTACCGTTACATCGCCCCAGCGCCAAGCCCGTAAATAAATTTCCTCAAATCGGACTTACACAATGACGCCTTGCACGATTCGCGCTCTCTACTCCGCTATCATTTTTTTTAACACTGCCAACTCCTAGCATATTGTTTCTGTCCACACGATCCGTTTGAACAAAGTACACTCTTTATTAGGCAGCAGCCAAGATGAACGCCGGATCTTCATTTTTATAAGGCATAGGCTTCATGTGTCTTCAGTACCTTGCCAAACACGTGGCAGGAGAATCCATGTAACTTGCCTACTTGCCTAGGCAACTTCAATCACATCAGGCGATTTCTAGTGATCCTGCTGACCTTGTATAAACCGGCTGACTTCGATTGAACTAGTGCACATTTGTGGCTCTTCCTGGGATTCATATGCGTGTATATAGTAAAGCTCGTTAATTGTCATTCTCACACCAATAGACCATCTCTGTGGCGCTGATGCCTCGTGTGGGGAATTTAAGTCATCCGCGTCAGTGGTATGCTTACATGCAGAGAGATCAACGGATTCGCACAGACGCTTGAGCCTTTGTAAGTGCCCGCCAGGGGAACGAACGATTCAATTATCATCTGAGAACAGGCAGACAGTCAAACAAATTGCCTCTGTCTCAGTCAATGATGCATCTGATTTGTCTTCTCACTCTACCGCATGATTGAAAGATAAAACCCCCGCTCCGTTTCTCTTGCAGCTAATCATCTTCTTTAATGAAGAAATGGCAATCTATCGTCCTGACCATCGGGTTCCTATTTCTCTCCGAACTGATTATAGACAATACTGGCTCTAACTCTGCAGCTTTTTTGGATAAAAAGCGTAATACAGTCTTGGGTCTCATCCTACTGAGAAGCTAGCTTGTTTGATACCTGGTCATCATGCGATCGAATTACATCTTTCGACACTTTTACGTCTGTTGTAATCGTCGTCGTCGACTCAACATATTTTCGGTTCACTAAAAACCTCTGTTAGTCAAATGAGCTCAAAAGTCTTCAAGATGGACATACTGGGAGCGCGATGATACTGATCAACCCAAGTGACTTCAGTCTCTGTAGCGAGTGCAACTCGCTGGACAAAATTGGGATCTCGCAGAAACTCTCGCGCGACGTGAACTACATCGGCTTTTCCATTGCTCAGAATCTATTGTGTATAGTCAGTCAGTCATCAAGCACAGAAAACGGTAAAGCAGGGAACATCATACATCGCGAACAGTCTCGGCATCTCGAATCCAGCCAACAGCAGCTACAAATACGTTCGGCAGCCTGAGGTCCTTGACAGCCTTGGCGAATGGGACCTGGTATTGTTGACCAAGCTGAACTTGTTGTCTCCGATCGGTACCTCCGCTTGAAACATCAAAAAGATCCACGCCCTCTGCAGCGAGTATAGGGATGTATCGCAAAGTATCTTCCAACTCCCATCCTTCTCCCTTTGGCAGCCAGTCCACGGCTGAAATCTTCCAAAATACGGGCATTTTCTCTGGAATATTACGTCGTATAGCACGAATGACCTCCACGCCGATTCGGATGCGGTTCTCAAAGCTGCCACCCCACCGGTCTGTGCGTTTATTCGTCTACTCCAGTGTAAGCATTACTTCCAACAATAGGCTTGATGAATATGACTCGGAGTCTTACCGCAGGTGACGCGAATGAGTGCAACAAATATCCGTGAGCCCCATGAACAGCAATCACGTCAACACCAGCCTCAACAGCCCTGCGAGCGGCCTGGCCGTAAGCTTCGATAGTCTCAAGGATCTCATACTCCGACATCTCTCCAGGGGTTGCGTAGTTCTCATTCCAGGGCTCGGCAGTAGGGCCCTGAACTTGGTTGGCATACCCATCGAACTCGTCAGGAACGAGACGGAGACCCAGCCATGGTGGAGTGACGCTGCCTTTGCGGCCGGCGTGCTGGAGCTGGATTGCAACGTTTTGAGATTGCGAGTGGATGAGGTCGACGATTCTCTTTAGAGGCGCAATATGGGCGTCAGACCAGATGCCGGCATCTTGCGGTGTGTTGCGGCCCTGAATCATGAATTAATACAAGCTTATCGATCAATAGAGAGCGATCCTACTCTGGCCGTCACTGCGGTTGCTTCCAAATGGATCAAGGCACACCCTCTCATGGCCCACTGCCCATAGTGGGCCACGTGAAAGTCACTAAACATGCCATCTTGGCAACTATACATGCACATCGGGGCAACCCAGATGCGGTTCTGGAACGTGTTGCCCCGGATAGTGATCGGTTGAAAGGCAGGGGTGATGGAATCTGCGGTGACGCCGTTCTTGGGATCAAGAATCGCAGTGCCGACTGGGACTCTCTGCTTTGGCGTGAAGAAAGGGAGACCAGCCACCACCTCGCTGCGAAAGTCTGAGTATTGATATTCCGGGATGTCACCCATGGTGAATATTTATAAATGAGAATAGTAGAGTTGAATTGATGCTGTATTCGACTGGAACTGGAGCTCAATGAGAATTCGCAGAGACGGATTTTAATGTTTTTTTCCAGAGCGCGTCCAGAGGCAGTATCAGTAGGGCTTACATATCGAAATTCTAAAGTTAATTCGCCTCCAATTCGATTTCCGAATTACTAACATCATCACAATTAAAAGTTGGGGCGGCGTACGACTTAGAAACTTCATATCACAACCCTCGTTATTTCCTACCCTATTGCGTTTCCCTTTCCGGTAATTTCCCTTTTCGGATTTTTTCCCCCAACTTCCCCTTTCTGTTACTCCAACTCCCCCATTCTACTACTCCAAATGCCACCTACCCCGCCGCCACCATCCACTACCCCATCAGCAGCATCATCGTCTAGGGGATGCAGGCCAGGGGAGGAAAGATGAGTGATGTAATTGGTAATACAGAATGAATTGTGCCCATGGAGGCATATTCACGGAGATCCGTATTGAGCCCCAAAAGCCACTGAAAATCACTCTTCGCCGCACTAAGAATCACCTACATCATCAGCATCTTTATTCCCAAGTCTTTCCAGGAATTTCTTTTTAGCGTCATCTCAGTTCGCAATCATGGCGCAAGGACTCGCTCGCAAGTATGAAATCAATGCCGATATGGGCGAAGGGTTTGGACGGTGGAAGATGGTAAGTTCTTTGGCCCAGTCATGCATCTCCCACTAATGCGGACTTCCAGGGCCCTGATGAAGAGCTGATGCCTTTCATTGATGCCGCAAATATTGCTTGCGGGTTTCATGCCGGTGATCCTTCCATTATGCTCAAGACGATTCGTCTTTGCAAAAAGCACGGCGTTAGAGCCGGTGCTCACCCTGGATTACAGGACTTGTTCGGCTTCGGTCGGAGGAAGATGGAAATCGACGTCAACGACATGTATGCCATGGTTCTTTATCAAGTCGGCTCTCTCAAAGCCATGCTGGATGCCGAGGGCGTAGAGCTATCCCACATCAAGCCTCATGGAGAACTTTTCTTTTACATGCAAAGAGACAAGGGCATCATGAGAGCTGTATTGAAGGCATGTGCGATATTCAGAGTGCCCGTTTATGCCTCGCAAAATCCCGAACAAGAGGCAATGTGCAACGAGTTGGGCATTCCGTTCCAAGGAGAAATGTATGTCGACATAGACTACTCACCAGAAGGAAAACTTGTCCCTGTGGCACAATCTCAACAGGTTACGCCGGAACTCTGTTATGAACGGGCATTAGGAGCGACTATGACTGATAGTGGGAAGGATATCAACGGGGACAAGTTCAGCTTTGGCTTTGACGGCAAGCCCTTTAGCATCTGTCTTCACTCTGACGTGCCCACGGTCCTTCAGAACGCAAAGGTAGTACGCCAAGCAGTTGATGAAGCCAACCGGTCCAGATTTGCGTCGGAAATTAGCCAGGTTAACTATGCGCTATAGACAAATGGACAAGCAATTACTGCCCTAGACATTGGATATATAGAATATGTGTCAAGTACAGCATTCTCAAAAAATAAATTCTCAAAATGACCCCTTTTTCGCCCTGATTTGTATATAGAGCTTTCTTGACTTTGAATAACTGTAATCACGATTCCAATGCTGTGAGAAATTCCGGTCACCTAACCTAACCACAGGCCTGGGGTCTGATATTGGTCTGCAGACATATCAGGCCTCCCATGCGAAACGAGCCCCTGCTGATGAGTTTTCCTTTCACCGAGCTACGTGTAAGTCCTAGCCTCACTCATAGTTTCTCAAGCCTTATCTACTAGCTCTCAAGGGCACTGAAGTTTAGCTGGGGTCCGAGACTAGACAAATCCGAGGCCCCAGGGTTATCATGTGGGGTAGCGCCTTACGGCTTCAGGTCTTGTCCATAAGGGACCAACAAACACGCTATTGAAAGCTCGGGGTAGAAAGTCATGGCAACCATTGTTATCGTAAACCGCTTAATCTTTAGGATGCCGGAAGGGGATACAAAAAGCTGGTGAAACGTCCATTGTCGACACTAATACATAGCAACCCAGTCTTTTCTTCTTCATTACAAGGCATCTGGAGAAGACCTCCAGTCTAGGATGAGAATTAAACATCTTCAATTCTCTTAGTTTACTTTCAATTTCTTAATCTCTTGAATCATATCATTACCGCCAAACATACATTTCTCCATTGTATCTCACATCTGCGTCAAATTGGTCCAATGGCGTCCGAAATTCTCATTCCTGGGACTGTCCAGCTTGTTGATGTCCAAGGCATCTTCAATGTCAAGCATGGTCAGCAGTCTCAAGACATCGTCCTCGTCCCGCAGCCGACCAATGACCCTGATGACCCCCTTCGCTGGGTCGCCTCACGCAAGACCAGGAATATCATCTGTGCCATGGTATGGTGCTTTTTCGTCGCCGGTATGATTTCAGGGTTGTCTCCTGCATACATCTTGATTGAGAAAGACACTGGTATTTCAATTGCCGACTTGAGTACTGGCAATGGTATTCTCTTCCTCTTCTTGGGCTGGGGGACCATGATCACACAATGCCTTGCACTTCGCAATGGCCGGCGCCTTACACTTCTTGTGTCCATCATCATGACCACCCTTGTGTCTCTTTGGACTGCGTACGTCAAGTCAAGGGGGGAGTTCTTTGCCAACCGCATCCTCCTCGGTATTGCCGCCTCACCTCAGGAGACGCTTATCGAGGTCATCATCGGAGATCTTTTCTTCACCCACGACCGAGGCTTCTTCATGGGTGCCTATAGTTGGACCTTGTGGTGCGGTGCCTTCCTCACGCCAGTGGCCTCTGGCTATGTGGCGCAGGAGCTTGGATGGCGCTGGATTCAGTACATCCTGACGTTCATCGGCGCAGGTGTTACCGTTGTTACATTCTTCTTCTTCGAAGAAACAATGTTTTATCGTAATCATCTTGCCAGCAATGAGCGCTATACACCGGGAATCAGCCCAGTGAAAACCAACACTGGTGGAGATGTCGAAGCCATTACCCTGGACACATCGGACAAGAAGACCAATGAGAAGTCTCTAGATCGAGAAGATGACTATGCCTCGCAGTCTATCTCGCCTTCTGAGCCTTCCGCATTTGGTGAGCAAGAGAACACAAAGGCCTACCTGCAGAAGCTGAAGTTCTGGGGGTTCCGTGACCCTCGACAGCCCAGTACCTTTAGGCTTTTCTTCTTACCAATTCGGCTATTGTTCATGTTTCCTGGCATGTCCTTTGGCGGTCTGCTCGTAGGTGGAATTCTTGCCTGGTATAACGTCGTTGGCGGTTCCTTGGCTCTCATCCTTGGTAATGCGCCGTACAACTTCTCTGCAAACAACATTGGTCTGACATACCTTTCCTGCGTTGTTGGAGTCACCATTGGTTGCTTTCTCTCAGGATGGATGGCCGACACTCTCGCCCTCCGTCTTGCTCGTCGAAATGGTGGCGTTATGGAGCCCGAGCACCGACTCTGGACATGTCTTATTGCGCTTGTCATGCATCCCGCTGGCTGCCTTCTCTACGGAGTGGGTGCATCCTATCATATCCATTGGTTCGGAGTTGTTTTCGGCCTCTGTTTGATCTCCATTACTCTCCCAATGGGAGCCAACCTCGCATTCACATACATTCTTGATACGTATAAAGAAGTTGCAGGAGAAGGCCTAGTCTCGGCCATTCTGATTCGCAACATGATGGGTATGTTAATTGGCGCTGGACACTCGCTTTAATGATGATAGACTGACTTGACTAGGTTTTGCTTTTGGATATGCTGTTGTCCCCATGATCACCAATCTGTCGCTTCGTTATGCCTTTGTACTCATAACCATCTTGGGATTGGCAGTATGGTCCACGGCTATTGTGATGATTTTCGTGGGTAAATCCCTACGGCGTCGCACTGCACGATCGTATTGGAACCTTGTTGAGCGATATGGTGCAAAGGCTCATTAACCTCATCTTCAATGGACAAGTAACCGCCGTATGGCAGATTGATATGTCTGAGACGAAGATGGTGCGAGTGTTTAGTTTTTATAATTTGAATATTATCATTGCCATCCGTTGTGTTTATTCACTCCAAAGTCCAACTACAGTTGCCTCAGTCTTGCGTATGATAAGCGTGTGATGTTTTGGAGCATTGCTGTGAAGCAATCATACCTCTACGAGCCAGAAGAAAAAAACCATAGAACCAGTAGATGTGACAAGCTGCATGATCTAGCAAACCTTTCCTCTCTCCAGCCTCATTCCCTCATTGCCGATAGATAAGAATTACACGAACTAGGAGATGGACTAAGTTGGCTCTCGTTTCTACTAGTCTATCCCGTCCCGCCTGCCGAGGACTAGACTGACGATGGCGTATTTCCTATTCCGGATACCCCGTCTTATACCCCGCGCTGGGGTAAAAAATCTAACTGTAATAGGAACGATTAGCTTGTGACGCAGACCAGGTTTGGTTCCATCGGTTCTGAAGTAATGCAGTTCTAGGAAATCTGGACCTGATCCCTCAGGCTCATATATATCGAGAGGCCGCTTAGGTCCTGTCTCACCACTTATAATGCTACTTCGTGTTAATTTGATTACGCGTTTTTGTCCCCCATCGCTGGTAATATGGGCTCCGTCGACTTAACTTCGCTGAGCAACATTCGCAAGGTCTTGGTAGCCAATAGAGGCGAGATTGCCGTCCGTTGCATCAAGGCCTGCCGCGAGTTGGGAGTCAGCAGCGTCGCTATCATAACAAATGCTGACGCAACTTCGTTACACGCCACGTTAGCAGACGAGGTTGTCTTGCTGCCAGGCGAGGACAGCACAGCCTACACGAACGGGTAAGTACAGCGCTGTCCGAAGTAAGTGTACTTTGCTAAGATTGTTTCAAAAGCGAGGCAATTCTGGACATTTGTAAACGGACAAATGCAGACGCCATCATCCCTGGATACGGCTTCCTGAGCGAAAATGTCGAGTTCGCAGAGGCCGTTTCTTCTGCCGGCATTATCTTCGTCGGGCCCTCCTCAGCATCTATCAATGCTATGGGGCTCAAGCACGAGGCCAGAGCTATTGCCCAAGCCGCAAATGTCCCAGTAATTCCAGGCACACAGCTCTTGGATTCCGCCGGGACAGCCGTGGCGGCTGCAAAGCGCTTGGGTTGTCCAGTCATGCTGAAAGCCACAGGTGGAGGTGGTGGGATGGGATTGCAGATCTGCTATAGTGAACAAGATGTTGAGAAAGCATTCGCCATGGTCGAGAGCCGCGCTACCACGCTTTTCAAGAACAGCGGAGTCTTCTTGGAAAAGTACTATCCGAATTCACGCCATATTGAGGTCCAAGTCGCCGGCAACGGAGAGATTGTGGTCGCCTTTGGAGAGCGGGAGTGTTCACTGCAGCGGCGACATCAGAAAGTAATTGAGGAGTGTCCCAGCCCCTTTGTGGAGCGTCACCCTGGTCTACGCGAAAAGATGCTTCAGGCAGCTGTCAACTATGCGTCACAGCTCAAGTATAAGAGCGTGGGCACGGTCGAGTTTCTGGTAGATGATGAGACAGCCGACTTCTTCTTCCTCGAGATGAACACGCGATTACAAGTTGAACATGGAATCACCGAGCTGTGTTATGGAGTTGATCTGGTACACCTCATGCTGCGACAAGCTGACTACGAACTCGGTGGTCGGATTGGAATTCCATCAGATGTCCTGAAAAGTCTCGGAAGACCCAAGCCACTAGGATCAGCAATCGAGGCACGAGTATATGCCGAAGTACCGCTTCGTGACTTTGCCCCTAGCCCTGGCGTCCTCCAACACGTACATTGGCCAGAGGGCGAGGGCGTACGAGTCGACACGTGGGTTCGAAGTGGCCAGAGGATCACGCCTCTCTATGATCCATTAATCGGAAAGGTCATGGCGTATAGTCCTGATGGTCGTGCCGCCGCCCAAAAAAAGATGCTTGCCGTACTGGCTGACACGGCTCTCCAGGGAACACAATCCAATTTGGAATACTGTTCGAGGATTCTTGAGTCTGACATGTTTGCGAGTGGCAATACATTGACCAATTCTTTGTCAACGTTCAAGTTTGATAGCTGTTCCTTGCAAGTAATCGACCCCGGTGTTTTCACTACAATCCAGGACTACCCCGGCCGTATTGCGGTGGGACATGGAGTCCCCCCCGGCGGTCCCATGGATGATGTCAGTGCTCGAATGGCAAACATTTTGGTTGGCAACGACTTTGGAGTCGAGCTATTGGAACTTACGTTATCTGGTCCAAAGCTGCTGTTCCATGAAGCAGCTGTCGTGGCAGTCTGTGGCGCGGAGCTGCCCGTTACCCTCGATGGCGCATCTCAGCCCATGTGGTCGAGGATTGTCATTAAGAAATCTCAAGTACTAGAGCTCGGCAAGGTGACTGGCAATGGCCTCCGAACATATCTTGCCGTCAAAGGCGGGTTTCCCCAGGTCCCCAAGTTTCTTGGCTCCAAATCCACAGCTCCGGAGCTCGGCTTTGGTGGCGTACAAGGACGAAAGCTCTTAATTCACGATATCCTCAATCTATCTCCACAATCCGGAACGTGGGCCACAGAAGCCACGCCTTTGTCTTTGCCACCAAATGTCATCCCCGATTTCACTGACAATGTGACTATTTGCTGCATTGACGGCCCGTACGCATCCGAAGACGTCCTGACCCCCGAGGGCTATGCGACATTGTACGAAGCCAACTGGACGGTCAGTCACAACAGCAGTCGAAGCGGTATCCGGTTGGAAGGACCGCGATTGAAGTGGGCTCGAGCATCCGGCGGTGACGGCGGATCGCATCCATCCAACGTGCTCGACTATGGTTATCCGAATGGCGGCGTCAACTTCACAGGCGATTTTCCCATCATCTTTGGGCCTGATCGTCCAGACTTGGGCGGTTTCGTATGTCCAACGACTGTCTGCTCCGGTGAGATGTGGAAGCTTGGCCAGGTAAAGCCTGGTAACACGATACGATTTCGTTCTGTCACTTACGACAATGCCCTTGACATTTCGAGGAGAAAGAATGCCTTTTTCCAAGCTCTTGCAGTGTTTTCGCAGAGAAACACAGGCCAGATATCTCCTCTTGTTATCGAGCTCACCAATGAAACCTCGTCTTCAATTTTACACCAGAAGCAATCCAAGGGGAACCATCCACGAGTAACATATCGCCAAGGAGGTGACACAAGCATCATTGTCGAATACGGCAACCAGGTGTCGGATCTGCGCAACACTGCTTGCACACAGTTTCTCGTCAAACAAGTGTCAGATGCAAATCTACCGAGCGTGCGCAGCGATCCCAACTTCGCCTCTGTCACTGTGCGCTTTGACCCGTTCCAGATGGACCGGTCCAAACTTCTCCAACAACTAATTCAGTTCGATGACCAAATGGGGCAGAATACGGGCGTCAAGATTCCCGTTCGAGAAGTGCGGCTCCCCGTTTGCCTCGACCACTCCTCATTGCAAGATTCTGCGCAACGGTACATGGACAACATCAGACCTTCGGCCGCCTACATGCCGGACAATGTCGAGTATATTCGCAAGAATAATGCACTCGAAACCCGCCAGCAAGTGTTTGATGCGCTTCTCAAGACACCATGGCTAGCAGTTGCCGTCGGCTTCTACGTTGGAACACCAATGTTGTTCCCGCTTGATCCTTGGCGCTCATTAACCTGCCAAAAGTACAATCCAAGTCGGGTTTATACACCCAGCGGCTCAGTTGGCCTTGGCGGCTCACTGGTGGCCATCTATCCCGTTGCTGCACCGGGAGGATACCAGCTAATGGGCCGTACGTTGGGTGGATGGGATGGGGCGGGAAATCGCCCTGGTTTCTCTGCTGAGCGGCCCTGGCTGTTCAACCATCTCGATTTGATCAAGTTCTACGAAGTCTCCGAGGAGGAGTACGACCAGATCGAGCGGGATTTTGAGACAGGCCGATATGTGTTTGACATTGAGCAAACGACGTTGGAGATGGACAAGTATATTGCCAAATTCGAAGCGGCTGCCAAGGATCCCGCGTATCAGGCCTGGAGGCAGCGTCAGGCTGAAGCAGCCAACGAGGTGGGAGAGCTTGAACGGAGTCTGTTTGAGGAGTGGACAGCGGCAAAGAGCGCAGCAAATGACGCGGCAGCTGCCGAGGGTGATGACGCTGATTCTGCCAATGTCGTTTCCATCGAGTCACCCATTAATGCCAATGTGTGGAAAGTGCTTGTGAAGCCGGGCGATGTGCTGGAAAAGGGCCAGACAGTGGCGGTACTCGAAGCAATGAAGATGGAAATCAGTCTGCTTGTCGATGAAGCTCAGGCTGGCGCTGTAGTAACAAAGATCAGACAACCGCCGGGAAGCGTAGTTAGCCCTGGGACCCCAGTTGTGGAGGGTCGGAGGCAAGATTGAGATGACTACATGCCTGTAGTAAAGAAGATGCTAAGAATTGAATCATATCAAGATATCTGAGTTAGATTGCTTAGAAAGGACAACCCGGGAAATTCCTTGTGATATGTCACCGAATTCACAGCCATCTTTGATAGATGTACTTGTAACATGCAGCACCGGCTAGTGGATGGTTCGCTCCAACCGGCTGAGGAACAGATAACACCCGTCACGTGCTTCGACCGGCCCGGTCTATCTATTCTCTAATCTCAGTGCTTTATCTTTAGCAGAGCGCTGAGTCTGCTACTTACATGTACTTGAATGATTCATTACGAATAAACTGTGTAATGCCGCTCTCATGACTCTCATTCTACACCGTCATATCCAGCCCGTATAGCTGTGGTTATATCTGATCGAATCCACTCCGACAGTTCATCTAGCCGGCCCCACCCATGTTGCATCATGAAAGGCCGCCCTCGGTTCCGTGTGGCTCTGTGCAAATACTGTAACAAGGAATTCAAGCGACAGGAGCACCTAGAGCGACATATTCGCACGCGTAGGTATCAGAAGCACGCAGCCACGTTGGGTTCGATGCTGAGTCCTGTCTAGACACTCGGGAGAGGCCGTTTGGTTGTGCTTGTGGCCGCACGTTTACAAGACTGTAAGCCATCGTCTTCCTTTTTGGAACGAACAATTGAGGTCTGACTATTTACCATCAGAGATCTCCTAAATCGCCATCGCCGAGTGTCTCAATGTTCAGGTCCGGCCGCAAACTTACCTCAAAACGCAGTTAGCAGAGGTCAAGAAGCCGATCCACCGCCTAAAATCATACATGAGACATGTCCAACAGAGCCCGCGGTAATCTCTCCCTCACTTTCCAACGACAGCCATGGGCGAATATCTCCCATTCCCTATAACCCTGATCCTGATGCTGGAGCACCGTTTGTATTTGAGCGCGTTAATCCCGAATTCATCATCCAGACACCTGCGACGCGGAATGCCATTGCAGAATCAACCAGCGCGATGAGCGACAGTGCATCCGCTGAGTATTCTCAGAAGCAGCTCATGGGGAAATTCTCAATACGCGACCTGAATCTACCCAGCCAGGATGAACATTCAAGCTACCTTCCCCGTGATAGCGGTGCTGCGGCTCGTAGCGACGTCAATATGGATAGAACCATTGAGGCTGGTTCTGACTTTGTACCGCTCCAGCTTTTCGATATTGACTTCCTTGCCAATGAACCGGACATGATAAGCGGGTATCTCATGGATGTATTTCCACCGATGGACTACCAACAGCCAATGATTGAGGATACATCCGACAGTTACATTGGTGGTTTTAAACCTCTTCCCACAGCTCTAGGTTCCAGTACTTTTGAGATGTCGACTCTGGAAACGACGCCATCACAAATCAAGACTCCTACGTCTCAGTTGATGTCAAGTCAGGCAAACCAGGCACAAGATACAATCGGCCGGTCACTCGATGACATTGACGACATCGCTGCAACGAACCCATGGACGGTGTCAGCGGCAGCGTACAAAAAGCTTACTGCTGAAGTTGAAAAGCACATCGGCGTGTTACCGGAACCGTTCACACTTCCCAGCCGGCAAACATTATCGAGAAATGTTGCGAGTTGGATGCGGAGCTTTCATCCTCATCTGCCATTCATCCATATGCCAACAACTTGCTTGGAGTTCAAGGCGCCAATGCTGGTGTTGACTCTTGCCGCTACCGGGTCATTCTACGGGTTTGAGCACACGCACGGCTATGCCATGTACTTTATCGCAAAGTCTGTTATTACTCATGAACTCGAGAAACGTCGCCGAGCCTCTACTTTGCACTTGCTTCGGACTTTCCCACGCTACGCCGGGCTTCCCCCTGGTTCCCCTGATGCAACCCGCGCGCAGTCTTGGGAGACGCCCCAACCCGCAACGTCCGGTCTCGTAGATATTGAATTACTGCAGTCCCTGTTAGTGCTTGTGCTTACCATGTCTTGGCTTGATGGGCCGCTTGCACAAGACGCACTCGCCATGAGCAGTCAACTTACCGAGCTGACTCGCGAAGCGCTCAAATATCCTGTTACAGAAATTGCAGCGGAAGACTGGAGATCTTGGGCTCGTGAAGAAGAGAGGCGACGTACTTTATTCTCTGCTTACTTTGTCATCAACATCCTCACCATCTGCTTCAACGTGCCGCCCCAAATCACTAGCTCAGAGGTCAACATTCCCCTTCCATCCTCGGAGGCAGAGTTCAAAGCCCCCAATTCCAGCGCGTGGCTTAGCTTGCGGCAAAAAAACAACTCCCGTCAACCAGACTTCCAACTCTCTCTTAAACAGTTGCTATCTGGGAAGCCGCTTGCCAAAGAGGACTCAGCCACAGAGTTCGGAAACTATATGCTTGTTCAAAGCCTGCTAATGCAGGTGTATTTCGAACACCAAGGAGCGTCTGCGGTATTAACTTCATCATCGAGCCTGTCATCAGCCACTATTTCACTCTACGAGAATGCCTTTGGCGCCTGGCAGTCATGTTGGGATTCAGCTATTGAGTCTGCTCTTGATCCAAATTCTCCTCATGGCCCCTTGGCGTTCAATTCTACCGCCATTCTTCGCTTGGCTCACGTTCATCTCGCAGCTGGCCTCCAGAGCCAGTGCGCTCTCCGTTCACGCGATCCGAGGATTGTTGCCCAGGCATTTGAACCACAGCAAAACCCCATTCCACTCCGGTGCCCTCATTTAGATCAGGCAGTTTTTCACGCCATTTGCGCATTGAGGATACCAGTGAGGGTTGGAATAGCGTTTGTCGCGCGCGGCCGAACCGGACATTGGAGTGTTCAGCACGCCATTAGCAATTTTGCATGTGCGCTCCTGCTCAGTCACTGGCTTGAAAATCTCTTTCACTTGGTATCTTCTCATGGGCTTGGAAGTCTTCGAGATGAGGAGAAGCGGCTGCTCTCCATCGTCGAACGGCTAATTGAGGAGACACATCTGGAGGGCTCTCTAGGCTCAAAAGACGATTACCCTCGCCGTATCCGACGTCTGGCTATTGCTGCATTAAGACTCTGGGCAGAGACATGCAAAGGGATCCAGGTATTTGAGATTGTTCATGTGGTGGGGGAGACACTGTCTCTTGTTGCGGATTCATTGGAAAATCGCCTTCAGCTTGACTGATTTGATACTGTTTAATAAGCCACGTTTGTCCACGTATTATACAACCACTACCGCCATAATTCTCCCTACCACTTGAATCCCCACCGGTTTTCATGATTTCAGAAAAGGGAAAAGTAAAAAGAGAAAAAGAAAAGGTTAAATGAAGTCCCATAGATGTGTATGAGTCGAATCGAAAGAAATATACCACTTCTAATTCTCAATTTCGTCGCACCAAACAGTTTGTTCCATCGGCTTCCATGAGCTAAGAGAAAACCAAAAGTAATATAATACAAATGAGACAGAACCAGCAAATGATTTCCCATAGATGTCTGTGAATCAAAATCGGAAAAGACAAAAGAATTACCACTTCATGGTCTTAGTTGCGCGAGCCAGTCCGTACCATCCATTTCTATGAAGAATAGAAAAGACTGCAATACTACTGCATGTATTAATGCACTTCAACAACTTGTTTTTTAAAAAAAAAGCCCACTTCCTTCTCAACGCTTCTTTTCTTCTTCCTTAATTCATTCTCGTGAGCGATTCTTTCTCAAAGCCTTCGCAGACTTCTCTGCCGCACCCAAGCTTCACAACGAGATGCGTCATTATCTGGCATAGACTTCAATCTTTATATTATCCCCCACTAGGTATCACATTCAAGCTGAGTCTAACACCCAGAATACTTTTCATTTTCCCACATTCTGATCACTGTTTCTAATCTTTGCTTGAAAACGAACAGTCTCTTGGCTCGGTTTAACTCGACCATCATTATACTCCCCAACCAAGACATCCAAGAGACTCGCCGCCAGGATTATCATGGGGTCCAACCCGAATTCTCAAGGCCCCCCCAGCGCAAATGATCGATCCATATTAGAATGGGTTTGCGTTAATGCCTCAAGATGTTCAGGTATACTGCCTACACCACCAGCGCCACTGCCTCCCAACGATTGATCGAGAGAGAGGCCCTAAAAGTTAAATCTGAGAAAACCTCCCCCCGAAATGTTTTCAGGCATTGGAAGACTGAAAAGAATTGAGGCAGAAGCTTCACGCATCAATGGGCCTTCTTTTGAGGCAGAAGGAGAGCTAGATAGGCCATCTCTCATCGCACTCTCTATCATGAAGAGGCTAGCTGATGCTCCTCCCATGGTATGCGAACACTGGAAAAAGATGTCAATGGTGTTAAGCAACACTCCCTCTGACTTTCATACCATAAGCACGCTGGCAAAGTGGCTGGAATATTGCCTGCGACAAGAAGAGATGCATTGGAGCAATGTCGACTCATTTGGAAACGGCTTGACACTGGAAAAGTTATCAGCTATGGATTTCAATGAAATACTCGATAGCATATGCATCCTATCAGGAATAGATGCAGGAGACAAACACCCAATTGAAGCAATGCAAGAGTCATTCATGGAGTTCGCTATCGATTGTATGGCATTGCAGAGTATGCAGGAGAGGCTGAAAGACAGCTTTTTGGGACGTCCCATTCAGCGTGGAGGTCCCACTACTCTAGAGAAGTTTGGACAGAGATGGCAGTCTGTCATTGAAGAGTTAGGACTAGGAAAAATGGGGGCACCGATGAGAGTATATCTGGGGATGCTGGGAGAATGTCTTGACCCGATGACAGAAGATTCTTGCCTACACATTGAAGCATCTACTTCCGAAGGTGCTGGATCCAATGACGCTGGTTCAAAAGACGCTGATTCAGAAAACGATGAATCCGTAAACGACGATTGCGAAAACTATGGTTCCAGAGACGACAATTTCGAAAATGCTGGCTCTGATGATTATAACTCTAGAGCTTCTGACACCAATGCTCAAGAGTCACTCTCTTCACTATCATCGCTTTCTTCTCTAGATTTTTAATCTTCCTCTGAGATTCGAGAGCCACTTGAACTTGAAGCCTTCGAGTCATTTCAAGAAATCGTTACTGGTGCCATATCAGGACACAGTGACAATTCCGGGGCGCTCGCTCCACTCATTGCTCCAACCAGGTCATCTGCTTCTAAAAGGAAGCGCGACGACGGCGATGGCACCGACGACGAGGAAGTATTTGTAAAGATAAGCAAGTATTAGGAGACGTTAAAAAAAAAAACCAAGTGGGAGGGCTGCAAAAAAAGGGAGGAGGGCTGCAAAAAAAGGGAAAGAGTGTCATCAGGTTCTTCTCCTCATTCGGCTATAAGTCAGGGAGGGCCTTGGATTGCTGCGATTTTTTGCTGGATATATCTTTCTTTGCTTGGGACATTATGGTCATCCATCGGGCCAATTCTTTTAAGGGTATTATGAACTGGGAAGGAAGTTCTCACGCGTTAGGCGCAGTCCTCTGCACAAGATAAAAGGAGTATCATCACCACAGGGCACATATATTTGGAGGAAGAAAAGGCTATCTTGAGAAATGGAAATTTACTTTTTTATATTTGCGCGCTGCGCGTATCTGGTCACTTTTCAGACGTTGCACTCCTGACACAAAGACTATATCTAAAGCTGATCTTTCAAATTTATTAGGCTTAGAGCCATAATCCTTTGCTAAATAAAGAAGAGGAATATTAAATTGGGGGCTTTGGTGAAAAAGGAGTCTATGTCAATGTGACTCTACTGCACCTGCGCCTAATTATATCCTCTCCCCCTCAGTTCTCCTCCAATTAGTAATTTATGATCACATCTAAACTTCTAGTCACCTTTATTGCCTAGCCACATTCGAGCTCAGTACCTTTGATGTTCTATATTGTTCTCCTGGTCTCTTTACCTTTCTCATGTGATCCCAGTTTGATCCTTCACAAAGAGAGAGCGAGAGAGAGTCCGGAACAGAAGATACGACGCGAGTCTATAATCGAATAGTCTGTGCATGTTCCTACACTTGTGAAACCCGACCGCAATGCCATCAGTGAATCTAGGCACAAAAGCATGTTGAAAATAATAATTTGATGTTCGCAGACTGGTGGTGAATCTGAATGCTTCAATTAGGGATAAGTAACCAATTAAGAAAGGCCGGATTAGGCTAGCGCCACCCGGAAAACTAGTAGCGTGGCACAACCTCCACACAGTACTACTCGAAATTCTCACAAACAAATCATTCTTCATATGGAGTGTTTTTCCCATTCCCCACCAACAAATGAATCTGAATGGTCGAATCGTATAGCGGTTAGTACACATGCTTCACACGCATGAGATCCGGGTTCGATTCCCGGTTCGACTACATTTTTGCCTGAATCCGCTCACACTGATCCAAAAAAGAATGTCCCGGCTTGACTACAAATTTTTTTTTTTACCCACCTTAGCTGCTTGGCTGTGAACTTCACTCGGTATACCCTGTTGTATTGAGGTATTCTTTTTCATTTTGCGGTCTACTTTTAGTCAATCTGCGCAAAAATAATTCTGCGAAAATGGCTTAATCGCCACCAAGCGCTGCCTCTATCTCAAACTGTCACTTCGTTGATGTTTTATGGCTCTCGACAGATTCACGCGTTGTTAAGAGAAATATTCATGCTCAGCTACGTAGAGCACCAATAGTTCGGGTTAGCGATAGCCTCATTAAAGGCTTGCAGGGAAAGAGCTTCGTTTTTGGTCACAGGCTTTACAGTTTGTCCATAACGAAGCGCTTGTGCTGATTTCAGCGTTGAACGGCCGCTGATAGACAGTGACAGAGATAATCCATTGAATATTATTGTAAATAGGCTTCTAATGCTCTCCCCGGCAACCTATTATTTAATGGCCTTTAGGTTAGCTAGTATTATAAATAACAAATATGGGATAGTTGAACTTCCTGCTATTTATATATTCGGCTTAACTTAAAAATTATTACCTTAAAAATTAAAGCTAAAGTGTTAAGCTGCACCTTTAATATATTAAAGTTTAACTAAAGTTCTTCTATAAGAACTGGGCCAGTTATATATATAAAGTACTTAACATAAGCGCCTGAGATTTTAGGTTGGGAGCGTATTATAAAGTTGGGGTCTGCCTCACGCCGAGCTTCATCTCCCCCATCATTCCAAGTATTGTCAATGGCCACATTGCCGCGCGGGTACACAGTCAGAACTCCATGTAGATTGTGTGTTTGCCTCGGTCTGCGGGGGGCGTCAGGGTGAAACTGAGAGTGATCATACATATAACGGGCTCTGGGAAGTACTTTAATGACCTTCCAGGCATCCCGTTGTACTTGTGTTGTAGTCTGATTGGGTTGAGTCTGAACAAGGTCATTGCCGTTGTCATTCCCGATTGTATGAATTGCACCCTGCCCCCCAGGGTAGACAAGCGACAATGTTCCATCCCTGAGTTCGGATATCAACATGCCCTTGTATGTTATGGTGTGTACTGGTAGACCACTCATGTTGGTCAAGAAATTCTCGCGTCGGAGTGCCAACGGTAGCAAGCCTAGAATAAAGATTAGTACTTGCGAGGATAATGAGAGTATGTATCCATACGGGGAGATACCTTCAACGAAACAAAACAGTCGGGAAGTTGGGGCCGTAAAGACGCTTGATTAAGAAGTCGTAGTCGCGAAGGACGTTGAATATATTGTCATAAGCCCCAGGGATAAAATAAAATCCTCGCAAGGAAAAGAAAGAAGTTCTTTATGCGAGTGAACAGTGAGGATGAAAGAAGAAGAAAAAGAAGAAGAGTGAGTGTAGAAAGTCTTGCAGAAGTGGGAGCAACGCTACTAGTAGGTAAAAATTGCCGATAATGCAAAAAGTTTACAGTCTCTCCTGTAGCTCACCCGAGTGCTATTTCGACGAGTGAGTAATGCGGTCAGTACCATTGACCACCCGAAAAAATGTATGGGTGACTGTGGTCACTTTCGCCTTGGGTTCTCAGTCTCCCCGCGACTTTTCGTGTCAGCGGGGGCCAACTGACAACTGACAGCTTGGTCCCGCAACAATCTGATCTCTGGGGTCGTACTACGGCCTTTGACGCCTGACGCCAGCAGTAGGTAAGGTAAGCAATAACCAAAACCTGCCTCCTCTAAGTCCTGCCTAGGAGCGCCGTTAGCTTGTGAAAAAATCGTGTTGGAAAAAATCGCTGAAGCTGCCGGCGGAAATCTAGGAGCGAGAAATGCATATGCCAGTACAGGGCGGCAATGCAACCTATTTTCCCCTAAAAAAACAGGCCAATTCAGAGCTCTGTACAGGTGTTAATCAGCTGTTGTCCGTTCGAATGTTTTTTTCTATATCCTGGGTTCTATCCTCAGCTTGCATAGTACCGTATAACTAATAAAACTAAGGGCGGCCCGGCGGCCACAGGTCAAGCGACATTCGTGCGACTAAAAGATAGAACAAAACATGTAAAAGCCGTTGAGAAGCCTTGCGCCGTATAGCGCCGCTTAGAATAGGAGAAAAAGAACATGCATTCCTATATATTTTCCCACGCCTTCTCTTTACTCCTTACGCCCTGTCTTAGCCCATTGCCGCAAATCATTCTTCTTAATCTTGCCTGTGCTTGTCTTGGGCAGCTCCTTGACAATCTCCACCTCTCTTGGCACCATGAATTTGCTAATGTTGCTCTGATGCTTGGCCCAATTGATGACGTCCTCGCCAACCAAGTTCTTCCCCTCCTTGACTGTTACATAGGCCTTGGGTCGCTCACCCCAGTGGGAATCAGGAACGGATACGACGCCGGCTTCGAGAACGTCAGGATGCTCAACGAGCATACTCTCCAGTGCCACCGACGAGATGTTTTCGCCACCAGAGATGATAATGTCCTTGGCGCGGTCCAGAATCTGAGCGCTGCCATCGGGATGCCATACAGCCAGGTCCCCTGAACGTAGAGCGCCTCCCTCAAACAACTTGCGGGTGGCCTCGGGGTCTTTGTAGTATTCCTTTGCACAGAGATTTCCAAAGAAGACAATCTCGCCAATTTCTTTGCCGTCCTTGGCCACATCTATCAGCGCGCCGTTGGGTTGATCGGGCTTGACTATTCGAATGGGAAGACTGGTGATGAAGCCGTGGCCTTGGCGGGCCATTTTGGCGTACTTCTCATGTGGCGGAAGATTATCCCACTCTGGCAAGATGTAGCATTTGGTGAGCGGGCCATACGTCTCTATAATTGAGGTAAGTAAGCGAGTACAAGAGCGGGATGAAAGAGTCCAAACACTTACCAGTCATTCCATAGACATGAACCGGAATGAGATTGAGGTTGGTCTACTCAGAGGGTTAGCTGGTTTCTGTAAGCTCCTAGTTTTAAGATATACGCACCATTTGCTCAAAGAGGTGGCCGCTTGGCGGACTAGCCGCGACCGTTACTCGGACCTCTTGCGGAAGCCTTTCGGCCTCTTTTGCTGCTACTAACAGAGTGTTGACTGTAGGGGCCGCATTGAAATGCGTAATGCCCTGCTCCTTTAGAAGCTTCCATATCAATGGGTAGTCAATCTTTCTCAAGCAGACATTTACGCCGCGCACTGCGACAACGGCCCAAGGAAAAGTCCAGCCTATGGCGTGAAACCTGTTTGGAAATTCCATCGTTAGCCAATTGATCTGATAATGGTGGACATTTGAGATATTTGGAGGATTTACATGGGCAGAGTCCACAGATATTTGCAGCGGCCATTGTTAAGTCCTGATTCAATGATGTTGCCCATGGCGGCAAGATATGATCCGCGGTTGGTGTAAACAACACCCTTGGGACGAGATGTGGTGCCCGAAGTAAAGGGAATAGCAATCATGTCATCCTCGTTGGTGGCGTGCGCATGGAGGCCGGCCCAGCCTGTGTTTCCAGTCGAGCGATCATAGTTTAAACCCTCCAAGACAGCTTCATCAAAAGGCCCGCATAGTTGGCCCTCTGTGGCATCGGTATCCTAGGGAACATGTCAATAATGCGATGAGCGGCGAAAATACATCAGGTGTAAAAGGCAGCTTTACCGAGTCAATTATCAGGGGAATCTTCGGGTGCCTCTCCTTGAACAGGTCCAAAAGGCCAACAAACTCGTGGTCGACAATGATGCTATCAACTTCGGCAAACTCGAATATGTAAGCAATGTCATCTGGCTTGAGTCTGTAGTTTGCAGGCGCAATAACACCGCCCGCGGCCGGGATGCCGTAGATGGCTTCGAGAAAAGCCGGCGTATTGGGTGCGAGAACACCAACGCGCTTGAAGCCGTGCTTTTTCAAATAGTAGGCCAGGCCTCTGGCGCGATCGGCGAATTCCTGATAGGACCGGTGCAGTATCGCGCCATTAGAGGTGATGTGAAAGATAGCCTCGGCATTGGGCTCGATAGATGCGGCGCGCTCCAGGAAGAAGGTTGGCGACAGCTGGTGGATGTGAGGAGGCGTGGAGTGCTGGGGAACGAGATGGCCGAGAATTGAGCGGATGCGAGACGGTGGGCCGGACATGATGGGCAATTGGGCGATGCAAGACGAGATATAAGAAGTGCGAGTTGAGAAGCGAGGATGAGGCTCTGGATATCGCCGGTTCAAGGGAAGAGACACGCTCGCAGTGGAGGATTTGAGAATAGAATGAGCGAGAACAGAGACACGGCTTAAAACAGGATTGGATTCATTCACCGCGGCGCAGGAATATGGCAGTGGCCATGCAAGACGAAAAAAGAAAAGGAGAGGGATTAAGGGATAAAGAAGTGGAAAAGAAATCAGCTTTGTCTTTAAGACATGCTCGCAGCTTGTCCTCGGTCCAAGAGCCCCGGTCCGGAGCGCGGCTCTCAGCGCTGCGATGCAACTCGCGGGACGGCACGGCTATAATTCAGACTGACTAAAGGCCCTGTAATTGCTGGAGCTGGAGCCCCGATGGGGAAATCTGGGGCCTCCGCATTTTGTCGGATCATGCCAGCTTAGCACTGTTTGACTGTACTCCGAATACGCCGTGCTGAGACGCCGTGATACACACGGTACTATTAGTGCATGGCTGGAGAATGACTCGATGCTGTATCACGTAATATACATGCAATGCGCTCTTTATTAGTATTCGGAATATTAATTTACTTTCCATCTTTGAATTGTTTTCTATAAAGACTACAGAGATAGAGGGTATCCGAGACATGTCGTCTACGGTCCGTCAATACAGTTTGCCAGGCCGCCTGTCAGTTTGCTGCATCCGGAGGCTGCTTGTGGCGACAGCGCCTAATGTTAGGGTGGTGCGTGCCTAGCATTAGTGCCCCATCCATGCCTCATCCATGCCCGCAGATCTTGTGTCGACTTGGATGGGAGTGATCAGGGTTGGGTGGTATTTGCCATTTTGTATAGAGCATTGGTCCAGATTAATAGCTGAATGTGCACCTCAAGACGCTTACAAGCTTACCTGTAATATGCTCCATATCCTGGCTCAGCGTCAGTAAGACGGCTGTAGTACCCAGATCAGACTGCGGCTTATCGATACCGGGCGATAACAGGGTGGGGGCTCCTCTTGTCCGCCCGCGGCAGGCAGCTTTTGGTGGCGCCGCATCTGAGCTCATGCCAATCGTCTCGAGCTTCGTCATCTTCTCTGCTCTTCCACCTATCGCGGGTACCGCTTCATCCGCATTGGCCATTGCATCTTGTCTCGACATTGCCTTGTATTGTTTCCAGCAAAAGGCACCGCAGCTTTCCAATCCCATCAGCTGCAAAGGCATCCATTTGGCATCTCGGTTCAAGCATCTGCCGTCCCGCTATCGTGCATCTATCCGCAACCCAAAATACTCCGCCGATCTAGAACTCCCATCCTCGCTCAACCATCGACGAGGGCATTTGTACGACTCTGTTTTCTTCAAGCAAGCGACCTACGGATGCTGCTCTAGCTAGCCATATCAAGTACGTACAAATGTGTCACACATATGAAACTCTATCAAACCCCTAAGGACCTACCTTGCTAGTAGTTTAAGCTGCTGCTTCAGCCCAAAGCTCTCTCCACGTCTTCTACCTTCTACGAGAGCATGGGTGGCATGTTCTCTTATAAGCTGCTCTACCCATCATAACTCTCTTGTCCATTTTCTTGTGTCCTTCAAAACTACAGAGCCATGCCCATCCGGAATAATAGCTCACCGTCAGTCTTACAGCAGCTCATGGCTTCTCTTCCATCTTCCGATACTCCTCCCGCTACTCGACCAAGCCCAGATAGAGTCGCTTCCTACTCGAATCAACTCAATTCGAATTCAAAAAACAGTATTCCGACTCCCAAGAGAGCGCATACATTCCACTCGCCGTCACCTTCCGAGAAGAATAAAGATGCCGGCTCTAATACCGAAACTCCCGACACATTCGACACCACCGAGAACAACTCCGACAATGAAGAATTCCCAGAGATCACGCGAGCGTCGATCGATCTCGACGATCTTCCAATCGAGCTGATTACCTTGACTGATAGGTGAGGCGATAAGATCTGCAAACAACGCAAAGATAAACAATGGTCTGACCAGCTTCTCTAGCTTCGTGGAATCGCTCTCCGCCAAAGTGCACTCTACTCCACCCAGTATCGCCAAGCTGTCCCAGCTCTTTCAGGATTTCTACGCTCAGGCATCATCCAACATTGCCACACACATTAGCGCTCTTGCCTCACGCCAAAGTCGCGAGAATTCACAACCGCCGTCACCGCCTTCCGTCGCCAGCCGCCTTCGATCAAAAGCTGCCTCGCTAGGCTCCAAAGACAAATCAAAGGCAGAGGTCGAACAACAGATGATCACACCCGAAGAGCTAGCAAATCGCAAGAAAGCAAGGAAAGCCCTTGAGGCGAAACGAAGCCTTCTCGAGGAAGCTGTAGAGCGGAGGCTTTGCGAGGGTATCTATGACCGAATCTATCGCCACAGGAGCACGCAAGATGAAGCTCAGGATGCAAAACTCAGATCTAAAACTGCTGCTCTGTCCCTTGTGGGCATCGGACCGTCTGATCTTGGAATAGACTTGGGCGAGGGGGAATCAGAAGCTGAAAAATCTACAGCCGAAAAGACGGAAACAATACGAAACCAACTGGAGCCGGCAAGAAAAGACTTGATTCGAATGGGCGAATCGAGGTATCCACTTGGAAAGTTGAATCGTTTGAAAGCTGCGCACAAGAGTATCGTTGATACACTTGCTCAATTTCACCCTTCTGCTTCAGCGGACGAAATTATGCCCATGCTCATTTACACCTTCATCACGCTACCTCCCGAGCACCTTCACGCCATAAGCGATCTCAATTTTATCCAAAACTTTCGATGGGAGCAGAAGCTTACAGGTGAAGAGGCTTACTGCCTGACAAATCTTGAAGCTACCATCAGTTTCTTACAAACCGTTGATCTTGCCACTCTAAGAGAAGACGAGCGCCCATCAGGGCCTGCAAAGACGCCTGGTCTGCCTGGAACGCCCAAAGTAGAGACATTTCCGCCAGCTTACTCTCAGGGATTGACAACCTCACCGCAAAGCACAGCTGCAGTCAGTACTGAAAACGCCACGGCCTCCAAGCCGGAATCATCGCCCGCGAGCCTCAAGCCTGCCGCTTCAACCATAAAAAATCGAAGATTGAGTGACTTGGTCAATACCCCTGCTCAAGCCTTTGGCGCTGCTAGTGATGCCGTTTTCACTACAGCCGATCAAGGGCTGAAAACCATCTCAAACAGCCTCGGTGAGAGCTATAGCTTCCTCCTCGGCAAGCTTAAAGAGCGCCAGGAGGACCCCAAGGAACCTATCGCCGTTCCAAAGACTCTGGATGAAGCTCGCAAGCTCGTCAGCACTCCACCTCCTGAAGACGAAGAGAACGTCGCAGCCATAGCTGGGCTGGAGTTGGATCTACCGAAAAGGCGAGACGAACGTGTATTGAGCATAATCGGCGGCCGTCGCGATCATAGTACGGACAGCGTTCGCAGTGGCCGAAGTGGCCGAAGTGCGAGCTCTTCAAAAAAGGTCCTCTTCCTAGACGACCAAAAGGCTGGAGCAGCAAGTACGGCGCCAGCACCACAGAGTCCGGCAATGTTGGAACAAATGCGAAATCTGAGTAATTCATTCAATCCGATGGCGCGGTTTTCTGGCATCAGCTTGGTCCGAGGATTCGGTCGAAACACGTCAACACCAGCAGCTCCGCCCGCAAAGGACAAGGACGCAAAGGACACAAAGGATGCCGCAACCAAAGATGCCAAGGATACCTTGAAACCCACAGATGGGGGAGATTTAGCAACTGTAAGTCCATTTTCCCTCTCAGCTCCCTTTTGTCTAAATGCTATCTTCGATCCGTCGCTAACTGCTAGAATCAATAAAGGCATTCCCCGACATTGCGGATGTCCTACCACCAAAAGAAATTCCTAAAATCAGTCCTCCTAACAAACGATTTATCGAGCTTCAAAACCCGGGGGAATTGAGGCTCAGCGAAGTATTAGACCTACTGAAAGATTATCGACGCCTGGCTGGGGCATTGAAGACTATGGGCGCATTTGAAGACAAATAAAGACAATCCTTATAGAGGCGGCATTGTTGATTACATCTGTATCATGTCCTCTGATTTATTTATTTTATTTTTGGATAAATCTCTTTCTATTCCTTTATATTTCGCCCCTTTCCTTCTCTATGCTTTTGGTATACCCCAAACATAGGCGATAGTGGGAGGGCATATATGGACTCATTCATTACACGGCAGCACGGATATAGAGCAGGCGTTATAGCGAAAATACAAGAGACCGGCTACTCGAGCCACTTTCCTGAGAAATGTTTCTTCTTAATGACCATAAATACATTATATAATCAAACCGCTGTGACAAAACTGTTGCTACTTGTGATTGTGCAACAGAAAAAGCGCCTCTAAATGCGACCCAGTCATGAAAAAGTGCAGTGTGCTGTTGTTTTCCACATGTGGATTCTTCGTTAAAGATAAATAAACAAAAACCTCCTTGATCACTCTTGCTAGTCCAGTCGCCTTGAGCAAGCTACCTAGAGAATCTCTAAAGGTCGGAGGAGGGATGCATGAGAAATATTCTCGTGTCAATAAAGATATACGGGAGGAAATGAAGCTGTTTTTTTTTTTTTTTTGACAGCTTTGAAAGAAGTAAAGTTGGATTAAACCGTTTTTTATATCCACGGGTTCTTCTAAAAGGCAGACGACTCTGTCCGTCTCGGTTTATTCGGCGGGAGATCGGAACTCGAGATTTGTTCCAACTCGTCATCTTCTTCTCTCGGGGGCTCTAAGTGAGCATCGGAGGGCTCTGAAAGGGCATTTGTAACATCCACAGACTTGCTCCTTTGATACGCCTCAATTGATCTCCCTCTTGGTCGTCCGAGATGCTCGGGTGGGACAACCGGTCCCGGGTGCAACAATTTGGATATCAAATTGCTGTTGGCTCTTTCACGACTCCTGCTGCGACTCTGTCCAGTAGTTGGCTGTCGCTGCAGACCCGTTGCGGCTCCGGTGGATACGGCAGTGCTCGTTCGAGCAAGTGTGGCGTCAGCTTCTTCTTGCTCCCTCTTCAGTCGTGCTTCGCTCGGAAGGATCACGGCTCGATCAAGGCCATATGGTAGACCACGATGGCGTCCACGAATTTGCATTGCCACGATGATCAACTTGCCAGGCACAGAAAATTGTGAACACAGAGATGCGTTGACGTTGGGCACGCCCATGCTCAGACCCACAGTTCCATAGGCACTGACAATCTCGAAGAGGACAGAAAATAAATCAAATCGGCCTCCTACAATCTTTCCGCCTTCGGTAATAGCGAGAAGGAAGAAGCCCAAAAAGACATACCACAAGTCAAAGGACAGTTGTCGTCGCAAGTGAGTTCCTACATAATCAAGGGCGCTTGCTTCAGCGTCAGGGTCTTCTTCGGTCCGATCATGGTACACGCCCAAAGACTTTTCTTCATAGACGTTTGTTCGTCGAATAGAAATGGCGATGGGGAACACGGAGATGTACATCATGATTAGGTACAGAACTGGCATGGCGGGGTGGAGCTCAGACATGCTGACGGCCGAGAAACCAGCAGTTCGAGTAGAAGCGGCTTGGAATAGGCCAATAACAACACGGTTGTGGAGTGGCAGGGCAGTGATGGGTTCTGCTCCAAGCTTCGGAAATGTTAGCACTATAGCCCAATACCAAGCAACAATCATCCGCATATACAAGGAGAAACAAGACTTACATCAAGCACAATAAAGAAGAGCAAGTCGATGGCGTTGAGCAGGATAAGGATCCAGAACAGCCACCATGTCGCATTCGACGGGAAAAGCAAGGTAAAACACCGACGAGGGTGATCAAGCAAAAATCTGAATTCTTCCCAAAGGCCGGAACCCTTTGGGGTAAGTTTAGAAGCGGCCCATATCATAAAGCGCAGCATCACCGGGAAGCCAGTGTTTCCGATGATGATGAAAAACCACATGGACATCAGGATCCATTCGGACTTTGCAAATGAGTTCATGCTATCCGGTGTAAGGGTAAACCCTACATCCATAAAGGCCATGTTGGAGGTCCAAAACGCCCACCAAGTCTTGCCAATGGAATCCTCTGTAAGAACGTTTCCGTAATGCTGATTAGCAAGAATATAAGGAAGCAAGCATACGGCGCCGAGAATGTGGAACACGAAGAAGTAGAAGAGTAGCACCAAAGCCAAAGTTCTTAATGCTCGATATTCGATACCGCCAAGCTCTTCACGCTGTTCGAGTGTAAGACCGAGGAAGTTCGAGTTACGGCCCATGGTTGGTGTATAGCTAAGATATGGCATATCATCCACTGTCTTATCCCGAGACAGGACAGAGCGAATGGTGTCCATTGTCTTGGTTCGCACAGGGTGTGGATGTGGGGTCCTCGATCTTGGCCTGTGTTCTCCGTCTTCATGTACCTTGTCCTGGGAGCGATTGAGGAAGCGCGGCTTTCTGAATCTCAAGCTATCAACGGTACCGCCAATAGCTTTGGCATCATTTTTCAGCTCTTCTCGCCTAGGATGTTCCGGTTCAGTAAAGGTAATGGCTGTTTGTTGTTGGCCGTAGGGGTCGCTTGGTTCATTGATGCGAGAGTCAAAAGTTGCCTGGCGGGCAATTTGTTGATCGTCATCTTCTTGATGATCGCCTTCTTCAAGTCGTCGAGGCCCTAGACCCCTTTCAATATCTCGCGGTCCAGGAATATGGAGGACTTCATTATCTTGGTTTCGCTGCCTTTCAAGAATAGCAATATGCTCTGCATTAGGTCGTCGTTGCGGGAATTTGGTAGGATTATCGTCCACTCCGTCACTTCGCTTAACAGTGTCGGCAAATGTGATTGCTGTCGTGAGGTGTTGTTCCGGCGATGGAAAACCTGATGCTGTGTCGTTCTTTTGCCGACTTTGGTCTGCACCTGAAATATCTCTCCGGCGAGGCTGATCCAAGGGGCCGATATCTTCTTCAAGCTCAGCGCTTTTCTGCAGATCATCGGATGCCGTAGTCGTATCGCTTGCGTTGCTACTCGGATTGAGCTTGGGCTCGGCTTCCTCTATCTTATCCAGAAGAATGCCATCGTTGGTCATGCGCTGTGCCCTGGTATTCTCTGGCACAACGGTAATACGCCTTCCATTCACACCCAGTCCGTTTTCAAGTTGACTGAGGTCGTTTCGTGCCTTGGACTTTGATTTGCTGATGGTTCGGCGGCGTAACTTTGCCTCTTGTACCCAGTTCTGGAAGCGTTTCTCAAACCAATAAAGTCTGAGAAAAACAACACATCCATGCAACGTGATGGGATTTGAGAATAAAGAAAATGTGTAGATCCAAGACTGTTGGAATCCATTCAGGTTGTTGACATCAACAGGATTAAGTCCGGCTTGGGTATTTGCACCACTGCCAAACATGAGAGCATCTATAAAGTGAAGTTGTCCTTTGCCACCGGCATATATCAGAACGCCAGAAAGTAATGTTGCGAAAATAATCCAGAAGTCTAAGTGTTCAGCAGTCAGCATAAGAATGATCATCTGAAATCAGGGCTATAAATGGGTGCAAGTAGACCACTCACAGTGGATAGTAATGAAGTTGAAATGCGGGTGTTTTGTTAGTACGGAAGGCCTGACTCCCCTGAGCTGCGCCGCCACGTAGGCGCGAGCACTGTCGAACATTTTATCCGTTGTCAAAGACTCTAAGCGTGCAAGAAATATAGGCAGGCGACCCTACTCCAGAAATAGAAAGGAATATAAGAAAAGTGATTCAGAAACAGGCCAAACAAGCGCGGCGCTGAGGTGAGGTGATGGATAGGATGAGACCAGTGCAGCGTATATGGCTGTGGGTAAAATATCGTCTGAGTTGAGCTTTCTCTCAAGTAGCAAAGGCTAGTTGAAAATATGATCCTGGATTCTTTAGGCGTGAGTCCAATCAAAGGACATCACAAGGAATAGCGAACAAAAATGCATGATCGAAGGTAACGCAGGAAGCGAGACACGGCTATCGTGAGGCGACCATGTCTGGTCAGGGGCGCAACTCGAAGTCTGGGGAAAGTTGAATCCTGAGCGAACCAGGGGAAGCGCGCGTTGAACAGAGCCGAAAAAACGGCTAAGCCTTGCAAAATAAGAAAAAAAGGAGGGTCTTGAAGATGCCGTGCAGATGCAGGTACAAAGCCCCAGGCAATTACTGATAGCAGTACAAGCGGCAGTGGTATGCAGAGGAGAGCAAAGGATGGTGCGAGCTAATCGACGGTTTGCGAGCCCCGAGGCAAAAAGAAAACAAGGAGGCCTGGGCCTAGTACTATTGCCGGCGGGCAGCTTATCAGGAGCAGCGGTGCTGACGATTTTATGCTTGCGAGCACTAGTATCCTTGATTTCGCAGCGACAAAAGACAAGGATCCCACTGATAGCGCTTGAGAGATTGGCGAGGAGGGCGATCTTTATTGGCGGCTGCTATTGCGACTTGGTCCGGCGTGCTTGCGACTTGTCGATTGGCTTGCAGACGCCCTGATCAATGGCAAACGAAAACCGGATAGCTGGAGAAAGGTGTATTCAAAGAAAAAAAAGATGGTGAGGCCAGAAACAAAGCCCGAGTTTTCTCTGTGCTGTAGAACGTCGGCAGCAGAAACAGGACCCCGGGGTGCCCCCTTCTCGCTTTGTGTTGGCTCGTGGGCTGATGCGATGGCGCAGGCCCGTGATTCCCAGGCAGCGCGGACGGAGCAGCAATGCAAGGTTGCGGCCAGAAGAATTATCCCGGCCTCGTCGAGTCCCGCGGTTGCGGCCAGACGCCAAGCCCCTTTGGCGGCGGGTTGGACGTGGGAATTCGGGCTGAGTGGTTCGGAGCACGGAGGCTGGAGGATGGAGAACGCAGGGTGGACGGATGGATGGATGGAGCACAGCAAAGGCGCTGCCGTCGTCTAAGCCGAGGATCAACGACCTTTTTGGCTGCGTTTCCGATTCAATCGTGGGTTGGCGTCGCACTCGGTTTCCCTCGAGGGAGGTGATTGAGAGAAGACGAGAGGCTGAAGAGAAGTCGAGCAACAAAGGTCACTAGGAAGGGGGGCGAAGAAAATTGAACGAACTTGCGCCTCGTGGCACTCTTGCTGCTGCCATCTTTTTTTTTCTTGCGTCTATCCTTCCCTTCTTGCCAGCCCATGCGCAGACAGCTCTTGCCAAGAGAGGCTTAGCGCACTTAGTACAAAGCTTAGCCCAGGCCACTTTGCCTGACCTAAAACCGCCAGCAGCGTGTGTAGCGGGTCAGCGCTGCGCTTCGCACCAAGGCCGCTGTAAAAGCCACTACCAGGTATGTGAGAGCCACTATTACGGCCTTGATTCAAAGCAGCCCCAGCTCATCGGTACGAGTAATTCTGCTTGTATGGAGCTCTGTCGTCACCCAGCCAGTCCAGACTCCGACATTTCTTCAGGCGCAAGATGAAACCCCAAGGTGCAAGAAGATCTCAAGTCTAGCATCTAGATCTGCAGCATGCTAAAGAGCAGAATTGCACCTCAATTGGCTCTAGCAGCACCAACCACGAGGTACTAGGCCTAGGTATTACGTCTACGACGCCCAAAGCCCAAGCAGCATCACAATGACAGGAGCCTAACAAAAGCCACGCGCGTTCCAGCGCCCCAATTCTCTCCCCTGATCTCCTTTGCAATCAATGCCTCTGAAAGGGAGCTTGAGCCTAGGGGAAAAAAAACACGCGGTGGCCCAGAACGTGGCGACCGGCCCCCCCAAGAAACGCCGAACAGCGAAACACTGTACCAACGCAGTGCTCAACGATTTCTCCCCGAATCAATAAATGCCCCGTAGTGCCCGACGGCCATGCCGCGCGCAGCCGGGGTAGATGAGTGCTAATGGAATCTCCAGTCGTCAAAAATAGTGCTAAAAAACAGTGCTGCTATAATTACGTACGACCAAATCACTATACAGGTCTGGATCTATGATGCTGTACTGTACTGAGAAATAACTAGGTACATATACTACAATATAGTGTAATTGTCCTCATCACAGTCTCGTAAACAACATTAGGCAGCATCACGAAAACCAAATGTTACCAGTCACAGCTGACACTGATGTCACCCAACTCGTGCTCTTATCATCCCCCAAACTCAGACTTCTCAGTACACCACTGCCGATCCCCCCAGAATCCAAGCCCGTACTACGGACGTGTCATTTTGCGGCACTTTTCTTATACACACCACTCTGCCCCATTTCTTTGTGGCTCTCGTACAATGTAGCTGTTGCTGTGATAGCCTCTCGGCCGGATGCAACGTCCGGCTCTCTTTTTGTTTTTTCCTGGTCTGCTTCGTTCCATGGCCCCGGCGTTTCGCAGCAATGGCCGTTTTATTTTATCTTAACAAGCAAACACCAACGGCAAACATGACCCCCAATTGAGTAAACTAACTTGCAAGTACGTAGACCGATGAGGCTCCCCGACATGCATTTTTCGGAGTGATTAGGATGCTATAATTGGTAAGACATGACGCATGATGAATCCTAATCAATACTTTATCTCCCAACTATATCGGCCTCCATCGTTGTACAACAACGCAAGCCATACTTGACGAGCATCTCTGCAACAGGCATGTTCTAGAACCAAAAAGCTCCACGCTTCGTGCAACCCCGTCACTGCCCTTTCCACACATCACCAACACCAACGTCAAAGCTATCAATCCATCCCACCTACACCTGTGATACACACCCGTGCATCGTCGATAGATACGCTATATACGATGCACACGCCCACGGACATGCATACGGCCGTATCCCCCGTTCCAAATCAGTTCTCTTTCAAAGAAAGAATAGGAAAAGAAAAAGCAGCAGCTTTAGCCCATGCTCCCCAATCAGGCGCCAAGCCCACTCGGCCAGTGCTCCTTGCATCGAGCCCAGCATCATTCCGTGGGGTAGCAAGACAGATACCCAGGTCCATACACATGCATGAGGTTGCCATGTTCGCTTAGCAGTTCGTTCGCAAGACAAACCCTTCCAAAACAAGAAAGACAACTAAAGAGCAAAAATATCACACAATGGCCTTTCGGTCGGTGGCACATACATCCGTCTAGCTCGCCATTCTGCCTATCGCGGCTAACAGAGCAGTTCACGATGCCGACATCGCGATATGCAGCCATCGTGAGGAGGCGTGAGCATGTCTCTTATCCGCATCCAATAAAAATAATGCCTCTTGTTTTGGGCTCTTCCGTACTCACGAGATGAACGTTGGGCAATGCCGATCCAATGGAACCGATTCCCTGTAGACATTCCCCCATGTCTCGCCAACATACGATGGCTGTCACGAGATGCTTACTGAGATGACTGCTCACTATGCACGCATGCAACCACAGTGTGAAACAGCGAAATAAATGATAATGTTATATTTGATAGAGCAAACTAATTCGTCTAATAATGTATTTCATTTATGGGTCAATAGAGACCTTTTCGCTTCAACACAAGGTCCGAAACCAATAACGCCATTTACCCAGAGAGCAGCTTGCTTTCCGCAAAGCTGTCATATAGACCACAACGCCATGCACCATATGTAACATTCTGTCAGTGTCGGACCATCCAATCTGTAGTAGGTGTTTATAAAGATTGCCAAAAATTTGAACCGTGTGCTGGTTACATGCCTAAGCCAAGGCAGCTCGCCGAGCATTTTCTCGCCCAATCTTCTTGAAGAACGCGCTGCTCTCCTTCTTTCCTTTTCCTTTCTTGAAAGCAGCATTCATCTTCTTGTTCTGCTCAATGTAGGCCATGTCCTGTCCACCACTGAGCTCGCCCAGAGTGCCTGCCGTTCGGCGAGCCGCTCCCTTCTTCTTCCGCCCCATTGTACCACTGTGGAATAAATCGTCTGTGATATCTTCGTCATCCATTGTCTCGTTCTCGACTAGAACCTTCTGTAGAAGCTCACGCCGCTCAGTCGCAGTTGCAAAGGCCAATCCGGGCGTCTTCTCAATGTTTGCCAGCTGAGTGATGACTTTAAAGGCGTAGCCTTGGTCAACCAGAAAGGCTTGCCGCTTGGATGAAAAGTACATTTCCTGCGTATCTTTAGAGACTAACGAATAAAAAAATGCATTAAAGCCTTCGTCATTTCTACGCTTGGCTCTCAGGATTCGTCCGAGCCGCTGCGCCTCTTGACGTCGAGATCCGTAATGTGAGGATATCTGAATCAGGCACGTGGCCTCCGGCAAGTCCAGCGATGTATCGCCAATTTTTGATAGAAACAGCGTGTTGACCTGTGGATTGTGCTGGAAGTTTTCCAACACTTGCAGACGCTCCGCCTGTCCAGTGCCGCCGTAGATGAATGCTTTTCCCAACTTCAGGGCATACGCCTTCAAGGCGTACACGTTATCCGAGAAGACGATGATCTTGTCACCTCTTGATTCATGGTAGTTTATCAGATACTGGCAAGCCTGGAACTTGCGAGGGTTCATAATGTAGAGCAAATTCTTCTTACGCGATGGCGCTCGAAGATATTCGTCATAGAACTCGGTAGGCATTGGGCACCAGACTTCGGCGCATTGAACCCGCGCAATATGACCCTGCTTTGACAGCTCCATCCAGTTGGCCTCGAATAACTTTGGGCCGATGAGGAAGTTGAGATCGGAGATCTTGTCATCTTCTCGCAGCAGTGTGGCCGTTAAGCCTAGCTTGGAGTGAGTCTTGATTGACGAGGTGACCTTTCGGAAGATGTTGGCGGGCACGACGTGAACCTCGTCCAAAAGCATCAGACCCCATTCTCGCCCAGTGAGAAATCTCATCATCTTCTCGGCATCGTATGATCTGGCTCTAGATTGGGTGACCATGGAGTAGGTGGTCACTATGATACCGGTGCTTCCTGTGAAGACGCTGTTCTTGGAGTCCGATGTGAAGGCGACAATATCGTCTGGATTAATGTTGGACCATTTCAAAAACTCATTACGCCACTGCACGACGGACATGGAACTAGTACACAGCACAATGACGCCTTTCTTGATGGTGCAAGCTGCGGTAATGCCAACCAGCGTCTTTCCAGCACCACAAGGTAAGACAATCAGGCCGCTCTTGGCACGTCCGTTTCCGAACATTTTGCTGAGACTCTTCTCTTGATAAGGACGAATCTGGGTGCCGGGTTTAAGGTCGATGTCAAGAGTCGCGTTGACTTCGTCGCGTCGGAAATCGTACTCCTCGAGAACAGGGAACCCCAGATTGAGACATTCTTTCTGTACAGTCTCGACGTCTTTGTCTGCAATCTCAAAAGAGTGTGTGACTTCCTGGTCGTCGTCATCTTCTTCGCCCAGTCGAGCGAGTACGTCGCCCTCCTGGGTTGGTTGACCTTCGTGCGGTTGCTCGCCGCCGTTCGCCTGTTTGGCACCCGCAGCATTCTTAGTGCCAGGAATGACCAGGTTTCCGAGCTTAGGTGCTGCCGATGTCGTGATTTCTGCCGTTCCCTGAACGCGGAGAGGGCCGATCCTGGGGTTTTTGAGCAGCATCTGCAACATGTTGGGATCCGGACTCTCGACGTAGTACTTGGTGTTCTTCAAGACAAGTTTGACCTTGCCATAGCTTTGCGTACAGCTTTCGATGAAGGACCGAATTTCGACCGGCAGAGGCGTCTTGAGAAAGCGATCGAGAGTATTTATAATGTCATGAGGCGACAAGCCGACAGATACAGCGGCGTAGAGACTATGTGTAGTGAGGGCATACTCGTGCATGAACGTCGGGCGCGACAGAGGCTCGGCAATGGTAATGAGAAAATCTTGGGCCTGCTCCGCCAGCGGATTGAAGCTCTCGAGGATGATTCTACCCTTCTGAGGATCGATCCAAAGCGGCCGGTTCTGGTGATCTTTCTTGAGATCGAGATACGAGAAATCATTGCTACCAAAGATGTGTGGGAGAGGCTCCCGGATGTGGTGCTTCTTCTGGTACCGCCCCAGTGAGAAGCGATCTATATTCTTGTCGATATCCTGTTCCAGCTCTTCGTCCACGGGGGCGTCGTCCTCTTCCACCACCTCGTCGCCACTCTCGATGCTGCGAGGAGTCACTCCTCCTGGCGTCGACATGCGCGAGGACCGACCGGCCTTGAGCCCTCCCTGCACGGCGCTGGTGCCGGCCTTCCTTTTGGGAGGCATCGTAGATTCTGCTATTTCCAAGACTGTGAGCCGTAGCCGTCTGCCTGGCGAAAACAAGATGCGATCGTAGCGTTGTCAAAAGAAGGAGAAGTGGCGAGCAAGCAAGCCAGCGACTGGGGAGGAAAACAAGAATAAGGTTCCCGTCGTCTAGGCGGCGAACTTATTAACGGTCATTAACAACCCAGGTCACAGGTTGGATGCTGACTCATGAGCGCTAAAGCGCGCTAAGCCTCAAGTACCAAGGCGCTGTATTCCACTGGGCAGTCCAGGGAGGCGGATGCACTAAAGACACCCCGCCAATAGCGGCTGTTCTTGGGCATCTGAGAAATCAACCACTAAAGGCACGATAATCTTTAGCAGCTCCTGAAATCACATTCATCAAGGTGGACAGCACCGAAAGTTTGGCTCTCATTGTCTCTATTAGAAATAAACAACAGAAACAAATTGCTCTAAGCTGTAGCTTCTAACTTTACAATGTGGTACGTATTGAATACTACCGCACACCGCGAACCCGAAATATCGAGAAGCTCTCCTAATGCTAACCATGCGTCCAGCAAACATATTCTCAACGCCCAAGTCGCCATCCGGTCACCCTGCTGTACGTTACGATTTCTACATCACCCAACCACCATACGCAATGCCTCGGCTTGTCTCGATTTCTCTCAACCTCGTCTGCTAACATAACCCCGAACCTTGCCAGGCCGGAAATGGTTCGACTGCGCAGAGTGCCACCAAGAGCAGGAAAACCATCCTCTCAAGCAGAGCTTCGAAATGACCTTTGCCTGCAAAAAGTGCAAAAAGGTCTTCCGCAAAGACGCCCAAGAGTTTGACGAGAGCGACGAATACTGCCCGCACTGCGACAACCACTTCGTCCTCGAGGCCAAGACCCCCAAGGCCGCCTTGACCATTGAGGGCGACGATGTCCGAATGAACAACAAGTTGCTAAGGGACGAAAGAATAAAGCAGGATGGCATGAGGACCATCTTTGACCCAACACCAGACGCCGACAGGCTTGGCTGAGTGGCATGATACATTTGTGTTTAAGAAATAGCGGCGTTGCACGGCATCACAATAAATTGGAGTTCATTTTTCCCCTCAAAGATAGGGTGCAACTTTGTTTACGGCATCCCTTGTTCAGATCTGCAAATGTTGATACGGCATCATCTGCGCTCTAAGTTTGTTTGCATTCCAATAAATACCAAGTCCCATTTATTCTTTATTCAGCAGCAGAGTCCTCGCCGCTTCTCGTCAGAATAGCAGCGCTTCCAGTGCCTGGTGTCCGTCCCGTCTTCTTCTTGGCAGCCTCCTCCTGCTTCTCTTGTTCAATTTCCTTCACGAAGCCCTCAATCTCGTCCGTCGGCAGCAGCTCCATAGATGCGCCGGGGGCCATGAGGGCAATCTCAATGTTCTTGGCGCCTGTCTGGACGACCTCGAGAAGGGACTTGATCGCCAGTCTGATGGTAGCCTGTCTATCCATATCCTCCTTGTAGTTTCGCTCCAGGAACTCTCGAACCGTCTTGCTTGAGCGACCAATAGCGTTCGCTTTCCTGTAACAATCAAAGGGTTAGCCATTATAAAGGTGCATCGCGTGAGTGAGTGTCGTAGTGAGAGCTTTACCAGGCTGAGTAGATACCAGAAGGCTCTGTCTGGTACAGTCTGGGCACCTGACTGCCATTGTCAAAGCCAACCACCAGGGTACTGATGCCGAATGGCCGGACACCTCCAGCTTGTGTATAGCGCTGCTGCACACCGGCAACGTATTTTGTAATGTACTCGATCGTAACGGGGTCTTCAACCGACAATCGGTGGGATTGGGCTTCTAATCGTGCCTTGTCGACGAGGATTCGGGCATCTGCGTTCAGGCCGGCAAAGGCCAGAGCGACATGGTGATCCAAGACCTGGATCTTGGAAGGCGTAATTCGTGTGTCCTGCAGCTTCATCGCAGACCTCTTCTCGCATCCTAGCACAACCACATCCTTGCCTTTGACGCCGACAGCGCATGTACCTATCCCGAGAAAGTCAGTCGAGGTGGGGGTGGGAAGACGGCCTTGCAGTTGACGGACCTCTCTTCACAGCTTCGCCGGCATATTCAACCTGGAAAACATGTCCGTCGGGGCTGGAATAGTGTCAGATGGGGGGTTCGAGGGCAAACGCGGCTGCAGCAGCACAAACCTGAAGACTGGATGCAAGAACAATGTCAGCAGAGGTATCAAGACCAGCCAGAATGCGGAACAACTTACCCGACAGAGCTCTGTCGTAACCAGACGCCATGGCCTCGAATTATTGGCTGTGAAATTGAAAACGAAGCAATTCTTTTCGCTCAGGGCCACAGAATGCAATCTGGTGGCAGGTCAATGCTGTGGAAGATGAGGTTGCGGATCTGCTTTGATGTCGATATTGGGGGGTCGATATGCTGGTTCCAGCGGAGCTTCGTCAGAGTGGCAGCCTACCTTGCCTGTCTGTGGCGGTACGTTGGAAGGCTGGAGCTGGAGCTCCCTGGCAGCCGCGCTGGGGAACGGAGAAACGTGATGGCGGGCGACAGTACGTACATTGTTATGTGGCGCACGTGTGGCTTGATTGGACGGATGAGCTGAGGATCACGTGACGCCGCCACTTTGTGGTATTCCTGTGCACTTACTGTCCAGGCATCAAGTGTTTGTTTATTCTAACTCTGCTGTGCAGTACTACTACAAGTAGGTAGGTACTAGTAGTAATCTAGATGCATGTACTTGCTCGCGAGGTTTGAAATTATTAAAAAAATTATCTTTTGCGATTTTGAAACGCAGATACTCAAGTTAGGAGATACATGGGGTCAAAGGACCCATCCTGCCTTTTATGTTCATCCCCAAATCATGCCCAAACTCTGGAAAAAGGAAAACAGAGAACCCGCTGGGACGTAACCTCCATAGGTCGACTGCCACCACGAAGCAAAGGTTCCTATCATCAACAATTTATTAGAGACGGAACATGGCTTTCAAACAGGCCCATACTCGGGGATAAGACAAATTACCTGTCACAGGTCCGAGCTCACTAAATCCCAAGAGCTCCAAAACATAGGGTGCCAGCGCAACAAGCACGCCGAGAGCAATGACGGTGATGAGCACCGTCGCTACCAACTCGAGAGGATGGTTTCTTGCATCCTCAACGAGTTGGTGGAATACTGAATCGGCCTCTTTAGCGGCATCTTCATAAGCCTTAGCAAAGGCTGGGCCCATCTTGTCGCGACCCTCTCTGATTGCTGCTACCAAAGCATTCAAGATGCGTTTCGCAAGCATCTCGGACCAGCCAAGGGTCCCAACCGTCTCATCGAGTTGCTTCTTAAGATTTGTACCATGCTTTTCCGAACGAAGCAGGATTGAAACAAGGTCGACCGCAACCTTGTCATAAGTGCAGAGGGACGGGTCGTATTGGAGAGATGAAGGCATCGAGGTGGAATGTTTCTCGCCAGGCAAGAAATCCGATGCAGGCTCGGATAAACCACAAAGGCAGCTTAAAATGCCGTGTAAGGAATCCATGATGGTAGTTGATTCCTCGTACAAGTTGTGCTCGGAAATTGGGTGATGTGCAGCGAAAGGATCTGATTGCTCGTTGTTTGCGAAACAGCTCAACTCTTATACCTCTCCAATCTCGACCATGCAAACCCTCTTCCCTAGGCGGTCAACAATTGACGTAACTTGGACAAAAGACTGCCAAATGCCACGCCCTGCAGATTTCGCTGATAAGAAGCTCATGCATGTTTCATTGGACAAGTTCCCATCGGATAGCAGCGTTAGCCTACACACCTCAAGGCTGCTGAAAGACACATGATGTTGTAGGCCTCCCACAGCGCTAAACTGAAACAGCCTTACAATAATAGCGAATGGAATGTTAACAGCACAGGTATGGCTAGAGAGAAGAAAAAAAAGTTAAAAGGTTGAGTTAATGCGAAACCAGATTATTTCTTAGAGGAAGCCACTCAAGGTGCGTGTATAATAGGATTCTAGTTGCGAAGATTCCAATTTCCGAAAATTATGCAAATCAATACTCTTCCTCCACAACATTATTTTCTTATGATACGTCCTAAACGTTGAAAAAAGCATTAATCAGTATTCCGTATCCCCCATATACTGAAAGACACCATCAACTACGCATACATGCATCCCAAACATTCCTCCAAAGTGGTTCTCCCAACGATCTAATCTAATCTGATCTCGCGCTACCCAAACTATTGAATCCCAGTATCCCAAAAAAAGGTTCCGCATACAAATTACCAAAACAAGAAAAGGTGCAAATGCGCACACAAAACAAATACCCAAATCAGCAAGTAGCAAACAAAAAAAAAAAAAAACAAATAGTAGTAATCATGAAACTTCGATCCATTTGCTGAGTTATACCCCAAGTTGTCATGCAAAAGATCTACTTCTCAGATCACAAAATGCAACAAGACAAATCAAGTTAAAGCTAAAGTCAGATTGCCTCAATACAGACGTTAGCGTAATCTCTAGAAGAGAAAAAAAAAAAATACGCGTGTTTTCACCCTGTATGTCTCAAACTGCAGTGCTATTATTAGCCATGCATGACTTAGACAAAAACAGGCCGTATTACCAAGACACAAGCATATGTAGCATAACCTCCCAAAATAGAAGCTGATTGATAAGAAAATAGGAGTAGTAGTTATTCAAAAGCTATAGAAAATGACACAATTTCCGCTTTCCCATAAGAAAAAAAAATCCTCTCCCTCAGAAAGAAGCCAATGTCCCGCTTGGTTTTATAAAAGAAGCTTTCCGCTCTTTGTGTCCCTTTGTTCCACGGCAGTCCAGCTGTCTCAGTCTCTCCCTTGCAAAAACCTTCTATATATGGATCCCATCTATCTATCTTTTTTCCCGCTCTCTTCCTCTTGAAAACACAAAAAAAAACAAAGTTTCAAATGTCGCTATACAAGATACCTATTCTACACTGAAATACCATCATTCGTTCGTCGTCTTCGTCGCGATTCCATCGTTTGTCTTCGCTTTCGTCTTGGTTCGATTGTCGGTATTTCGTACGTCTTCTTAACGTTCATCGTTTTTGACATATTCCGAAGTATATTATTCATTAGAATTTAGCCACTTCAGACCACGTATGGGCCTGCAAGACGCTCGTCACAGCTTGTGCTTTCGCCCACAACCGCTTCTTAAAGCCGTCCAGCCAGAGAATCTCAAGCACACCATCCTGTGATGTAACATTGATATCCCGGTAAAAGTTCATGGCAACCGTCATCGGGCCCAGCAGCATATCAGGCTGTACAGTAGATTCAAGAGCCGAATCAAGCCCTCGACAGATATTAGCCGCCAGCTCCCGCCCGTCCTGGTAGTGGGTTGGGTCAATCTGCAGGCTGGATGGCAGTTCCGGCCACACCTGAGGGTACGCATCGACAACAGGCTCGAAAATAGCCATGTGAATCGTTTCAATGCATTGATGGAATGGAATCATGGCCATCCAATAATAGACAAACATCAAACCGGTGAGTCCGTCCTTGAAAGCATATGCGTTGGCAAAAGGAATGGCGCCACCAGGGCTCCTCAACTCCTCGGCCCAGTATGGGAAGGAATGCTCGTCTGCTCCCCTGTAAGCGCCTTGCAACCATTGTCGAAACTGTGCTTCTATAATCAGGCAATGGTGAAGAAGCTCTTGTGCTTGCGTGCGGCGAGCAAGGGTCGCTTGTAGATGGACGATTCGATCCATTTGTTCGAGGAGGGCGGGAAGCTGAAGCACAATGTCAAACAGCTCGTCGAGAGGGGACTTTGGGTGCTGCTCCCATGGTATCGTCGTCCATTCTGGCATTCGCAAAAAGGTATCGCGCCGTCTCAAGAGAGCAATGCTCATCTAAATCATCTCAGTGGTTAGAATTCGGGACAGCAAGAGGATATGCGAGTGGGACAACCTACAGCCACAGGGCGGTATACCCTCACGAAGAAATGATGATTTGGAAAAGAGGCGAAATAGTGCGGCCCAAGCCGAGTCATATGCTCTGCAGTGAGTCTCCATGCCGCACCCGATGTATCGTGCTGTGATGGTTCATCGCCCGATTAGCTTTTGATCGGACATAACGAGGACATCATTCGGGGAATAAATCTCCGCGGAATCATGACTCGGATAACAAGTGTTATATACAAGACGCAAAAAAGAAACAAAACTCACCTCGAAAAGAAACGCGCAATAACTTTCTGTTGAGTCATGCTCAGCGTTAGTGGCCTTTTGGCGCACAAAGCATTGTGCATTCATACCGAAAGCATCGTCCGCCACCAATAGCAGCTCTGCCGCTGCATACGGGGGGAACTGCAAAGCACTCAAAGATGCCGCAACGGATCCATCGCCGCCGCTCTCGCCGCCGGCTGGAACTTCGTGTCTCGCGACAATTTGCAAACTCGTCTGAAGCGCGGTAATCAGGGCGGGAAACTCGGTTGCTCCTGGGCCGCCAGAGGACAAGCGGATGTAATCGTCCCATGCTGAGGTTAGCGGTCCCAGAGGCTGGAAGAGCTGCGGGCTGCTCATGATGCTGCTGCTGCCACTCTCCAGCTCGTCTGCCTTGACACTCGGGCTAGGGCTTGCCTTTGGCTTCCTGGATGGCGTGGTCTTCTTGGGGTGCGAAGCCACACGGCCCTTGTTTTCAGGTGTGCCGGTGATGAAGACTCGCTCTCTTTCGTATCCTTCGCAGGTTCTGCCGCTGCTGATGCAGTTCTGGCAGAATGGCCGCTCATTGCTGCACTGTTGTCTCGTCATGTTAGTTGCCTTCTCGTACGGTCTCTTTCTTGTCGCCTCTTTCTCTCTCTCTCTCTCTCTCGCTCTGTCTCTTTTTTTCTTTCATATCGCCAGTATGGCCATCATCTTCATCATTGTGTTCTCTTCTCTCTTTGTAAGAGAAAGAAACCGAGGGGAAACAGGGAACAAACCTTTACTCTTCGCCTACGGCAAGTCTCACACCCCTTATACTTGCCCGGAACACCAACCATTTTGTCGATCTTTGCGCTCGGCGCGTTTGTGTGTGTGTATGCGTATGTATGCGTGTATATCCCGGCCTGTCTTTGGGCCTCGGGGTCTTTGTATGTGTGTGTGCGTGTGTGTACGTGTGTGTACGTGTGTGTACGTGTGTGTGTGTGTATGTGGTGTGCGGTTTGGCCTGTGTGGGGAAGGGCAGCGCTTGGTTCTTGAGCCTTTCCAGAAAGGAAAACTAAAATTAAAGAAGAAATAAAATGTCCGGTTCGTCTATAGAAACAAGAGTCTGTTTTGCTTGGTTCTCTTTCGATGCCGCAGTCTGACCCGCAGCCTTGCTCTCTTTGCCACCGCCTATCCTCTTTGCATCATGTTGGGTCTGTTATATATTTGTGGAAAAGAGGGAAGAGAGACAAAGAGGGACGGCGTGAGCCATAGGCCTCCTGGACATGCATTCGCGCACGGGAGCTATTCTAGCAGCAAACAAGGTAGGTAGTCATGTCGATGGATGGAACTGGTAAGGGTCGGGGACAGGTACGGAGGTGAGGTTGTGAACAGGGACGGCCAGGCCAGAACCACATGGCAGCAAACGGACCATACTCGATGGAGGAAATTGATCATCTCCACACGAGATATGTCCATTCTCGAGCGTCGAATGGCAATTCAACATTGGCCTGTGGGAGATGGTGGCAGGCACCCATCTCCGCCTTTGGCATGGGGCTTTGGACGTGGATTGGTGGCTTGACCCATCAAGGCCCGGCAACCACCGAAGCCAAAACGTACGAACGGCGACCAGGCGTCGGGCGAATGAGAAGGCTACGATGGCCTCTCGGCATCGAAGCTTCATGGGTCAACATGATATGCAAGGCTTACACGGTAACGGTCAGTCGGTTCAGGGGTCCCGAGGCCTCTTGCAAGCCCATGCCTCGCTCTCTCTTGCATTCACTCAGTCTCGTGGCATCTGCCTTCGCTCGTCTTCCGCTCCCACTCCCGCCGGGCAGTTCTACTATTAGAAAGCAGCCCTCTGTGTCCGCCCGGCACGACGCTAACATGGCCGGCAGCCCTCTTCTGCTGCAGTCCCACCATGTTGTTTCTGGCACTAAGTTTCGTAGGGCTGACGCGGAGGGCCAGCTGTGCTCCTGGTTGGCTGCTCCACCGAGGCAACTGAGCGTGTCTCTGTGCGTCAGCGATCAGATGTCTGCACAAGGCGCGCGCTGCCATTGGACGGGCTGCTGAAATGACAGGAATACAGCCTATGAGAGATAAAGCATCGTGGTGAATGCACCGGCCTTCTTTGGGCTTCGGTGGCTCCCTCAGCCTATCCGGCCCTCACCCCGTCCGGCGCTCTGATAGGCCGCCCGGAACCCCCCGGTCGCCAAATCCCCAAGGAACCGTTCCGGGAGCCCAGCAGCCTCGCCAGAAGCGGGTGCTTCAGAACCTCGTAACATGCCATGATCCAGCATGATCCAGCTGCCATCACCTAGACCGCCAGAACGGCGCCTGCTCGGAGGGCTACAATCGCAACGGCCGTTGTCCCGCGACTGCGTCTAGCCCGGCAAACCCCCTTATTGCCGTGCACACAAACCGGTGTCGGCCGACATAACACTGGATCGGGAAACGGCGCCAGGCTCAAAAGAGTTACAAGATGTGAAGAGTATGCCTAAGGGGATCCAGGGGAGCGGTCCGCATAATACATGTTACTCGTACTAGGCGGGAGGCTAGCATGTCATGACTTACATACAGACATGCAAAAGGCCGAAAATGACTTGCAAAGCGCCGCAAATGGGCACGTCCTGGCATTACTATCGCATCCTCGTCCGCCACCCTCTCTACTGCTCGGGCCAACATCCCGGTCAAATGTATTTGTACGGATTCATAATGCCATTCTGTCATCAACAAATCGTCAGTGTCAGCCCTACCGCTTAGCAATAGTGTGCAAATCGTGCATGGTTGCGCGCGCCCTCCTCCAGCCGCAAGGCAGCTCTCCCGGCACATGTGACGTGCCATCATGAATCAGAGGGCAAACGGCGCATCATGAAACACGAATAGTTGAAACAAAGGTGCATGCATGGATGAGAAACAAGCGATAGACGACAAGCGAAAAAACGGTAAAAACAGAAAGGCGCACTAGCGAGGGGACAAGGGAGCTTACCGGGTCATACAGCTTCTTAATCTGCTTCATCAGGCCAATCACCGTGTCGTTGCGGCTGTAGTTGACAAAGTTCTTCTTGGCCAATCCCAACCCATGCTCGGCGCTGATGCTGCCATTCCGCTTTGCAATCCATTCGTACACAAAAGGCTCCAGAGCCTCCTCGACCTTGGCGTCATACCGTCTTACAGCCACATTCAGATGCAGGTTAGAGTCGCCCATATGACCGTAGCCCACCACTGCGCTCACCGGGTGTTCCTCGGCATCGCCGATCAGACCAGCCTCCCCCATGCGCTCCCTTACATCCTCGACGAGCGAGTACATCTCTGCCAGCGGGATCGAGACATCGTACTTGTAGACGCCACCGCCATGTCCAATGCACTCGGTGATGCTCTCGCGCCAGCTCCACAGCGCCTTGGCCTGCGACTCACCTTGCGCGACGACGCCATCCGTCACGATTTCCTTGGTCAAGACGTCTTCGAGGAACTTTTCCAGCTTCTCATTGTCGTGGTCGCCATTGGAGCCGCTGGTCTCAATCAGACAGTAGAATGGGTGATCGCCCTCCAGCGGTCGCTCCTCTCCTTTGATCTCGTGTACAATCTGCTGGCTGCGAGAATCCATCAGCTCAAAGGCCGAGAGGATTTCTCCCAGCTGCTTCTTGGCTTCGCGGAAGGCGAGCTGCGCCTTCTTGAAGGAATCCACGCCAAAAAAGGCCACATTGACAGCAGCCGAGCGCTGCGGGCACTGGATGACCAGCTTGGTGATGATTCCAATGGTTCCCTCACCGCCAATGAACAGCTGCTTCAAGTCGTAGCCCGTGTTGTTTTTGCGCAGAGCGCACATGTCATTCATGATGGTGCCGTCCGGCAGCACAGCTTCCATGCCCAAAACAGTTCCGTGCAAACTTCCGTAACGCAGCAATCGCAGACCGCCTGCGTTGGTGGCAACATTGCCGCCTACATGGCAGGATCCCTTGGCTCCCAGGTCGAGGGGAAAGATATATCCTCTTTCGGCGAGGTACTGGTCGGCTACCTCCAAGATGCATCCCGCATCCAACACGAGAGAGCCGCTGACATCGTCAAAGGAGTGAATCTTGTTCATGCGACTCATGTTGATGACGATTTCGTCGAAAATGGGCACCGAGCCGCCCACCAGCCCAGTGTTACCGCCCTGCGGCACGACGGCCAGTTTCTTGTCGTTGCAGTACTTTAGAATCTTGCTGACGTCCTCGGTCGATCCCGGCTTGAGGACGAGCCGGCTCTGGCCTCGATACTTGTGCATCCAATCCTCGTTGAAGGGCTTGAGGTCGTCCTCGGCCGCGGCATTGACGCCATCAATCACGGCCTGCTCGCCACCGAGGAGGTCTTTGAAGTAAGCAACATCCTCTGCCGTTAGTGCCGCAAACTTGGCATCTCTCTTGATCTCAGGGTAGGTGTCGGTGGTGAGCTTTGCCAGGTGCTGGACTGCATGTGATTGAGACAGCAGTCTGGGTACCGACGTCGCAAAGCATCGAGCTGAAGCAGCTGAATGGCTAGTCAAAAAGCTAGCACTGCCAATTGCGCCAATCCGCCGGTTGGGCGCCCGCAGCACTCGCACAAGCCTCGATCGTGTAACCATATTCTCTGTCAACAAGGGGCGCGTGGGTTGTGAGGCCAACAGCAAGAGACGCGATCAGAGAGGGAGAGAGAAGAAGAGAAAAAATCAAGTCAGACGGGGCTGCTACGTTGAAGCTTCCTTTCTTTCGGTTATCGAAATTCCGGGTAGACAAGAGCCGGAGCTATTGCTTAATTCTTCAGGAGCCTATTAGGCAGCTCGAGCGCCGTAATTCCACTGTTAGGCGTCGCTCTTGCGGCATTAGGGCGTCCAATTAGGCTCTGAGATCATGAGTGGGCCTGTCTGTGTCTCCGAACACGGACTCCCGGCTATTAAAACAGCAGCCAACGGATTTACATAGTGAATGCCTGTTATTCTGCAAGCAACAGCAGCAAAATTAATTCAATAAAAAGGAGGCCATTGCCAATTAATTTGACTGTCTAAACGTCGTAGTACTATTATTCCAACGTTGAGACTTGAAACTATAATGAAAATTGTGTCCAATTTTTACAGCACCCTTACCATCCAAAAAAAACACCATTAGCATGCATCCAGGGTACCGAGAAAACACCGCTGCCTCTCCAACCAAGTATTCAGACAACATAGGAGACAGAGACTCCGTATAACGCGTGTACGCGCGACAAGGGGAGGGAAAAAGTAAAAAAAGGGGGGGAGTATACAGAGAATTATACGGAGGCCGTCCATAAAAATGACGCTGGGTCATATAGATGATGAAGCATCAATCTCGGCTACCCATGGCCGTTCACCTTGGAATCTCTTCGGGGCCGATCATCGCCAACGTTTGTGCTATCTTGGAGCATACCGGCTGGTATATCGCCGTCCGCGTTATCGTCGCCTTCGCCCATCATCTTCTCCATGAAGGAGATGTAGTCGAACTGGTCTTTACCACGATCCCGTGACATATCTGGACCGTTGTGCGGCGGCATCATCTCGAGAAGCTTATCAATGACCTCTTCAGGCACAAGACTGTGGCGCAGATCCATTTCAGTGACATATGGCTTGCCATCTGCAACTTCGCGGAACGACTGGAAGACCTGCTCGGCGGTATTTTGATCTTCGGTGACGTCGACCATGAAGCGGATAAACTGCTCAAAGGTAACATATTCTTTGCCCCCAGAGGTGTCGACAAAGTAATCGTGCATCTCATCTTCGGAGAAAACTAGGCCTAGTGAGGCCAGAGCTGCGCTGAACTCAAGCTCTTGGAGCGAATTCGAGGCATCACGATCAAAGTGGCGGAACACACTCTCAAACTCTTCCAGCTGAATAGGCGTCAGATTGGTCATGTTGCGAGCGACCATCTGGTTTTCCAAGAAGGAGAGCTTCTTTTGAACCGAGGATCTCACAAGCGTCAGCTCGTATGCCAGTTCGTCATATGTATAGGTGGTGAAGTCGTTCTCCTCAATGTTTGCTTCCTCGCACATGGCGTCTACTTCCGCAATGGTACTGAGATATCGATCAAGGGGTGGCAAGTTTTCACTGAGTTTCTTGACATGGTGCAGCTGATCTTCAATATCGCCATCCAATCCCGAAATGGCAAGCTGCATGGTGTTGAGAGCCATGGCAAAGTCATTTGCTTTGTCCGCAAATGATTTCCTCAGCGCGTTTTTGATGCTGCGGCGTTGTTAGCCTCAAGTCAACCCCTTCTACTTTGCACAAAAGTTTTCTCTCTTCACTTACTCTCGAATCGTCTCATTGATGAGCTGCGCGCGAGCCATCTCGCTGCTTGTAAGACTCTTCCAATCCCTCTCAATAACATCCTGACTGACCTCTGCCGGAGGTTCATAAGGTCGTAGCCGATAGGTGCTCAGCTTCGTTTTAATGTTTCCCAACAGTGTGGCAAGTTCGCTCTTCTCGGCAACCCATTGTCGCTTCTTGCCCCTCTTATACTCTGAGAATTCGGACGCCTGGGCCTTTGCATCTGCATAAGTGCCCTCAAACTTGGCCGTGTGCCACTGTTCAACCTGGCCTCGGATATTCTTCAAGAGTTCCCGCATTCGTCTCTCGTAGGCGTTTTGCATCTCCCACGCCCCTTGCATGTTGTTGAAGAACTTTTCGACTCGTCGTCCCGCGTTTTCGACTTTTTCCATCTGAGAAAAAGCATGGAACCAGTAGGCAATGTAGGTCATCAAACTTCGCTCATCGGGCTTCGCCACATCGCACACATCTTCAACATCCAACAGCTTGGGGATACCAATCTCTTCGTGGGCAATATCAAAGGCGAGCTGCATGTTGCCGCGGTGGTCTGACTTGTCCAACGTATCAAAGTCGATCAAATCCGGTCGATGGATATCCAGCAAGGCGCAGAAGGCGAGGCCGTCGTTCCAGCTGCTACTAAAATCGCGAACTTCGACCTCATCGTAGCACGCGGTTTTTCGTTGACACCACAACAGCAAGCCCTCCTTGGCAGACATACCCTCTTGGTTGATGTCGCTAATTGTAAAGCGAAGAATCAGGGTCCAAATAAGACCAAGAACAATTTTGCGGTTTCCATCAACAACATCTTCAGCGCCAATATTTGTCATCTGAATGCCTCTGGACTTGATAAAGTCCAGGGCCAGGTTGGCATTTTCGAACCGTTGGACACGAAGCTTCGGACGGGAGGCATATCGACCGAGGGATTCTTGAGAAAGACATTCGAGGAGGTGAATCAGCATAACCTAAGGACGAAGAAAAGTCGAAATAAATGTCAGCAAGAGGCTCTCACAATACATGGCGACAAGCAAAAAAGGGAGGGAACATCCTATACAGGGCGTGCATCGAGTTCAAGATGGGTTCAACTTACACCGTCGCTAAGGTCTGTTACCAGGTCCTTCACCTCCAGGTTCCTGGCTACAATCTTGGTGTTTAGCCTGCAGAGATGTCTTTGTCAGCATTTCACGGAGCTGTATACAAGAAAGCATTTGAAAATCTTGCTCTGTTTGGGCAGGTTGGAACGCACCATTTGGTAAACGTCTTCTGCTGGACCGTGATCCATCTCTGCTGCTCTGAGAAGGTCATCCTTGTGAGAAATTGGTCATGGACGCCCCGAATCGACGACGAATCGACTAGTACGTCGGCCGCAGGCGCCTTGGTCTCGATAGGGGCAAGGTCAGAGACAGCTTCAGGGGATTCAGACGTCTGAGACTCTGCCGGGCGAGGTTGTCTGGAAAACTTTGCAGGCTTGGGCGGCGTCTTGGGAGGACTGGAAAGCTTTGAGTGCGTCGGGGACTGGCTCAGGGCTTTGGTGCCCAATGATGAGCTGCGCTTCTCTGACCGCTGGAGGCGCGTACCAGTAGCAGTAATGCCACTACGCTCCTTGTCCCGCCCACTCCGCTGAGGGGGGTCCGAAATGCAGCGTGGCCGGGGTAGCGATGGAGAGGGGCCCCTTTGCAGGCGCCCAGCAAATGGCAGCGGCTCAGCCTCAGCCTCGGAGATGGTGCCACCGACACTGGCAGCAGGACTGACGGGCGATACGGGCGATCTGGGCGGCGTCCAGAGGTCCGGCGGAGTAACGGGACGCTGGACCTGGAGCTGGAGACGGAGCTGGCGCGTGGATGCAGCGACTTTGGTGTCGATATCCAGGTGGCGCTGGACTTGTAAACAAAATTCGGGGAACTGGTCAGCCAGCTCGAGGTTGCCGGGCTGCAGCTCCTTCCGCGAGGGGCCTGTGGGCGCCGTCTGTCTAGGCGCCTTTAGCGGCCCCGTGGCGCTGTGGCACAGGCTGTTATAGGCCATGAGGGCGGGCGCGAGCAGCAGCAGTAGCGCTACGAGTGACAGCGGTAACAGGCAGTCGGCGTCGTGGTACCGGTACATGTACAGGTACTTGCGACAAAGGGACAAACGAAGCAGCTCTATCGATAAGACAGCTCGGCTTCCCTCGTTTTAAACGGCTTGGGAGAAGAAGAGGGAGAATTGCTTTGACAATGCCCAAAGACGAGGAGGATTCAGCAGATTATTATGAATTAAATTAATATTACTGTGATTTGTTGTCTTTGTTTTGTCTTTGGTTCCTTCATTCTCGTCTGGAATTCGACTATAGTTATACCTTCCTCCAGCCAGGTACCTACGACCCTCAACTCGATGTATCAGAAACCCTCTCTGGACCATGCTGCGGGCGAGCTTGACAGATGCTCCGTAACGTTCGACGTGGCACCGTCCAAGCATCCTCGCCGTCTTAAGCGATTGGGTCCTCATGCACGGCTCCACGCTGCCACATGAGAAACGTCCATCCGCCAGGGTCCGGCCAAGAAGTCAGCGCATGGCGGCATCCAAGAGCTAAACTCGAACCAAGACGATCCTGCACCAAAAAAGTATCGAGACAAGGTTCGTCCGCCTCGTCGACGATCCAGCGATCCAACCTCCTCAATTTCCAAGCGAACGCCAGCGGCTGCTGCATGGAGATGCATCAACCCACACGTCGCAAAAACGGTGATGAAACTCTACCAAGCAAGGCCAGCGAATGCCAGGCCGTCGTGGCGCTCGCCTTGTTCTTCGCTTGGCTGCAAGAATCGTCGTTTTCGTCCATTTCCTCCACAATTTCTCATCCGGTGATTGCGCGGCAGTCGTTTGATGGTGCAGAAACAGGTTTGCTTCAGCTGAGTTGGCATATTTTGAACAAGCATGTCCGTTCGAGATTCTCAACTTGATGCGGCCGCCTTACATACGTTCGTGGGTCAATGGCTGGTGGCAGTGAATGTCGTGGCTGGGTAGCTTTGATTCTGCATAATCCCTGGCTGTCATATTACTGGTAGTAGTAACAAGTGACCGCCTTCTTGTCATCACATTCAAACGCAAACCAGCCTGGGAATATGAGCCCATGCTTGGTGGTGTGGCAATAACGCGACTTGTAAAGTTTATTCAAAAACGCGCCCCTAAACCACGCAGGGTGCAGACATCAAAGACATGACAGGTCGTCTTTCTCAGTCTGCAGTCCTGAGCACGTTTCTGTCCATAGTCTGTCCATAATCAGGTCACGTTAAATCCGACGGAGCCAATATGATGCCGATTGCTATGTACATGCCCTTATGATACTACTCGTACAATGGTGCGTCGAGGATTGTATCTGCATATCGACATTGTACGTTTTGCATCATGCTGCCTCCCACGTTTGAAACGCCTTTCTGTCTCGTTCCACTGCCATTGAAATACTTTGATGAATACTGATAACTGTTTACTGTTCGTTGATTATATATGTTATCTGCATGTGAAGATATTCAACTTTTCAGATATGACAGCTTATCCTAGGGTTGTAGCATTTGCCACACTCTGCAAATCTACTCAGGTAAAATAACACCAACTAGGTATTTCAGCAACATCTGCATTATGCATTTATGCTGACATCGGCTGACGTGTGAATGCCTTGTTCCTCACATCCACACGTCTGATTGCTCGGGCAATCAACCGTTGCTCTTCTAACTGCCGGGTAGTCCATGGAATGAACCATCGTCTCTTGCTATATAAAATCGCTGTATGAAATCGTTTAACAAACCTTTAAACGACTTGAAAAGATGCCAAGTAATATTTCTAAAAAGGAATAATATTCTCGGGATGAATTATGTCAGACAACCAAGTATCTTAGATTGTAGCTGCTTTGTAGTAACTCGGATAATACTTTTTGTATTCCTAGTCGACTTGGATTGTACTATGTAATACTAATATGGACCAAAGCCATTGAAACTTTTTTGTCTTTTCTCATAAAGTACCTATAATATCTATCAATCCCTCTACAGACCTGTAAATCTTCAAATCTTGGAGGTCCCTCTCCAACAGCTTTTCGTGCAATAACTGAAATTTTTACATTTAGACACTTATCATACAGCGTGATCATAACCAACTTCCTTCCTTCATCATCCCCCTTCTACCTTCGAATCTGCTTTCCACCACCCTGCTTCGCCTTGGACCGCAGCGCATACCTCTCCTTCTTCCAAGCCGATACCAAGTTATCCACACTGCCCATGTCGTGCCTGGGCTTGCGCATAAACGTCAACCGCGCTCTCCTCGCCCTCTTCGGCTTGCGCCAGATAATGTCGATGCCCGTCACCGTCGGGCTGTAAATCTTGAACCACGTCTCCACGCCAGTCTTCATCAGCTGTCCTCGCAGCAGAATGGCCGTATCGACGCCGCGGCGCCGCATCTGGATGAATGCGCCCGAAAAGGGCTCCCCGGCCTTGGTGGTCACCATGAGCACGTCGCCCACTTTGGAGCTGTCGGCGTGGTCTCTGGAGAAGAGCCTCGTTCGGGCGCCGGTCGGGTCGAGGCGGGCGATTTCTTGCTGCTTCAGGGTGGGCATCGGGTCGGGATGGGTGGCTCGCGGTGAAGGGACTTGGGGCCAGATTTGGAACTTTGCGGCTTTTTGCTTGTCCATGTCTGGATAACCCAATTGTTAGCAACGCTGTTATCCTCCCGACAATACATAGAGTAGAGCAAAAAAAAAAAGGTCGTACGTTGTCTTTGACTAAAGGCATTCTTCGCGATGGAGGCCGTGGAGGGGCTCGCAGCCTCTGTCGCCAGGCATCGCTGCCACGTTCTCTGGTATCTCGTCCTCCTCAGAGCCGCCTTCAGACAGCCCATCGGCTGCCTCGCAACAGCAGCATTCATCGTGATCGGAATTGGCGCCGTTGAAAAGCTGGGGTTTAAAGATCTCCAACCAAACGTTTTGGGCGAGAAAGTCGCAAAAGCTTCCAATGGGTTTGGAAAAGCCCATGCATTCCGCCGCCGTGATTGGCCCGGCTCCTCTTTTTCTCCGACCCACCCAGCTCAACTTGCGCCTAAGAATGGCCTTGCATGTAACCTTTTTTCTTCCCATTTCAGATAGATCTCTACTGGTCATACTTTACAGCAAATAAAATGTCAAATCGGTCACTAAGGACGGCCGTTCGGTCGGTTGGTCGCCTCAATGGACGAACGGCACGGCCATCGGGCCTTGCGCCGAGGCAATTCAGCACTTCGCCAGCGCATGGTACGCAATAGCAATCCTTCAGCATTGTGTGTATATAAAATTCCAATCAGACGAAACTTCTAACAGATGAGCTGTAAAACAGGTGTAAGAGCCGTCTTCGCCGAGACCGAAAACGACGAAATGAACAAAGTCCTCAACACCATCCAAGAAACCATCATCCTCCCCGCCTACCTCCCCGAAAAGCAGCGCCAGCTCGTCTTCGACCCCAAGATGAAGTCGTACCTCGAGCAGAACCCCATCATCATCGAAGTCGAGGGCCTCGAACACAAATTCTCCACCATTGACCGATTCACCGGCATCGAAAACTCCAAAACCATCCTCACAAAGGCCCTCAAGAGCATGCAGAGCCAGGATGACTGGGCCAACCTGGGCACTCTGTTGGCGGGGTATAAAAAGGCCGGCATACGGCTAAAGGCCAACCACTGGGGAAAGATTGTGCGCATGGCCGGAGACAGCGGCAACATTCACGCCGTGATTGAGTGCGCGAAGCAGTCGGACAAGACGGGGCTCATGTTTACAAACCGGGAAACAGTCGTCCGAGTTCTGTCTTACATCAACGAGAAGGTTACCAGCAGCAACTGGGACGTCACCGAGACGAAGCAGGCCCAGACATGGGCCGACCAGGTTCTCGATCTTCTCCAGCGCAGGGAACATGCGATTGAGGGCCAGCCCACCCGCGAGAGACTACACTTCTCCCGCGTCGTCCGCGGAATGACCCTCTTCGCAAAGGCCTCCGCCGCCAAAGTCAAGCAGCAAGCCGGCGAGCCCGTCGAGCAAGACCTCGTCCTGCTCAAGGATGAAGTCGAGCTGCTCAGCTCACTATGGAAAGACTCAACAAGTGCGAACCTGGACGAGGTGGCCGACTTTGCAAAGCTCAACCCCACCCTGGAGAGAAACTCCAACCCTAAGGGAGTCAAGATCCCCACCGCCCTCAACGGAAGTGCATACGTCAAGGTCCTGGCAGAGAACATCAAGGGCATTTCGCTGGCGCGCGAGGTTCTCGGCGAAGAAGCCCAGGCTCTCGCGCCAGTGGAGGTTACTCTGGCTGATCACTTGCGGAATTTTGTCAAGACTAGCAAGAGCTCAACAGAGGGCTGGGATCAGGAATACTCTACAATCGTCGGACAGGCACCAAAGTGGTAAAACTCTTGTATAAAAGCAGAAAGGTGAAACGGAAAAGACGGGAAAAGACATTTATTTATGAGCAGACGGACTACAAAAGGGAGGTTTAGATGAAAAAAAGATGAAAGTCTATATGTATCATCCTATATATATATATATATATATACGTGTATAATATAACATATCAAAAGCAGCGCTTCAAGGCAGCACAATGTACTTTTCTAAATGCTTCGGCACAGCCCCCAAAAGCTTCTTCCCCTCCAGCCACTTCCGCGAAAACAACCGATCGGCATATCTATACGCCCCATCGCATAGCATCGTCACCACGACATGACCCCGTCCCAGCTTCTCCGCCACCTCCTTGGCCGCCACGACATTCAGCGACGAGCTCGCGCCCAGGTACAGCCCTTCCTCGTCCAGGCACCGGTACACCATCTCGATGCTCTTCTCGTCCGAGATGTGCAGCGACCCGTCCAGCAGGTCAATGTCCGGCGCCAGGTTGTCCGTCACGCGGCCCTGGCCAATGCCCTCGGTGATGCTGGAGCCCGTCCGCTCGACCAGCTTGCCGCCCGACGAAATGTACGAGTGCAGCACGCTGCCCGGCGGATCGGCGAGGAAGCTCTTGACGCGCCCACCCGAGACATCCTTGAGATATCGCGTCGTGCCCGCCAACGTGCCCGCCGTGCCCGTCGCGCACGTAAACGCATCCACTTTACCGCCCGTCTGCGTCCAAATCTCCGGGCCCGTCGTCTCGATGTGCGCCCGCCGATTGGCCGTGTTGTCAAACTGGTTCGTCCACACGGCATTGTCCAGCGCCTCGGCATGGCGCCTCGCCTGGTGATTGTAGTTGTCCGGGTTGTCAAACGCCACCGCCGGCACGGGATACACCTCGGCGCCCAGCAGCCGCAGCAGGTCAATCTTGCCCTGCGACTGCGTGTTGGGCATGTAAATCACCAGCTTGTAGCCGCGCGACCGGCAGACGTGCGCCAGGCCGATGCCCGTGTTGCCGGCCGTGCCCTCGACGACGGTGCCGCCGGGCTTGAGCAGGCCGCGCTCCTCGGCATCTTTGACGACGTAGAGCGCCGCGCGGTCCTTGACGGAGCCGCCCGGGTTCATGAACTCGGCCTTGCCCAGGATCTCGCAGCCGGTTTCCTCAGAGAGGCGGTTGAGGCGGATGAGGGGCGTGTTGCCAATGGCTGTGCACAAGTAAATGTCAGTGAGACCTCATCCATTGTCATGGTCATGGCTTCATACCTCCAGTCAGGCCTCGTGCCACGCCCTGCGCCTTGGACACGGCCAGAGTATAAGCGCTGGGCTCGGCAGCTTTGGCCGCCGCAACGGCTAAGCGCCGCGCAGTTTGTCGAAACATGGCTGCAACTATCCAGTGCCTCACTCGTCTTTGGAGGTCCCAATAGCCTCAATTGCAAGAGAGAGAGAGATCCGTGCAGCGCTCGTGGATTTGTAAGTTCCAGCTGAGAGCATCAATCAATGGCCGCTTTCCCCAGCTCTGGCGCCGAGGGCCCGGTGGTGGGGCCGACGCCCGAGGACCCGATCACGTCATTTTGCGCTTCAATTAGGGAGCGTCTGTTTGTCTGGAAGATGCCGCTTTTTTTGCCGCATATGAGATTATTTCAAATGGAAAGATGGTTGGATGCTGCTAACAAGAGTTGGTTGGTTGATCCAGTCATGTCTCCGGAGAGCATTGGTTTTGATAACCGAGGTAAGAGTAAGGCTGGGCAGAGGTAGCCAGTTCTTCATGACATAGCCGAGTATAGGTATTAGGTATTCTATATCTGTGTGTGAAAGCAGCAGTGAACAAGTATCTGTAAGAATACATTATAATTATTTATTATCTATATACTATGTGGAATATCGTCACCCTAAGCTTGGAAATGCACACCAAATCCCTGATGGGCTAGGCACTGATACCGAGTGATTAGCTTCACATCAAATGCAGATGAGCCATACCCAGCTAATGCTGCAGCTTTCGCCTGGACTTGAACTTGTGTCGCAGTCTCGACAGACGGCTTTGCCCCAAGACCGCGAACCAAGTCAAAGTCCAAGTGAATCAGCAGCACAGGTATGTATGGCTCAGCCTCACAAGATGTGAAGCAAACCACCCAGTATCAGTGCCTAGCCAATCAGGAATCCCTTACATAACCACATCAGCTTGCACTTGAGCAGGCGTTTGACCCGACGAACCCCTTTCCATCCCATCATGGCCAAAGTGTTACACTCCACGTCTCTTCATGGCTGCTGTGGTAGATGGACGTATGGTGCTGGGAACATGCCCTTGGCACCCATATAAGCCCCAAAGAACCAGTCCCCGTTGATATCCCTTACTTCATCAATGCTAGCCCCTCGAGGAAAGAGTAGGTCGTCCTCTTTGCCGGATTTTGGATACCATGCCCACATTGCATGGGCCATCAGCCCGCAACCACCATCAGGCGGGAAGGTCCGCGTATAAGTTATTTCGCCAAAGCTCTCCGGGGCTGTTGCCGATACCTTTGTAGTGGCGAGGCGCTCCAGTTTTTCACTTCCATCATACCACGACCATTTCTGGAAATCAGGATGCGCAATATTCTCGAGAGGCTCCATGCGAAGGGCTCTCCCACCAACGACATCTCTCTCCACATATCGCCATTGGCCAACCTTGCCTTCTAGGAATTTGAGAACAATCATTCTGTGACCACTGGGGCATCTTCTCCAGCCCGACGAGCCATTCTCTTCACTTACATCTCCCTTTGATTCCAGGTCGCCGTAGCAGGAGAAGCAGATATTAAAGTCTCCAGGAGTAGCATCTTCAACAGCCGTACTTGTGCAGCCGAAACAATGATATCTCGACTGCGATGGTGGAATGGTATCTTTGCAAATTTCACACTTGCAATTGAACTCGAGTGGCCTGAACAGCCCAATGCCGGATATGGGTGATGCTGCAATGATTGTTGCCGTGGAGGGTCGGCTTAACGGCTTGAGATTGCGAGGTTGATATGTAGGCTTGAGCGTCCCTTCATGGGCCATCGGCAGAAGCTTATGGTTACATGATCTGCCCTGGTTCACACAACTATTGCAGAATCCCCAGTCGCCCTCATTGCAAACGTCGCAGCGCCAAAAACACTCGTTGGCCCAAGCAAAACATCGTGAGCAAAACGTGCCCGTCTCCAGTCTCAACTTGGGATCGTCACTCGTCAACGTTTTCTTGCCATCTGAGCTCATAGTCGTCGATGTAGGGCGCAGATAGCGGCCAGCGTTCAATATGTGAGGCATGGGAATCAATTCATCAGCCTGTTTGCGCTTCTCCCACTTCTTCCAGGCCCCGTGACCAAACCCAAACCAGTGTAGGCAGCCTTTGCCTGACCGGTAGCAGTCAACACAAATGTTCCAGTAGCCATCCTCGCACGTTTTGCAGTTGTAATGCACGTCATACTGGATATCAGACTTTTTGCATCGCGAGCAGCTGATTGAAGGCTCCTCAAAAAGCTGCCGAGTGCGTTGATGCCCCGAGGTCGCCGTTGGGCTTTGAACAGGGCTGGACACCAAAGAACTGGGAAGACTAGCCACATCAGCTGGGCGGTTCGATTTGGAATTTCGCGCAGCTCCCAGCTCTATCAAGTCGGGAGTGATTAGACTTGTTTGAGAAGGGGCCGATGGAAGGGTTTGCGCTCGACTGGCAAACGAGGCATTGTTCGCACTACCGTTTGCTGGTGCATCGGCAGTTTGAGTAGAAACAGGTATTCCGGTTGAACTGGAACTTCGGCCAATTCTCAGAGCCGGCACTGATGCCGTGGGATCATAGTTGCTTGGATTTCTGAGGGTTAAGTCGTTCTGAGAATGAGCGGCAGGCCTTGCGTCCATGGTAGAGAGAGACATGGCTCCCAAAGCGTTCACCTGCCCACCGCTGTTGGTTCGCCTCCTGGTCCTCCTCTCAGGCTCTCGGACGCCAAGGCTTGCGGAAGATGATATCGGAGGCCTACTCCGATCTCCCACTTCACTTATTGATCGTGAGTGTGAGCGATGCTGGTTTGGATGCCTGGCGCTGTCGGGCCGCAGTCTGGAATCCATCGATGCAGATGCAGAATGTCGTGAGCGCGAGCCGGCCCTCCTCTCTTCTTGTCTCGAGCGGCCCCTTTGGCGCCTCCTATACGCCTCGGTGATGCGTTGACTGAGTTCATCATCCCGGCTCAAGTCAATGTTATCGAGATCAAGGCCATCCAACAGACCCTCTTCTTGGATCTGTCGTGCAAATTCTTCAATCTCCTTCTGGATATCCCGCTCGCTCATCTCAGACCCGATCAACGATCTCAGTGACGACTGGTGCTCAACTTGGCGTTGCCGAGACTCACTACGCCTTCTTCGAGCTTGTGAGTCTCCGTCTGCCGTCAAGTAGTCAGAGTTGCTCCGGCCATTCTCTCCCCTGCCATTTGCTGGCCGCGGCGATCGACCCTCTGATCTGTAATCTGAGCTCGATCGAGACCGCCCGTCTGCCTGTCTCCTCGCCGCCGTCCTCGCCTGTGATTCTTCTGGCATGGCAGCGGCAATGGCTTCTTGCAGACTCAGCTCTCTCACCTCATCTATCAGCCTCTGGTCTTCTTCCTCGGCCCGCTTCTCTTCGGCGGTCCGTTCACGAGTCTTGACCTTGGGCATGACCTGGTCGCCAGGCTTGTATTTTTCCTCCATCTCTTTCTTGTCGGCGTCTGACCGAGCTTTGGCGGGGTTGGCCGCCGTGTACATCTCCAGGAGAGTCGCCACGGTGGCATTATGCCGCGTGTCCCTCACTGAACTCCGACATGATGGACAGGTGAAGATGATGGCGTCTGGCGGTGGCGGGGTAGGAGCCCGTCCAACCCGTTCAGCCTGGAAGCGAAACCATTCTTTCAGACACGAGCCGCAGTATGTATGAAGACAGTCGAGCAGAGTGAGGGGTTGGTAGAGGATATCAGCGCATATCTATATGATGACGTGTCAGTTGGGCGGCGATGGAGGCTTGGGCACCCACGCGGGGTATCGCAACCATACCGAGCATGTCAACTCCTTGCCCAGGTCGAAGCTAGGTTTGCGAGACTCCATTCATATTTTATTTCGTTTTGCGGAGTGGGAGAAGCGAGGACGATGTGGGCGGCGCATGTGGACAGAGATATGAGTGAGAGGAATTAAAATCCGTTTATCACAGCCCCGACTTGATGGTTGGAGGAGGCAGGTTTGTAGCGGTGGCCACCAGCCATTTAAAGAGCACAGCCTGTGGGTACGTACTTTAGTACCAATTTGGTGTATGTGAGCGGGGCTTCTATAGACCTGGAATCAGGCGAATGAGCCGTGATTACACACTGCATGCATCTACTCGCCATAACAAGCTATTGTGAAACATATGGCTCTATAAATCCTTCAGCTATTTCCACTGGAGTTTAACTAGAGACGCTCGACCGCAGGTTATAAGTTAAAGTTAGAGCTAGGTGTGGATTAGCCGAAGCCACTCTTTCTGGAGAGCTGATTGCCATTTCGGGCAGTCACATTCACTGCTATATTCTCACTTGCGTGTATCCAATAGATGGCATCTAGTATTGTTATCTGATGCTCTCAGTGTTATTCATTGACTTGTGTTCAGTTGTCGTTTCACTTGAGCCAAAATCCCCAAATAAGCCACCATGAATGAATAGCCTATCCCAGCGTAGCATCCTTCCAACTGGTATATCTCGGAAATATGGATGACATAATTCATGCCAGTGACGCAACTTAATCCTCCAACTTGGAACAAACACAAATCCCATTCATCTCGCAAAGAAAACATTTCTCAGCATGAAGTTGATCATCGTTGGATCCAGCGGCTACGTTGGCAAAGCACTTGTCCGCCAGGCAGTCAGCTCTCCCGCCATAACGTCCGTCGTGGGCCTTGGTCGCCGCGAGACTCCCGTCCCGGAGAATCTGGATGACCCTGCCGATGCGGCAAAGTTCACATCCGTTGTGTGCGATGACTTTTTGAACTATTCAGACGATGTCAAGCAGAAGCTGTCCAATGCCGATGCCTGCATCTGGTGAGCCTCAACTTGAGATGATGTGAACCAACTTGAATCACTGACATTTCATCATCATAGGCTCATGGCTGTCACTCCGAATAAATCCGCAACCATGTCTGGGGATGAAGTCCGAAAGATTTGCTTAGAGTATACCCTTGCTGGCCTCGAAACGATTTCCAAGCTCCCGCGAGGCAATGAGGCGAAACCTTTGCGGTTTTTCTATGTCAGTGGTGCCAACACTGAGCGGGACCAGACTAAAAAGCCTTGGGTGATGGGCAGTTATTGCTTGATGAGGGTAAGTATCCAGCATTCTCTTCCCGATCACTATCTAGGAAGTCTTGTTGCTGAAAACTATACCACAGGGAGAAGTCGAGAGCCGCGTTCTCGAATTTGCCAAAAACTCCAACGGCGCTGTCGAGGCCTGCATCCTCAAGCCGGGCCTCATTCGAGACTCTCAGCGAGGATACATGCTCATCAATGCTATTCAAAACATTGCCACTTCTTTCATTAGCCTTCCAATCGTTTACTTGAATCAAATTGTGGCGACGCTTCTTAACCAGGCGACAAAGGGTATCGAGAAGGAAACGCTGGAAAATGCCGACATTGCTAGGATTGGACAAGAAGAGCTGATAGAACGGGAGGAAGCGCTTGAGAATTGAACATTGGAATAAATGAGACTTTTTCAGCCATAGGCTAACACTCCCAACTCTATCAAAATAATAATATTCAGTTCTACATTTTCTTCAATATCTCGACGCAACCTCAGGATCAGGGTACCTAGAGAGCCATAGTACTACTAGTTTCCGTATAATTTGAGAGGCGATCTGAGAAATGAAGCCCGGAAGGTTTATGATTCACGCCTCAAACTCTCCTTGTTGTAATTAATTGCTCTATTATTTCATTTCAGATTGTTTCTGGTTGGCATATATCTATATGTATCCTTTTTAGTATACACCCCCATTTTCATCGGCTGTGATGATACTTTTTTGCTATATTTTACATCCAACTTCCACCCATCTACGAGTGAGTCCACTCAGCCTTCTTCTTCTCCGCAAAAGCCTTCATGCCAATCTTCTGATCCTGGCTTCCAAACAAAGCATGGAAGACGCGCCTCTCAAACTCAACTCCGTCCCGCAGAGCAAGGTCCTGGCTCTTGTTGACCACCTCTTTGCAAGCCTGGACAGCCACCTTGGAGTATCCGGCAATGCTCTCGGCCAGCTTGAGCGTCTCCTCCATCAACGCCTCGTACGTGGGGAAAGTTCTCGCCGCGAGGCCCCATTTCTCGGCCTCGACGCCGCTAAACGACTTGCCCGTGAGGATGAGCTCCATGGCCTTGGACTTGCCAATGGCGCGGGTCAGGCGCTGGCTGCCGCCGCCGCCGGGGATTGTTCCCAGCTTGACTTCGGGCTGGCCAAAGTTGGCGCCCTCTGTGCAGTAGATGAGATCGCACATCATGGCGAGCTCGCAGCCACCACCGAGCGCATGGCCAGAGACGGCGGCAATGATGGGCTTCTTGACCTGGGTTGTCAGAAGCGACCACGACTCAATGAAGGCCTTGGTGTAAGCCTCTGAGAAGGTCAGAGGGGCCATCTCCTTGATATCCGCCCCGGCGGCGAAAGCCTTTTGTGAGCCGGTGAGGATGATGACGGAAGTCTCGTCAGAGGCATTGAAATCCACCAGAGCGTCGTTGAGCTCGTTGATGAGAGGCGTGCACAGCGCATTGAGTGCCTTTGGACGGTTCAAAGTCACTTAATAAAGTCAATAATCAACCCTTGCAATTTTATATATTGTCTGGCAGTATTCACCTTGTCCAACGCCCGGCGCCGGAGTAGAAGTCTGGATATACTCATAAGTCTTGGAGCTGTAAGCCCGCGCAATTCGAGGCAGAGTGGACCGCTGAAAGGGCACCTTGGCGATTGCCGGTCTCACAAAACGAAAGGTGTTCATGGCGTTGGTAAAGCTTTCAGGCAGACTCAATGACTAAAATTAGGAGAATGAGAAAGTCACAAAGGTGCGGCTTCAAAGTAAAAAGTAAAAGTGCTGGCAAGTAAATGCCGGCTCTAGATGGGTAGAAATACTGGAAAGCGTCGGCTCTAAGCCGAGGATAAACAGCTCCCAGCTGCTACTTCGGCCTGTCCCTCTCGCAGTGACGAAATGGGGAGGGGCGCTGGTGCTTGCTTACTGTACAGGCGGAGATACGATTTGCCGCCGCCGTGGTGCTCGACTCATGGCTGAGTTTAATTGGATGCATATTGTCTGTCCAAGGTTCGCTGTCTGTGCAAAGCTACAAACCATAACATATAAAAGTCAACTGACGCCAAATGGCTGTCACAATGAACCCAAAATTTTTTTGTAAATGACCACTGCAAAGATGAAATCAAGGCCGTGGTCGATTTTACGGTCCATCTTTTCCTTCAGCCGCCTAATAAGTCTGATCTCACTGGGCTTATAGATATGCTTTGGTGCAGATCAAGTTTCATGAGATTCCCAGAGCGGGCAAACTAGAAGCATTGCACAAGTTGAAGCCTCTTCATATAATATGGCTTGACGGTATAGGATAGATGTCCGGTTTCGTTATCCTATTATGGGACTTCTATGGGTAAAGCCAACTGCAAGGTTTATTCGTTATGGTAATTCTACAAAAGTAACACCCATCGTTCGGATTTATAGAAGCCGGACATCCACTATGGCCCCATACTAGGCTTTGTGGTGGGATTCGAGAACGGAACTTTCATTATATGGGCTATAACGTTATAGTAGCTAGCAAGAGTACTTTTTTCTCATGATGGCGTACGCTTTGTCCATTTTTTGGGATTCGAAACCCGTATTAAACCTGTTGTGGCTTGACTCAGCGGCTCTTTAACACTTTGAACTCTTGAACGGCGGTTCCCAATAACCCACCTCGTAAAAAGGCAAAACAACCTCTGTCCTGCTCAGTCAGGTATATAATGCAACACTCTCGCCCCGTCACAGTTCATTTCTTCCTCTCCTCTTTCTATTCGCATACATTCTCGTGACATTCTTGATTCCATCTCTTGTGCAGACAATCACGATCCAAGACATCTCCAACAGCGCTACGATAACTTACCACTTCCAAATACAAGATGCCTGCCAATCTTTCCACCGATACTCTCCTCCAGGTAGCCCAACACCTGGATTGCAATGGGCAATACGCACTTTTAAGAGCCTGTCCAGTTTTAGCCGGCCAATTTTTGTTATAGCCGACACCTCCTGGCCGAGAAAGACAAACAACGGCAATAGCCTGGTGCATATGCTTGCACTGAACGGCGAGGAAACCTTGCTGAAGTCTCTGTTCCCGGACGACATCCTGCAGAGAAGTTTTGGCAGTCAAGATGGCATCCCTGGCCTAAAGCAGATGCTTCTCACTCGGTCGGTAAACGACGAGGGGGCCACCCGCATTCATTTGGCGGCGGAGAAAGGGCACATCGCCATCGTCGAATGGATTGCCAAGTGCCCAGGTGTAGACCTCACCTGCGAAGCACAAAGGACATGCGTCGGTCTAGCGGCGATGGCAGGGCAAACGGAAGTCGTCAGCCTACTCCTTCAAGCCGATCAGAAAGATTGCTGCGGTATGACGGCCTTTGCTTGGGCAGCATTCCTGGAGATGGCCGGGATGCTACTCTAGCGGCCAGGCGTCGACCCCAATTCGAGGGATAAAGACGGCATGACACCACTCAGCCTCTTCATGGAAGCGGATTTGGAACATATTGCCGAGTTCCTAATCTACAGGGACGACATCGAGATCAATGCCAAGGACAACTTTGGTTGGACGGCTCTAGCCCACGCCAGATGCGCTCCGGGGGGGCGTCTCCATGCTCTTGACGGAAATGCTTCTGGAACAAGGGGCCACCATGGACCCCTACCCGGAGTGGTGCGTCATGTCCAGCTCAACCCATCCCGACATTGTCATGGATATGGTGGCGGCGATGATTGGCGGCCGTAGCCTCGAGGCATACATGGTCGAGCGATTTGGGCAAGACAAGGGGGATGAGGCTTTGGGGGACGGTCAGCGTGGATTGGAGGCATTGCTTTTCTAAGAGACCTGGGTGAAGAGGGCGAGATTGGCGTTGACGCAGGAGATTCGATACCGGGAGGGAGCCTAATTAGGGCGCAGGAAACTTGACCTTTGTTTTGGCGTCACGTTTGGTATTTAGAGCTTGGTTTGATATTTGGAATTTGGTGTATAATTGTCATGGCATTCCAAGACATGATGTCTGGATGAAATAACCAAGCAAGACAGCAAAAATAGACTTTCTTTGCCGACTTACAGCACAAGACTGAGAATAAACCGCAAAAAAATAGAACAATGGGCGAGCGGGGAAACATTTGACTATATACCTCCGTGTAGTTCTATTCAATCCAAGAGTTGTACGTCGACGAATGATCCAAGTCCTATTTTCGTAGTGCAAGTAGACGTCCAAGTGATATTAGTGGGGCCCAAAGCTCCAACAGTTTGACGCCAGAACCACTAAGCGCTAATGCTTGTCGCAGCCCAGACACTGATAACGATAAAGCAAAAAAGTTTCCAATCTGCCACCCCATCGCAGCAGCAACAGCAGCACGACCCAGAAGACAGGAGCTCGACATCAGCTCTTCATCAGCTTCGAAATGGCGGTCCTCGGAAAGCGCAAGGCCCCCGAGCCGACAGTATCTTCAGAAGACGCACAGGAAATCTTTCGGCGACACTTTGAGGCGCAGTTCCTCCCAATAGAAGAGCAAGAGAAGCGCAACTCGCAAAAGGTGCGGAGGATCGAGGACGAGGATGGCAGCGATGACAGCGATGGCAGCGAAGACAATGAGTGGGATGGCGTGTCAGGCGACGAATTATCAGACGACGAGGATGACATAGACGATGATGATGAAGAGGAAGAAGACGATGCTCCCATCATCGAAGTTGTAGACCACTCCGCCCCGCAAACCTCCAAAGCAGACACAATGTCCAAACGCGAACTCAAAGCCTTCATGGTCAGTACCATTATCAAAAAAAATCATCAACCCGCAATGCTAACCAAAACCACAGTCCTCCCGCCCACCAGATCAATCCTCCTCCTCCAAACCCACACCCACCCAGCCCTCCTCAAAATCAACCTCGCTCCCCGAAGACGCCCCCTCCCTCCTCGCCCAAGACCTCGAACTCCGCCGCCTCATCTCCGAATCGCACCTCCTCCAAACCAACCGCCCGCTCTCCCTCTCCGCCGCCCTCTCAACAACTTCCACTCCCGGCTCTGAGCCAAAGACCTTTTCCTCGGGCCGCGTCCGCCAAAAGGCCCTCGACCTCCGCATCCAGGCCCTCGGGTCCAAAACGTCCATCCACAAGCAGGAGAAGATGCCCATGCACATGCGAAAGGGCATCACTGCCGCTGCGGTGGAGAGGGAGGCCAAGCGCAGGCGCGAGGCCAAGGAGAGCGGCGTCATTCTGGAGAGAGAAACGGGGAAGAAGCAGACGAAGAGGGATAGGAGGGGCGGTGGTGGTGGCGGTGGATTTGGACCGGCCGTGGGTAGGCTCAAGGGTGCAGAGCTGAGGATAAGCGAGAGAGACGTCAAGAAGATTGAGGGGACGAGAGATACGTTTGGCAGGAGAGGGGGCAAAGATTCCGGGAGAAGGGGAGGGAAGAGGTAAGAAGATTGGTGGCTGATTCAAGATACCATGGGTCACTGAAATGGTGAGGGAATTTGCAAGTTTGATAGATACAATACGATTATTAGCACAAGTCACGCATGGGAGCCTTATTATTTTTCATAAAACAGATGGCAATTTTTGTTTTCGTGTCTATATCAATTCCCGCACCTCAAAAAGCACTAACAAGGGAGCCTCCCCACAAGGAGACTCTCCCATAAGCTGACATTGAATAATAAAATAGTATATGTATAGATATATACAGACAGCGTCATTTTCACTCTCTATCGCGCGCAAAACCTCCCTTTCACTCCTCTTTCTATCGCCCAAAAGCCCAAAAGGAAATCAGCAGGCTGTTAATAATAATCCTGCTGATGATCCGAGAGCCTGAGCTTGTTGTGTTTAAAAGAGCAAACTTGCGATTGCAGCCGTAAAAAAACAGGATATTCCGAGCATAAGACGCATAAAAAAAAAAGGTAAGAGTGAATGAGAGAGATGGAAGAAAGTGATATCAAGAAGGAAAGAGAAAAAAAAAACATGAAATCCCCTAAACCGAGATCCATAGAACATGAAATATATCGTGACGCAAATAAATGAGAAAGAAAATAGAATGAAAATAGAACGTCATATGAAAATAGAACAGATAAGGAAAAACAGCACTCTACATGGCACCACCAGCGTTGATGGGGGTAGGGTGGCTGATGGTCATCGGCATGCTGAGAGTCTGGAGACTGTTGAAGCTATGACTGGATGTCATGGTGGTTTGAGGGGAGATCGTGCCGCTGGAAACGGCGGCGTTGATGGAGCCGGGAACAAAGGCAGATTCCGATGTAGGCGATGCCTCCTCGACAGATCCAAGTTGCTCTTCGCCAGAGAATTCTTCCTCTTCCTCGGCAGAAAGATGCAATGAACCCTCGCCACCATCTTCACGGCTGTGGGTGCGCTTGTGCCTGAAAATTTGAAGTCAGCATTTAGCATTATACATGTGAGATTATATTTAAGGAGAAACATACTGTGCAAGGTTATCTGATCGGGAGAAAGCTTTGCTGCAGTGAGGGCAGATGTATGGCTTCTCTTGTGTGTGTGTTCGAACATGGCTATAAACGTAATATTAGTTTCTTGATGTTTCTTCTTGCAATAATTGAGAGAATGTTTACCGTTTGAGGTGCTCGAGACGCTTGAACAGTCGGCCACAGGTGGGGATTGGGCAAGAGTGAGACTTGTGAGGATAAGGACCGAGCTCCATCACAGTAGCCGACCGGGCACGTCGAACAATGCCGCCAGCCATCATAGAACGGCCATCAGCAGACATGTCATCACTGATGTGAGAAAAGTCGTGCTGCAGGGCCATGGGATGAACGGCGGGGCTGCCATGTCTTGACATGTCCATGAGATCCCTGTGCTGGGAGTTGGCATATGACATGTTGGAAGGCGAGTTGCCGGTGGATTCTTCACCCTCAGCGACGGGACCCATGGAGACAGAGACAGACCGACGCAGATCTGACGGTCTGTGAGGAGCCGACGGGGTCGATGTGGGTGCGATGCCAGACATGGAGGTGGGAATGGAGGTGCGGCGTCTTCGCTGCTTGTAGGTGGGAGATCCCTCAATCACGGAGTAAATGTTGTTTGCGCCGTAGGAGCGAGGAAACTGCGGACCAGTAAGGTGAGACGGCATCTGAACCATTCCACCAAGACCCGACATGCCAGACATGTGGTCGGGGATGACGGAGTAGAGGCCAGTCTCCTCGTTGGCAATGTAGGCGGGCTCGGCAGTCATGCCAAGAGCCTGCTGGGGAGGAGTAATGGGCTCAAACGACAAGCCCCGGTTGCTGTAATCCTCATAGCCCGAGGACACAAAGGAGGGAGCCGGTGAGTACTCCAGTCCGTAGGCGGGCATGGAAGAGTGGCGGTGGTGGCTGTGAGTAATGGGAATGCCATTCTGGTTGTAGTGGACGCGAGTGAAGTCAGCCTCCCTCTTGACAGCCGCCAGCTGCTGGGGAACGGCCGGAGCCATGCCCATGGTGTCGTAGGGGACCATTGTCTCCATGCTTTCGGCCAAAGGGGCCATGGTGTGAGGAATCATGCTCGGAGGGGGCATGGAGTCCATGGCCCTCATGACGGGAGAGGTCGACTGGCTCGGGTTGAATGAGGATTGCTGGGCGTTGAAGGAAGAGGAGTTGGCCTGCTGGCTTTTGGTGAGCTGCTCGTAGAGCGACTGTGAAGAGTCGTACTGGAAGGACAGAGCAGGCTCGCTGACGGCGACCGTGGTGGCCTCCTGGCCCATCTTCTCCCGCTTCAAGTCTCGCTCCAGCGCATCCAAAAAGAGACGGTCGTGGGGCACGCTGTACCAGTAAAAGACCTTTTGCTTCTTCTGGGTACGGATGCAGTTGTTTTTGTAGAGAAAGTCGAGGAAAGCGCTCTTTGGTTCCTCCAGGGAGGCATCAGTTCCTGACTTGAGATTTCGGAGATCGGAGAAGATTCCCTCCTCGAACTTTTTGGAGTTTTTGACGGGGCGGCCAAAGGCTTGGAATCTGAATGAGAGGCATCGCACAATATCCGTGCCGGAGATGTGGAAGAGGTTGTTCCACAGCACACAAGAGACATACTCGCCCGTGGGCAGGAGAAACCGTCGGATATACTGATCAGGCTGCCAGTCGACTGGAGCGGAGATGAGGAAGTACTTTAGGTTGTCTACCTGCTGGAGGGCGACCTGTGCGTCATGAGGGAGAGCCTGCTGAGCTTCGGTGCTCAGCATAAACGTCTCGGGCTTTTGAGGCGCCATGGCCGGGTGTTGTGAATACATGATGTGCGGTTGTGGCGATGCGAATGTGATGCAGACAATTGGTCAACGGTTGGAGGGCGTCAGGAGGTGGCCGTGTGGGAACCTAGATCAGCTTGGCCAATGCAATTGGCGATGGCGGATATCAAGTCCCTGCGGCTTTTTATGTTGCGCGCCGTAATTGGCGATTCCGCGCGCAAGAGTGTAGATACACACACACACAGAGAGAGTAAAGGAAATATCAAATGAAAGGCGCTGCCCGAGTGTCGCGAAAACGTGGCGGTTCGACGCGATGTTGATGTTGTGAGAGACCAGCTCGAAACGACTGAAAGAGGTTGCACAGCAAAAAGGAGGGACCAAACAGCAGCGTCAAGCGAATGTATGGGCGCGTCCAAAAAGCGAACCGTCAAGGCGATGATGCTGTTGATGCTGGAGATTCCGTGGCAGGGAGGCTGCAGAGACGGTCGCAGGCGAATTAAATGCGATTAGAAACGAAGAAACCAGGAGAATCGGCAAAACCCCGCGACAGAGGCGTGTCTTGTCTTGGAGCGCTGTTTGGGCGAGAGATGAGACGAGTGACGGCGGCGACTTTGCGCGCGATGAGGGACAGCCTGGCCCGACGTTAAGAAATGAAGAGAAATAGAAGAAAAGAGAGGGCACCAGAGGACTCTGTGCGGCTCCGAATAAAACGGGAAAATGCAGAGGAAGGGGTGGAGGCGGAGGAGAAGCGAAAGGGCAGGAAAAACGTTGAAATAAGAAACACAGGGAAAAGATTTCAGAGGAAGGCCGCGAGGATGGAGAACGGGGGGGATGGCACGTTTAATGGGGTGGAGTGGCTGCTGCGAGAGCCTGTAGAAGCGCCGGGCCACGGGCTATTTTCTGGCGCTGTAGGCCTTCCAGGACGGGTGCGCACGAGTAGTGGCAGCGGTGGTCGTGGCGGTCGTGGTGGTCGTGGTGGTCGTGGTGGTGAGTGGTGCTGGGCTGGGATGGGCTGGGGCTGGGAGGCTGTTATTACGAGCTACTCAGGCACGGGGTAGCCTTGTTGTACTGCGTGGCGCAGGCGCGACGGCGCGTGTACCTGGCCAGTACTTTGCGGTGGAGTGGCTCTCCCTTTAGCGGAAGGGGAGAGAGGAGGGGAGCCACTAATAATACACGCGGAAGGAAATAATATAAAAACAGAAAAAAAAGAGAAAAAAAAGAAAAAGAGGGTGCGCAGGGGTCGGTGCGCACAAAGAGCCCAGCACCAGCCAGAGGCGTGGGCGGGCAGCTGCTAAGCCTGATGGGGGCATGGCGGGCGGCACGGGCGAGCGCGCGACTGAGAGAGGGTGTGGGCCTGGGAAACGAGCAATCGCTGGCGATAGCGCATGAGCCACTGGGGCCAGGCCCTGGGCTGGACTGGACTGGCCTGGGCTGGACGGTGGTACCTGGGCGGTGCTCCTAATCACAATGGAGTGGGTTCAAGAGCAGCAGAGAGGAGAGCGCAGATTGCTGAAGAGAATTGGGAGCCGGAATACAGTGCAGTGAGACGAGAGAGTGGGATACAGCGCTAGGCTCTGCTGGGCTGGACGAACCAGCGCCCTTCACGTGGGAAGCGTTCCATGGCCACAGCGCATTGGCGCCGCCCTGGCGCTCTCAACGGCGCTTCTCAGCCAACCAGCGGCCCGTCCAATGCAATTGTTTGGTGCCTGGGCGCTTTGCTGCAAGAGCCCAACCACGGCCAAAGCATGATGTGTACATGCATGTATGCATGCATGCATTCCGGGTGGCAGACGCTCACTCTCGCCGGCTCCTACTGTACAGCACTGTATGTACAAGTACAGCACTTGGACAGCCGGTGGAATTGCAGCCAAGGGGGCCCAGCGAGCGAAAACCGGGCCCTTCATCTGTTCTCCCCACTGCCAATATGACCAGCGCTTTGCACGACCGTGTCAGAGAGTGGGCGTGCCGGTAGCGAGACAAAAATAGGACGGGCGTGTGTCGGCAAAGGAGTCCAGCCAACCTCCAGGTCCCGAGCAATCTGCTGGCGACAAGAGTCCGCGGCCTTGCTGCTTGTATAATGCAATTCCAATCCTTCAGTGTTACTTTCGCGCTGAGGAACCGCTCCCCTTTTCTTCCAGGCTTGCTGCTCCCCTGCCCCCAAAGCCAGACTCGCACTCATGATTCCTACCCAGCAGGTGATTGGCAGCAG